GATAATAAAATAGGAAATATTCTAAGTTGTGTTTATCCAATAGGTTTAGGAGTTATCTAAACCTCTATATAAGGAGATGCCAAATTGTGGCATAACTTATGAGTTTGAGGGCTTTAAGTTTTGAGTTATTTTCTTAAAACAATAAAAAAATTTCTTTATAAACCTTGATTTTGAGCATTCATTCAATATACAGAAGGAGAGGGGGAGAGAGAGATCATAAAGTATAATAATTATGATTTATAATCATCTAAAAAAACCACAACATATCATACTTTTTGCTTAATCATATGTTTCATGCATGTGTATGTTAGCTTTGATGGTTCTTTACATAAAACCAAATAGAATTCGAAAATATAAAAAAAAACCACAACATAAAATTTGACTTGGAGATCACGTGAAAAAGAAGTCTTCTCCTAAAAGATGCGCTGCAAATGACTTATTACAAATAACCTTATATTTGGGATTAGGCATTATAGAACGAACACAAAGAACTATGAGTCGAGAGGAGGAGATTTTTCACTGTAGAATCGAGCAAGAACGTTATTTTCAAGAACTGCTAAGGCTTCAGGAGAGTTGATGCATATGGGTGTCTTATACTGAGCCATTGAACCACCTCGAGAGATGAAATATTCCATTAGAGAATCGAATGTTCCTTGTTGCACCACTCTTATCTCTAAAGCTCCAATCAATCCAGTTCCTCTCTTAAGTCTATAAACAGCACCAAATGATTCCTCTAATACAGAGCAACATTCCACCAACACTTTTTCATCAAGCTGAACAACGTCTTTGGATTTGATTTCCCAGTAACAAACGTAGTGGCCTGGAAAACTGGAGATATCAGCGAAGCATGTGAAGTCCATCAACATTAAATTTGAAGACTCAAGAACAAATGTCGCACAAGCCAACGCCTTTAGAATGTCCTCTTCAGTTGTAACCTCTGTTTCAACGCTTAAAACCATATTTTTTCTGCGTACGAATCTAAATTGAGGAGTCCTATTGTAAAAACCAGTCACCTGTAGAATATCTCCAATCTTAAATCTGTTTAGACCGAAAATAGTAGTGACCACAGGTTCATAGTAGCACCCTAACTTGACGTTGACAAGATCAACAATGCTGGTCATGTCTCCATCATGATCAACAGGTAGAAATTCAAAGTAAGATATATTCGGCACAAACGTGTAGGACACGTCTTGTGGTTTGCACAGAGGATCCACATTTAACCCAAATAAAGTTTCAGAACAACCATATACTGTGGAAACAAGAGGAAGTTTGTTGGAATAAAACTCCAATATTGGAATGTATTGCGCCATTTGTCCTGTAAGAATGCATTGAATAAACTTGGCTCTAGGCCAAAGCCGTGTGATTATACCTTCCCATGACTTTTGGCTGCATTCTTGTTCAATTAGATCCGCCAATTCGGGATTAGGTACTCTGATAATAACCGAAACAGAGCTTCTACAGTCAAGATCGGTGATCCACTCGCTAACATGGCCTAATCTGATATTACTACACAATTCCTTCCAGTTTCTTTCAAGAAAATCAATAGCTCGAACCAAGGAATGAGCAAAAGTAGCACCAACTTTCACAACCTCGTCTCTTTGGGAAAGCCCGCATAGAAGATGACAATACAAACTTTGCTTGTTGTCTGGACACAATATGACTTGGTCGGGGCTTGTGTACTCTGACTTAGATTTTGATGGCCGGTTTTTGAAATAATCGCTCTTGAAAAAACTTGTAAATGCTGCAGCAACGGGTAAACCAGATGGGGTTGTGGATTCCGGTTTAATGTAATGAAACTCCATTGTCTTTCCTTGCTCGTCACTGAAATGCCTATAAACAAGAACGAGATTGATCTTATTGGTGGACGTTAACAATACTCCGAGCCTACATCCCAAATCAAGTTAATGGAATGTACAATCTAAGTTATAATTTGTGTAACAACTGTTAGAGAAGGAGTCTTACTTGGACATAACGAGAGAGCGTAGAGCAAAAATGTTTCCCATCTGCTCTATGACCAAATCGTTCACAGGAAAAATCTTTTGTTTCCCTCCTGAAGTTCCGGAGCTACACGCACAACAAATCATTTTAGACCACAAACCAACCAACCATCACCCTCAAAAGCAAAACTAGTTGATCCATTAATCATGATGATAAAGAGTATGTTACCTTCTGAGGAATCTAGTGATAAGTCCACCTGAAATCACATCCCAAGGCTCTCCATTGGCCACACGTTCGATATAAGGCTTTACATCTTCGTAACTCACCAACGGTACGTTTTTTTTGAACAGTTTCTTATCAGAGCTTCCATGGAGAAACCGTCTGAGGTATTCTGTGTTGGTGTTAAGTGTGAGTATCTCCTTCAACAAATCATCTTGTATCTGCTCTGCATCCAACGTTATCTCCTCCAGATCATTGAGCATCAAGATTGAACTCATATTTTCGGTTTTGATCGCTACCTCACTTCAAGTTAAAAGGCTTCTTTATGGATAAGTATATAACCACACACTACAAATTTTATTTCCCGTGGAAAAAGACATAAGAAGACAAATACACTCGATCAGATATGATTTCATTTGTATATTTGATCACACCTGCCGCAAAGTTTTAAAATGGTGTCTGCCGCTTCAATAATGCTGCCAAATACATTAATTTATTTATATCTTAGTAAAAGATAAGAGCAAAATAATATATTCATTGGACTTATATGATCACGTTTACAAAAGAGAAAGCAATACCGACATGCGTTCGTAGCCAACTAGCAACTCGAATAGAACGAGTCAAACTTTTTTTTTTCTAAACAAAAAAAAGAGAGTTTAAAATCTTAAAAGACAGCTCCCATGATCATGTGATGAGAAAAAAAAGAGAGTAAAACTAGCTTGTTGACAAATAAAAGTAAAACTAGCTCTATTATAAAGTTGAAATCCCTAAAATCTTACCAGGAACAATATCACAAGAGTTGAAGTCCAAAATTTATTGGTCTCAACATATGAAGCCTTGAACACACTCACAGAAGTGTCATATATAATCTCTACATTCAAAAAATATATATATATAATCTCTACACATGCATAGTCTAGAAAGATGCTAAAAAGTCTAGGCTGATGCTCAAAGTCTTCAAGTCCCTGAATTTTGACTCTTGTAAAAGTGTTCCTCTCAATATTGTAGTAAAAAAGGTAAAAAGAGTTTCATTGATTGCACGGCGAAAACGCAATTTCACCTGCACCAGTCATTCTCCAACAGTGTAAAAACAATTCCCGATCTCGTAGCATAAGCGAGGAAGTACATATATACCTTTGGACCATTTATGTTCTCCAGCATCTTCCAGAACCCACAATTCAAAAAGTTCGTTTTGATTCCAAAACCGATGTGCACATAATTTACCTTTGTAGTTTCATCGATCTCAATAAAGCTAAATTTCGAAGCAAACTATCATAGAAGATCCTTCAAAGTAAGCTCGGTAGTACAATACACCATTTATGCAAATTTCATTACAATGAGAATAGTGGGTTTTGCATTCCATCGTGGTCCTCCATGAACGTTTTCGAGTCCCCAGTGTCAAAACTGCAATTATCATTTCATTCCACTTCAATGGTTTTTCGACAATTCTTAGTAAATCTTAGATGAAGGGAGAGACGTGACTGATGCGACTATGCCGCAAGATCATTTCCTTCATATCACTACACAAGCAGGCAAAAACATTAACTACATTTTTTACCCAAAAAAAAACATTAATTACACCGGCCACAAGTTAGGAAATCGTGTCAGCCGATTCAATGTTGCTGTCAAAAACATTTACAGTATTTCTTTATGGAGTATATCTTAGAAGATAAGAACAGATTAATATATTAATAATTTCCCACGTGTTGCACGGTTTTAATATTATATATTTTTCTCCCCCGGGGGATTTATAAAACCAGTGTAGAGGATAATGTCGCCAGCACATGAAAACGGGTTGAGGGATTATACATAGAGAGAGAGAGAGAGATATCAAGAAAGTTCCGATGGTGCAAATTAGGGTTATGTCTCGTTTGGCAATTATTGTAACGTGTTTGGTGTGTTTAGGGTTCAATGTTGGGATGTGTTCTGATTCAGATCTCTTGATCAAGACTTACGTGTCATCATCGCTACCGTCTAACAATGACTTTATCTATTCCGCTAAGCTTATGGGTAACTATTTTAACCATATCTTTTTAAGTATATATCATGAAAACTTTAAATATTTCTTTTAGTTTGCTTTATTGTTATCTTGCATTGATTAATAACGCTGAAACAAAATTTTGTTTATCCACTAATGTATGTAGCAATTGACAGTGTCACTGAATCGGAATGGGATTCACTTGTGATCCAGTCCGAAGTCCCGGTGATGGTTATGTTCACAGCCAAATGGTGCGATCCATGTCGTATGATGCGCTCCATAATGGATGCAATGGCCTCAAATCTCACAGGTCGGTTCAAATTCTACGTAGTCGACTTTGAGCAGGAGGAAAGCATCGTATCACGTTATAATGTATTCGCTCTCCCGACCAATATTGTCTTCAAAGGCGGAGAAGAAGTGGCTAGAGTTGTCGGATTTAATGTAAGGAGAGTACGGGAGCTCGTTGATAAGTATGTGTGATTCTCCCACGTCTCTAGCTAGTCCAATTTATATATATATATATATATTTGCTACTTCATTTTGCTTCTGTGTGCACTACTGCTATATATGTGGGTTGAGTTTCGTCTGTCTTCTCTAGTCAATTATTACCTAAAATAAAACAAAATTCACTGCCGTCTCCTCCTCATCATCGTCTATTTGCTCTGCTCTCGCATTTTGGATAGCTAATTAGCTACTTCACGATACTGTTTTTCAATTAAAGTGTGTACAATAGAAGAAGCTTGAGGAATTGTCACTTATTACTTCATCATAACTGCCAACTGCCAACTTGACTCCTGATATACACAATTATGTAAAATGGACCCCAATATCTAACCCCGTGATTCATTAAGATCAAGCAATTATTGCAAGAAAATCATTTAACATCTTTCATGGAAACGGAAGTATAGTGTGTGTCTGCGTGAGATGTAATGAAAGATCGCGGAGACTTATGAAAGTAGATTGAGTTTGAAGGATTATACATAGAGAGAGATTTAAAAGTATCGATGGCGAAAGATTTGGTATCATCGTAAGACATCATTCGAATATCATTCGAATAAATCTTGTTTTGTAAATGATAAATGGTTTGATAAGATTCTCACTTTTAAGTTAATTAAGACGAAGCTACAAGTAACCAACATTCGTTACTTAAGCAGAATCTGACTCATTTTCCTCTTCATTTTCTGACACCACGTCCTCATCCGAATCACTCTCACTTTCCGCTCCATCTTCTGAGACAGAGTCCTCATCTTCTTGTGCATCTTTCTCATCTTCGTCATCTGTTTCAGTTGAGTCTTTTGATTTATTGTCATCCTTGAGGTCTTTCTCGTCAAAGAAATCTCTTTGGACAGGAACATCCTTCTGTTGCTGGGAAGACATAATGCCCGCAATGGCTTTCAATGCAGCCGCTGATTGATTGTTATCAGCAATGGCTTCTTGATCTATACCTGGCACTGTGATAGTTTCTGCTTCTGCTTCTGCTACTGAAGCCTTTTCTTCTGTCTTAGGAGGTGGAACAAAGAAAGGTATGCGACCTCTTTGCCAGTCATGGAGTATCATCTTTGCTCCTGTCATCAAATCAGGCTCTCCACCCTGAACAAGGTTTTATCAAGTTTCAGTTCATTGCAATGAAAACAGAGTAACACTTGACCTATCTCTTAAAAACTTTTATAGAACACACCTTTAACAGTTTTCCAGACGCTTTGCATAGTTGAAGAAGAAAGTCATGATCATCCTCCCTGTAAATAACAACTAGAAATTATCAATTTATCCCCAAAAAGTAAGCATGGCAAAGAAAATGATGAGAGACGTGAATTTCCACATACCAGTCTTTTATTTTATAGGCTCTCTGCAAGTGCTCCTTCTTGACACGCCTCAGGACTTCTCCAATATGCTCAGATGCATCCTCCAGGTTCGTAACTCTTACCTACATACCAACAAATATGAATCCGTAAGATAATTCATTTCTTGCAGAGAACCAAACAGAACCTAGAAGTTTTGAGCAAAGGTGAACAAAAGCTTGCAAGCATTTAGTATAAAAGAGTAGTCCGTGAAAGAAAAGACTAATAATACAAGAAACATACCACTCCCTTGAGGACGATATCTGTCTCGGTATCACGGCTCTGGTATACAACTCCAGGACAGTCAATTAAGAAAATCCTCTTAGTCAGTGTGATATACTGCCAAACCTTGGTCTCCCCCGGAATTGGAGCAACCTTGCAAACCTAAAGAAGAGCCAGAAGAGGAACACATGTGACCCAAGTTAATTGGTAATTGGGTGTTCCATTATGTAGGTATTTGATAAGAAATAGAAGGAAAAAGAGAAGGGACAAAGAAAGTTATACATTTTTAGTACGCAATGTGTTGATAACTGATGATTTACCAACATTTGGATACCCGACAAATCCCACAGACACTGCTTGCTTGTCACTTTTTAGACGAGCAAACTGCCTCAAAACTGAGAGCAGCGACCCCTGAATTGAATCATCATAAGGGAACATGTATGTCAAGAGAATAACATAGGCTGATAAAAAGACTTCAAAAACAGGAAACAGAAATCAACAGATCAGAGGCTTTCAAAGGCATGTATAATCGAGGAAATACCTTTCCGAATGACTTGTTAACGCTTGCATGGAATGCTAGAGTTGGATATTCCTTTGATAATATTCTCAACCATCCTTTTGTAGCCCAAGCCGGCACAAGATCACACTAAAATTTACAAATATGAAAGACACATAGACACCCAGTAAGCAACATTCGCAAGAAAAACAGCCAACTGAATTTCCAAAAGAAATGAAAACAACAAATAACCTTGTTCAACAACAAAATCATGTGTTTGTGCTTGTGATGCTCTTTCAAAGTTTTCTCTAAATGATGACATCTAGTACCTTGCGGATCCCTAGCATCTAAAACCTGTCACACACAAAAACCGGTAAGCCAAAATAAAAATTTTAAAATTTAACTAAGAAGATGACTCATTCATAAACTCGGTCCCTGAATCAAGACATACCTGGACAACTACATCAGAGGAGTCAATGACTTTGTAAAGCTCACCCCAAATACGTTTACTCTGTCCCTTCTCAAACATAGTATGCCTCACAAGGTCTCTAAATCCGTCTTCTTCTTCTCCTCCTTCACCAAAAGGACTTTCCCCATTCAACTCCTCGAATGCATCTTCAAAATCAGACAAATCATGTATGCATCATTTCGCGTACAAAAAGCAGGAAAAGCCATATTCCTAACCATATTGGATTAGAAATCAGTTTACCCTGAGACTCAGCTGCCTTCTTCACCAAAGCTTCGTAATCAGAAGCTACAAGCTTCGGGCGCTTCCTTTTCGTTTTCCTTCCAAAGGCATCTTGAAAAGGCTCCATGTCGAGCAAGTGAACTCTCGATTGCTTTAACAAGAATCACAACAACCAATCAAAATCGAAAATTCAAGACATTTATGGACTAATTTCAACTAAAGTATAGACATTTACTTTCTTCTTATCAGTCAAAAGAGACATGGGCAGCTTCCTCTCCTTCAAAATCACATTGTAATTACTAGACATCTTTGTTTGCAGCTCTTCCCTGAAGTATTCGAGCTCTTTCTGATTCACGACACGCGTGTTCCCTATACAATACATCAAAAGGAGAAGCTTATGATTCAATTTAAGTTAATTCTCACGAAAAATGACGAAATCAAATAAGCATACGAACTCAAAACGCACCAAACCATCTCCGATCGGGTTGGATTCGCGTGTTGGGCAAATCCTTAGACTGATACTCATTGCTAAGGATTTTACCGCCGGTGTTCCTCTTCGGCCTAGTGTTGTACATCTTAAGCCGGCGAACAGTCGCGGCGGTACGCCCCTCGGTGGTTTTCTTCTTCCCATCCGCACGATTCGCATCGAGCGAATGCTTCGGTTTCCCGGAAACATTTGCTTTCTTCTCCTTCTTCACCATCTCTGATTTTTCCGAGGGTTTCCTTGACGGGAAACGATGGAGGAAGAAGAGGAGGAGGAAGAGAGTTGCTCGAGTATTTTGCTAGGGTTTTGTATTGCAGCCACTCTTCTCTCAATATGGGCTTCAAATTTTTCCAGAGACTTCGAAGTATCGGCCCATAGGCCCACCCCCTTCTAAATCTACATTGATTTTCGAGTATATAAGCCAATTGTTTTGGCTACGTGATACGTCTGCAAATTGTTGTGGACATTAACTTGTATTTTTCTTCTACTTGATAGAGATTTTGGGTATAAGCCGTTTATGATGTGTGGCTACGAGAAAAGTTATGTTACTTACAAAATAACATTTATGTTACTTTTTCTTGATATGGAGAAAAATTATTTGCAGGAAAACGCATTAATTAGATCCGCGAAGCCCAATTTTTCCGTTACAAAATTATAAAAACTCATACCTGTCCAATATCGAAATGGATTGGGATTCGTCTCGTGGTTTTCGACTCCTCTAGATGAACATATGGTGAAATAGTAACATAGTTATAAAGTTTATTTTTTTGAACTTGCATAGTTATATTAAGGTTTTTCAAAAAAAATTACAATACAATTTTCAACTGAAATTTCATCATTTTAACATTCTATTATTTAAATTCAATTTAAAATGTCATTCTGTAACAAAAATATATAGATTGGAACTAATTCTACAAAAAAACTATTAACTTCCAACGGATTTTCCAACTAAAAACCTTACTTGATAAATTAATAAAGGTTATATTGGTTATTACAGAAAGCGTTTAATTGTTTAATGTTATTGCTTAGATGGATCATGGATGGTTAAATTTAGTAGAGATTTTCGTTTAAGAATTATTTTTTACTATGGTTTTAGTCTGTTAAAGGTTTTAAAATGTATATTATATGGTCATTGATAATTCGTGTTTAGTACTATTTTGAAGAGTTAGTTGGGGAAGATAAAGACAAAAGACAGCTAAGAATTATAAAACCATGTACATCAAGGGTTTTTATCAAATTTGGGCATAGAAACATAGGTGTTTTTAATTAAAATAAATAAAATAAATTTGATTTTTTGTGAACCCGTCTCTTGGAGAAGAGTTTAACGAACCCGTCTCTTACGCCATGTGTCAAAAAGCTATTGGCTAGAATTTATTTGTTTGTCGCTCTCTCCTCCTCCACATTTTTCTGGTTCTTCGTTGCTGGAGAGTTTCTGGGTTTTTGATTTAGTGGAGCTGATTGATATTGAATGGTTTATTCAGTTTTGGGGAGCTCAATTTCCGGGCCAGCTAGTTATTTGAAGGATTCTCCAATTTTTTTATCGAATTGTTGAATTTTGAAGACAATTATCAAATTTTGACATTTGAGATTCTGAGTCTTTGATTTGGTACAGCTGATTCATTTGAATGAATTCTTTTGGACGCTCTATCTTCAAGTTTGGGAAGCTCAATTCGTACCAGGTAACAGTTTCCAGAATCTTCAATTTGGTTTTTTTTTTTCATTCTCAAAATTTTGTTTTTACTCTCAATTGATCGGGGTATTGTTTGATCAAAACTTATAAATTATGTAATGTATCAAAAAATAATTATTTTTTATTCAACATAAACCTCACTAGAAGTTCACCAATGGATCATAAAATGAACACAGATTCTTCTCTCCTCTTAAACCCAAATAATAATAATATTAAAATTTGGTGAGCCCCATTTAGAGGTTCACTGATGTACATGCTGTAAGGAGCGAGAATGTGGTGATTTCCATGTGTTAGTATGTACTTCATCTGAGACTATGATGAAACTTCGAATAAGTGATAAATCTAGCTTGAAATTCACGTATTTTTTTCTTATTTTTTTGTTTGTCAACACATGTATACCTTCTTTTGTGAGCAACACATGTACAGATTTACTGAAGACTGAAGTAAAGTTATTCAGTACTGTGTAAGATACGGTGGTGATTGGTCATTGACTCATTGGTTAACGTGAATCGTGAACGCTAATTAAAAAGGAGACGGTTTAATTTTTATTAAGGTACTTTGTATGTGTTTGTTAGACCATCCACAACCCTGAACCCCATGATGGGGTTCATCAGCATTTTTTAATAATTTTTGGAGGAGAGAGAATGTGGAATAACCTTGGATGAACCTGGGTGAAAAATGGGCGTCCAACCCTGATACCCAATTAGGAGTTCAACAGAATAAAATAATAATATTTTTTGAAAGTTTTTTTTTAACTTGTTTAAACATTTGAATTATTTAAAATGAAAAGATTTATTAAGTACATATAATTTAAAACTAAACATAGAAATTGAAAAAACTAAACAATTCACCGTCGATTCGATCGAAGGGGAAGACTTGTGTCGAAGTCGCGATATCGCAAATCGCCTTTGGGAGTTTTTTTTTTTATAAAAACAGAATGCGAAATAAACCCTAACCTTCGACCCCGACTCTAAAAAATTTCCCCCAAACTACACCCAATCACTGCTTGTCACGTAGCCCGTTGAACCTCGACGATACAGGCTCGTCAGGCTCATCCCAATGAGACGGTATCAGCGAGTTTTTGGGCCCAATCGATTAAAAAAAATTAAAATAATGGTATTAGGCTCCACGGATGAACCCCGTCCATCCCGCGTTGTGGATGGTCTTAACTCACGGGGAGGTTCAAATCTTATATATAAAAGTTGCTCAACTTTCTCCATATGCTTGACACATCAGCATTTGAGAGGTTGACACATGTCACTTAAATTTTAATTAATAAATTTTAATATTAAATTTTAAAGCACTTAAAGAATATGGAAAATTTGTTTTATTAATTGGCTCTTAAATAATATTATATTAATATTAAAACAATTTATGTTATAACTAATTAAAAATATTGATAGATATGTATTTAATTTTTATATAACTGTAGATTACTTAATAATAATTAAGATGTATTTTAAATTATTTTTTAAGATTATTTATAATAAAATACTAGCAAGTAACAAATGAAATGATGACTATATTAATTTTAGTTTTTTATTAATTGATTATTAATTAATATTTGTGTAAATGTTAAAAAAAATTTATGTTATAACAAATTAAAAATATTGAATGATATTTATTAATTTTAATATAACTTTAAATATTAAATGATAATATTCAATATGTATTTTAAATTAATATTTTAAATTTTTTTAGAATAAAATATTAACAAGTAAGTAAGTAACAAACGATGATTTTATTAATTTTTATAAAAATATAAAAATTGAAAAAATTAAAAAAAAAAAATCTGCATGTAACGTGCGGATATTCACTTAGTATAATCTAAAGTCAGACAACTCCGAGACACTACAACTAATGTAGAAACAATAAATGCTGAATAATAAAAGCTCCAGTGTATACATCAACATACCAATCTTATATCTATAACAGAAATATGCGTTAATTTGATTTTAAGTTTTATTTAGAGAATCATACATACACGCTAAATTAATTTTAAGATAAAATTTAACCCATAGATCTTTTACTAATAAAAATTAAAGCTGTGTGTTTTTAAGAGTGTCCATATAAGATTTAAAAAATATTTTTTATTAATCCACATCAACATTAAAAATTAAGAAAATTTACAATTTTAATATTATTGTTAATAAAATAAATATAAAAGAATAAGAAAATTATGTATGAAATTTTTATTGGTCCACCACAATATTGAAAATTAAGAAAGTTTTCAAATTGTATTATTATTTTTAAAAAGTATTAAAGATAAAGAAATTATGTATACAATTTATATTAATAGTAAAAACTAAAGTAATATTAAAATAGGAAAATTCTATTAATAATTACGAACAAATAAAATAGTAAAAAAAATTTACATAGACACACACATTTAGAGACTCCTACATTAGCATCCAAATTTTTGTCACATAATTATAAAACAATTTAAGTTTCTCTTGTGTGTGTATGTGCAACCATTTCAGTACAAACAAAAAACAAAAAAAATAGAGTTAGCTTTTACTAAGGTTTGAATTATTACAATGTAAAAGAACCAACTTGGCTAAACTATCTGTTAAAATATTAGCTAAAAAAGGATTATACTGAAAAAAGATATAGACAAAGGCATTATAAGCCGATTTAATGTCGAGAAAGAGACTGTAATTCTCCAAAGATTGGCCACCGTATTTGAAAAGAAGGATAAGTTCTAAGCAATCCGAGAATTATGTCAAGTGATTGATACCCGAGACTTTTGAAAAACAAAGCGGTAAGAATAGAGAAAGAAGTTCTGCCATTAGAATAACATAGAATCTGACAGAATTTTAAAAACCCAACCTGAACCACAATGGTAACAATTAGCTGATCAAACAGCATTCGATTACAATCAGTAAACCTCATCACAAGGAGAAGTGACCGCAGCCACTTGCTGCAAAGGGCCTCATGTAGGATCTTCTAGTTCTACGTAAAGGCTCAACATTTTTTTAGAAATATATCTAACTGTATAGCTTTTTTATTATTATTATTTTCAAATTTTAAAATTTTAAATATTTAACTTTCCAAATAAATCGATCATCGTTTTGAAAGTTGGCATTGGACCTCTTGAAACAGTAAGCACAAACCCTCCCCTTAAAGACTTTCAAAAGAATAAACAATCGAATATACATATACATTCTCTGTAAATTTAGTGCTTTAAGGAAAATTAATAAAATTATTCTCCAATTTATATATAGTATTTCGAAATCAGTGTCTGGATTTTTTACAAATAAACTATTCTTATAATGTTTTCATAATACATCTAGGCTTTGATTAGTAACCTGCGGAATAGCGGAATTGCGTTTTTAAACACAATTCCGCAGGTTTTTTGCCAATCAACAAAATCGCGTAATGAAAAAATATACACAAAAACGCAGTCTGCGTTTTTGCTTAACAAATATACAAAGAAAAAGTCATTCCGCAGAAAAGCGACTTATAAGTCGCCTAATCTATTCCGCAAGATTTTTTCCGCAATTCTGCCAATCCGCAAAGTTACCAATCAAAAGCCCTAGTTTGTTAACATCTATTGACTTCATGCATGGTAATATAAGAATGATATCATGAATTTCACGTTAGTACGTACGTAATATTAATAAAAGTGAAGACAGCTACGTAAGGAAGAAGAGAGATGGTGCTGATTGGTCATTAGTTATTGGTTAATTGTCAAATCATTGACCTTATTGAAGCTTATAAAACGAGACAACATAGGCTTTGAGACATCTACCAAGCAGATTACACATATCCTAATTAAACGAGAGAGCGAGAGAGAGAGAGAGACAGAGAATCGATCAATGGAGAAAAGGGTTTTGTACGGTTTGGTAGTAATGCTAATGTACTTGGTAAATAGTGGCTTTAGTCAAGGTATAATACTTAACCATGCATCCCACATAGTTAATCAATTATCTCTTTATTTGATGATGATATATATTCATGATTCGATGTATGTACGTATAGGGGAAGTGAAATGGATGAGCGAAGAAGAAGCTGAATGGCAACAATTACTGACCAAGGCCAAACTTCGTCCCATAGTCTGGTCTTGAATCAGTATCGTCTTTCTATATGTATTTTTTGTGTTAGCGTGTGTTAATTTCCTCTATCAAATATTTGCCTATGTTGTAAGAAAGTGGGTTAATAAAAGTGGTATTTATATATAACATACTTTATTAAAGTCTTGAGTTGGATTTGTAACATTTTTTTTTAAGAAAGTGAAAAAACCAATGTAACATTTCAAAACCAAGCAATCATTTAATGACCAGAAACATAAAAAGCTAGTCGTTACCAAACACTAAAACATAAAAAAGCATCTTTCACCAAATCTTTTTGTCTCCATCACAAGACAAACAAGAAGAAGAAAATGGAGAAAGCATTTCTCATAACGTTTCTCGTGGCGACATCAATGGTTTATAATCAAGCTCTGGCTCAAGAAGAAGAGATCAGTCTATCTCCAGAACAATATGCAGACGTACCAGCTGCACTAGCTTACGACCATGAACTCCTACACAAGATGACGATACAACGCATCCGATTTCTAGAAGATTGTACTAACAAATTGAGCCCAAAATGCGGGATGGAGATGACGGAAGGATTGGTCAACGACAAGCCCGTGTCAGGCGAATGTTGTGAAGACATATTGAAGATTGGAATAGACTGTCACCAAGGATTGATGACTTTTGTTTTCTCTACTTATGAGCTAAAGGATGTTGCTTATGAGATTCTTCCTAGGAGCAAGAAGATTTGGAACCATTGTGTTCAGACTACTGCTGCTAGGATTGGTGCACCTATTGCTTTTGAAACTTGATTCTTGATTGTGATTAATGAAAAAAAAAATATATGTTTCTTACATATCTACAATTATGCATACATATTGATGAACCTTTTGGATTTGTTATTTTGTCGCCTTCTCGGAGGTCTTTTTGTTTTGTTTTTGTTTTTGTCTAATAAAAACTGAAATACTGTAATGGATTAATTCATCTCAACAAATTTTCGCCTAAATTGACTAAACTGATGATTGTACTATAGGCTGTAATAGCTTCGAGTGAATTACCAAAACAGAGAAAGATATAAATTTGAGTAATAATAGCACGTATATGGTGGTATTGTATAATAATTGTAAATTTTTACCATCACACAATTTTGTAGGATCACACAATGTTGTTGCAACAAAACTAAATTTTTTTCTTTTTCGAGAGATTAATGATGTTGTTGGGGTCTCTCAGACCACACCGTGTCTTGCAAGTTAGCACTGGTAAGTTTCACACTGTGGTGGTCACTCAAGAGGGACGCTTGTTAGGATTTAAAGAAAATAGAGATTCTCAACTCGGCCATCACTCCATTCGATCATCATGGCTAAAACCTACTGAAATCTATCTCAATTCGTAATCAGTATCTTCATAACCAACCTTAGCTGATTAAACCAAACTGATATCGGTTTAGAAGACATTATGTTCACCGTACCGGGTTTTATATCCCAATGTAATGTAAATTCTTGTCCTAGTGATGTGGTTGGAATGAGCATTAAGCTTTGAATTACCAAACTAATCAAATTTTACAAATAAAGTATATATTGAATTTATATTTTTGATATGCATTTATAAAGATTGAAAAAGTTAAGACATCTTCATTCAATAACCTTACATGATCGAGATATTTGCAACATAAACATGTTTAGCAAATTCAAATTGTAACGAATCTGCAGTTGCTATGGATATATAACCCTTTTTCGACCATGTCAACATAACAAAATAATGGGAAAATTTTATGTTGATTCCTTTTGTGAGTACCATTGGATTCTTTTTGTTGGCCATTAACAAAACCACGAGCGGAGAAAAGCAAGAAAATGAATAATTAGTTTTTTTTCAACAACAAGAAATGGATAAGAAAGACATCGAGATCTGCGAGATAGGTCTTATCTACAAAAATCACAGTCATCTCCACGTCTATATTTTTTTTTCTTCTTTACGTGAAATACCAAAATTCCACAAAAAGAAACCTATATAAATCCACTTTCTTCTTCATCCGAAAACAATCACATTTTCTCATATATCCAAAAACAAAAGATTTCAAAAACCAAAACCAAAACAAGGAAAAAAAAAATGTTGGCTATTTTTCAAAAGGCGTTTGCTCATCCACCGGAAGAACTAAACAGTCCGGCGTCAAATTTCACCGGAAAAAACCCTAAGCTTCCCGGAGAAACTCTCTCTGAGTTCCTCTCTCACCATCCCGAGACCGCTTTCTCCATGAACTTCGGTGATTCCGCCGTTCTTGCTTTCGTCCGCCCTGAAAACGCTCATCACCAAAGGTTAACAAACACATTTCTCAGACCAATCTCTAGCTCTGTTTCTTACAGGAAAATCAATAAGTAATCTTTATGGTTGCTCTGTTTGGGGTAATTTTCAGGGTGTTTTGTGGAATCGACGGAATCTACTGTGTGTTTCTTGGGGCATTGAACAATCTATGCGATTTGAACAAACAGTATGGTTTATCTGGAAAAACCTCGAACGAAGCAATGTTCGTGATCGAAGCTTATCGAACACTTCGTGATCGTGGTCCTTATCCAGCCGATCAAGTTCTCAGAGGTCTCGATGGAAGTTTTGCTTTTGTCGTCTACGATACTCAAACCTCCTCTGTTTTCGCAGCTTCGGTATAGTTAAAAAAGACTCAAACTTTAATAAAAAAAATCTAACCTTTTCATTAGATGAAATTTAAGAACTTTTATTGACAATGTTTTTAGGGATCTGATGGAGGAGAGAGTCTGTATTGGGGAATAGCAGCAGATGGATCTGTTGTTATGTCTGATGATCTCAAGATCATTAAGCAAGGTTGTGCGAAATCATTCGCTCCTTTTCCAACTGGTAAGCAAAGCAGATTCAATTGAAAAAGTGAGCTTAGAAGTTATAGAAATCTGTAGATGAAAGTGAATAATGTGTTTGTGTAATGTTTGCAGGATGTATGTTTCACAGTGATACTGGTTTGATGAGTTTTGAGCATCCCAAGAATAAGATGAAGGCAATGCCGAGGATCGACAGTGAAGGAGTTATATGTGGAGCTAACTTTAAAGTCGATGCTTGCTCAAAGATCAATAGCATTCCAAGAAGAGGAAGTGAAGCTAATTGGTCTCTGGCGAATTTGAGTTAAATGGAAGGAAGAAGAAGACTAATCGAAAACCTGAGTTGTTTGTTCTTAATCTCTGTTCTGTTTTTGTAAATACCCTCAACGATGCCAACAATAATAATAAACGCTCTTCATTTTCTCTCCTATTTTACTTAGCAGAATCAAGTTTCAATTCAAGGAAACATATCATTGTAAGACAAAACTTGATTATGTTTGATCGTGCGCAAACAGAATCGGAAAGCTGAAATAACAGTAAGACAAGACAGAATCTGATCATTCATCTTTCCACATATCTGCAAACTCATCAGGCTCCAATGGGTTTGAGAGCTCATGCATCTTTCTCCTTGTCTTTGCTTTGATCTTCTTTGCAAATTTCCCGGCTTTATTTCTTTTCTCCAGCGCTCGAATCTAAACACATAGACAATTGAAAATTTTTGTTCAAGGAAAGTCCTAACATTCATTTGAAGTTCAAGATCTTCTTAAGGATGTGGTTTGCAATACCTGGTTTGGAGATACGTAGAACGGGTTCTCATATAGTGTTGGTCCTCCAAAGCTGCCTCCGAATATCTTGATTGGATTCAGACAGAACCGTGGACCAACCTGTGATTAACAGTGTATTTGAATCAAATCAAAATCCGAAGCAGGGGTACTATTACAAGTTAAAAACTCTTTTGTCTACAAACCTCGATAAGGGTCATTTTGTCCAGGCCACCTCTTGCAATTTTATCTGATTCATTGTGAGGAACCGAAATCTGGTAATTTCGGAACCATATATGGTCATCGACGATGGAGAAAACGAATACATGATCATGGTAAGGCTTAGATTTCCTGTGTTCCTTAGGAATTCCAAATATCTGGTAGAGAAAGAAAACCAAAAAAAAAAACCAATTAGGAAGTTTAAGTCCTAGATATACTCCACTAACTGAACCATCAAATTTAACCGAGAGAATGAATCTGGGAACAACCTGAGTAAGCATCTCCTTCAAGAGTTTCCAGTGCACATCTTTGTCAAAATTGGACGAGAATGTCAAAAGCGGGCGTGACCCTTTTAGATGATTTCCAGTGAGTTTCAGTTCTTCCATCGTGTGCACTTCAAAACATAGAAAACAAAAGCGAAAACGCTTTTAGCACAAATCATAGTTTCAGAAACAGAACTCAGTTAATGAACAAGGTTTAACAAGCCAAATTAACTCATATTAGCTATACATGTGACTAGGTGGTCTATCAGCTCTTGTCTCAGTTTTATAGAACAAAAGTTTGAGAAGCTGGAGACATTACCGGCATTAACCAAGAACTTCACAGACGGTCCACCTGGAGATTTGACCATCCATAGGTAAAGATCTTTATGTTTCCTACACTGAAGATGGAGAAAAGAAATGAGCACAAATCAATCAAAAAATTCAAAGATTGTCAACTACATAAGCTTGCATTGAGTATTCTAATCAGAACTTGAGTGAACAAATCTTAAGACCTTTGGGATAACATTGAACAAAAGCCAAGTTCATAGATAAGAAGTAAGTACCAATAAAGATGAAACATTTACCTCGAAAAACAAACAGGAAGAAGATCCTTTGAGCTCAACGAGCTCATTCAAAGTCGCGCCTTTACTACTCTTAGCTTCCACTTTACTGTCCTTCTTACAATGTGGAAGAAGTGACACCATATTCAACATCAAATGCCGATACCTTACAATCAAAAACCCAAAAAAAAAAAGTAAATCAATTTCAAACCTAAAATCGAAATACCCAGTAAATCAAACAATTGAAAGGCATCAAATTTTCAAATCTAACCCAGACCTGAAATTGATTCGACGGGAACAAGTGACGAGAACTTTCTCTTTATTCCTGAATCTAGATGATGAAGAAGGTTCAGATTTCTCTGCATCTTCGCTCTTGTCTTTCCATCCCAATAAAGTTCTTTTGGGTCTCTCCGGAGCAGGCTCATCGTTCTTCTTCACCGGTGCCGTAGCTTCAGTCTCGCTGTGCTTTCGCTTCTTCCCCATTTCTCTTTCTCTGCGCAGAAAACGTTGAAAACAAACGCAAGCTTTCTCTCTAGGGTTTTAGCAGAGAATTCTAAGGTAAGAGACAAATCAGAGATGGTGAACCATCATGAGCTAAGCGTAAAGAAACTGAGCTGGGCCTTATTGGGCCTCACTAAAAGGCCCATTAAATGGTTTCATCTGCTGCATCAGCTTTTTAAAATTATAAACCGCAACGATGTGTCACTTGCTCGATCTTCAACCGCCGAGAGTGAGAGAGAGATGGGAGAGCGATTTTTCCGAAATGAGATACCGGAATTTGTACCGGAAGAAGTCGGAGAAGAGGAGATTGTTTCCGCAGGTAAAGATTCGATGACGAAACTGCTCTCACTTCCGTACAGATCATTCTCCGAGAAGCTTCAGAGATATGCTCTAAGCCTCAAAGATACGGTAACTCAATTTCATAGGGTTTGTAGGGTTTTTTGGAGCTGATTAGTGTAATTTCAAACTGTGTACTGAGACGAGCGAGTTTTGGGTTTATCTGGTTTGGTCATGTTTTGAATTTTACAGAAATTTAGTGGATTCTAGAAATCTGGAATGTAAATAATCTCAACTTTGTTGAATTCTGTAGCTGTAACCATCGAATTTGGTCTATACTGAAATTGCAACTCTGTTTTGAATTCTCTTGTTTTATGGTAATTTGTTGTTTCAGGTAGTGAGGGAGACATGGGAACGATCTGGAAAACGTGTTGGAGACTATAGCCTGTATACTGGAGTTCTCGGGACAGCTTATCTCTTGTTCAAATCCTATCAGATCACAAGAAACGAAGACGATCTGAAGCTATGCTTAGAGATTGTTGAGGCTTGTGATGTAGCTTCAAGAGATTCTGAGTAAAGGCCTTTCCTTTTGAATACCCATTTTATCTATATATTCATTTCGAGTGGTAATAAAGTGCGTGATGGTTGCGGTTTTACACAGGCGACTGACATTCATATGTGGCCGTGCTGGTGTATGTGCTCTTGGTGCTGTTGTAGCAAAGCATCTCGGTGATGACCAGTTGCAGGATCGTTACTTAGCCGATTTCCGTGAGGTATTTCTTCTTTTGCTCTCGTGCAAAGACATTGTCTTGCACTTTTTCTCAACTTTTGATTTTCATAACAGATTAGGCTTCCTAGTGGATTGCCGCATGAGTTGCTATATGGTAGAGCAGGATACTTGTGGGCATGTTTGTTCTTGAACAAACATATCGGGAAGGACACTGTCTCATCTGCAAGAATGGTAACAAAGTTCAAAAACTTGCTTTTGGTTATTTGACTCAAGAATGTTCAAAATTAGTGTTATGAACAATATGACTTCATGATCTCCTCAGAGATCCGTGGTTGAAGAGATCTTCAGGGAAGGAAGACAACTCGGGAAAAGAGGAAGTTGCCCGTTGATGTATGAGTGGCATGGGAAGAGGTATTGGGGTGCTGCGCACGGTTTAGCAGGGATAATGCATGTCTTGATGCATATGGAACTTGAACAAGATGAAATGCAAGATGTTAAAGTTACACTAGCTTATATGTTTCTACACCGTTTCCCTAGCGGAAATTACCTATCTAGCGAAGGAAACGAATCAGATTGCCTTGTTCACTGGTGTCACGGCGCTACTGGTGTTGCTCTCACACTCGTAAAGGCAGCTCAGGTAAACGTGTTATTATTGATTATACCCTTTTTTTATTCTCGGTAAAACAAAAACTCATATCTCTGGATACTTTTCAGGTTTTAAGGACAGTGGAATTGGTAGAGGCGGCCATGGAGGCAGGAGAAGTGGTGTGGAACCGTGGATTGCTTAAACGAGTAGGAATCTGTCATGGTATCAGCGGGAACACATACGTGTTTCTTTCTTTGTACCGGTTAACAGGCAAACCAGAGTACTTGTACCGAGCAAAGGCTTTCGCATCTTTCCTACTCGATAAATCTGAGAAGCTTATCTCAGAAGGTGAAATGCATGGAGGAGATAGACCCTTCTCTCTCTTTGAAGGTATAGGAGGAATGGCCTACATGTTTTTCGACATGAACGACCCTACTCGAGCTCTGTTTCCAGCATATGAGCTTTAAATAAATGTATTAAACTTCAATCAATGTAACAACCACCTTAGAACCTGAATGTAGAATAGCTGTCTATATTATATAAGGAATTTATACATCACAACAAACCAAAAGGCAATGTGATTCACAAACGAATACAAGCAAGAAGCAAATCACTAACATCATCGAATTTTTAATAACCTAAAGATCAGTGAGGGAATCAAATGGACAAACAGTTTCAGGGTTTATGTTTTTTTTTCTTGTCTGGATCTCACTAGTAAGGTGGGTTTTTGTAATCATCTCGGGCACGAGAATAGCAAACGTAATAGAACTGAGAAACGATAGCAGTGAAGAGTGCGAATGAAGCACCAGCTGCAAACACTCCTTTACGGATCACTTCACAGCTTGGAGGCTCATTGATGTTCCACATGTTCCTGTACTTAGTGTGGTACGCGTTTCTGATTGATGCCGCGAGCAAACATACCTCAGCAATCAAGAAGAACACCCTGTCAAAAGCCAAAGAGAATGATGGGTCACAAGTCAAATTCATGAAACCTGTAACAGAGACTTCTCTATTGCTTTAAGTTATACCAGCAAATGAGGAAGAGCATGATGGCACAAGCTCTTGAGCCACCGGGGTTAAGAGCCTTGCCGCAGCAGAAGCACCGGCTAGCCACCATAATAATGACTTGACTGGTGAAGAGAAGCACAAATGCACCAGCTCCATAACTTGTAGCTATGTCTGAGCCATACTCACAGTACTCGTATACCTTCTCCTTGTCTGGCACAACTTTCCCCTGCACAACAATCAAAGATCCTTAAAGAAGATATATCTTCAGCCATTTTCTTTACATCCAACCACTTAATTCTGAAAGTTTCTCTACATCTACAACAAAAAACTAGATACATTGAGATCTAGCCAACAAGCTACAATTATCTACTAAGATTCTCTATAATCTAAAGCTTGAGAGAGAATTCCGGTTACAGGATACTACAAATCGAACTCATACACATGAATCGTTTTCAAATTCATCCCAAAATCTTGATAAAACTTCCATTTAGGACGATTTTTACTGCTAGATTACAATTTACAGCTCAGGAAACATGATTTTTGAATCAGATCTGAAAAGGAGTCCACTACAAGATATCGCACCGACAGAGATTCCAAACCAAAATTCACAGCTTATTTGAAGTCTATACACTATCCCGAGAAATTATCCAGATATCGATAGAAAATCTCATAACCAAACAAGGAGAGCAAAAATCTGAAAGAGAGCAACGAACAGTAAAGAAGAATGAGAGAGGGAATGGTTCTTACGACACTTCTTCTTTGCTCGGCGGCAATGGCTAATCCAACAGCGATGAGATCTAGAATGAACACAATGATGATCACGAGCTTTGACGCCATGGCGATTTTCTCTGAGAGCTCTTTTTCTCTTTCACAAGCAGAGCTTTTCTGGTGATTTATCGCTTTCTCTAAATAAGTAAATCAAGAAAATGTCAAGAGACTGTGACCGAATAAAGAAAATCAAAAGACTGTCTCTCACGAAATTGTGTTTTTTTTTCCTTTATTTATTTATTATTATTAAACCTCAAAAAAAAACAATTACAATAAATAAAGGAAAAAAACTTAAGTAAGTATATATACGTTAATTACAAATTTACAATAATTAGGCCTCCTGCACGTGGTGCAGGTGGGGTTTCATTTGCTTTATCTACGGGTTAATTAAAGGGATCATACCTTGTTTAATAATTAAAGTTGTTAAAATAATTTCCACAAAAATAAATCGTAACTATTTTGGAACTGTTCGACTGGTTTCATGTGGAAAAGAAACGTAAATTAGCAATGTTAATGAAAGATTAAGAAGAAAATTGAATTTAGAATGGAACTGAATTGAATTGAATGCGTTTGAACAGTCACCGTCTTAATGAAGTCAAATTGAATGTTTTAGATCTAACGGATGATCGGGTGGTATAGTCATGTGTATAGTCTGGTCGTGTAAATAAATGTGCATGGTTTATGGGCGGATGGTTGCACTTGCCCTGATAATTTTTTAAATATTTGTAACTAGGATTTGCTCCGCACTATGCGTGGATTATGTTTTAATAGATTTTGTTAATTTATGTTTTAAAATATGTCATTTTTACTAATAAATGATAACAACTTTTAAATTTTTAAAAACAATCCTATTAATTCGAATGCTTTAAATGTGATAGTAGATTTAAACCCTATATATAGTAAACCCAAACCTTTATTTACAAAATTAGAAGTAGACTTTAGAAGAGAAAATGTTACAATAAAATAACTTAATTATTTTCAAATGTTAAAATTGTTTTCACTACCTGTATTAATCAATATGAAAGAGTGAAACAATCAATTAAACCAAATTACTCATAGCTTTGATATCTAGGGAGTGTATAATATTGTCTGTTTGAAGATTTGAAATTTTAAAACAAAATATGAACTTTATATGCTTTAAGTTTAAGTAGATTCGCTCTTATCTATACTATATTTATACAGTTGAGACAATATTTATTTTAAAATTTAACAAATAGTTTTAAACAGATTTAATATATTTACAGTAACCAACAAATCAACAACTAATACAGAAAAACCAAACGTATCCACCATCGAAATAAACGCCTCATCTTCAACTTACACCATCCGCTCCAAAAGCTAGAGCTTCCACATTTTTCTTTAAAAATTAAAACAATATCTTAATTACAGTATTGGCATTATTAGCACTAAGATATATAGAAAAGTGTTCAACTATCAAATATTGTATATCTTAGTAGGAAAATTTTGATCCTGAAACAAAGCTTACAAAAAATATGTATATGCAAAAAAAAATTGGGCAGTTACTATTTTTTTATATTACTTACATCAATCTTAATCAGGAAACATTATAACTTTTACCAAGACCAGCTAGTGTACTACACTGTTTTTATAGCATCTTAGCTTCAATTCTTTTGACTCCCATTTGTGTCAACTTCAATTAACTTTCCAAACGCCAAAGCATAATTAATTTATTTATAAGAGAATGTGGTTTCTCTTAGAGAATACCCGATCTTTCATCTCTTACTTATAAATTTTTCATTATCCTTGATCACTCGTAATAATCTTATAGCTCACTAAGTGTTCTTTTTTTATTTTTTGACAACAATGACAACAACTCACTAAGTGTTCTTGCACTCAACTTTTGACCATCAAATTCGTGATGAACTCTAGCCCTATCCTCTAATTTTGAATCTCTCTACTCCTATCACACCATCAGCTAACTCCATCATTTTCCATCTTCACTTGGACCCCAAAAAATCTCTTATTTGTCTTTTCTAAGCTTAAGACCTCTCTGATTTTGATATATCCTTACCGCTTCTCAACTTATCAGCTACAGTTTCCAATGATTTTTCACTTTTTATATTCACCATTAACCATCAATCTATCATTCTTCTATCTCTGTGGTAATTCATAGCAGCTTTATCTTTATTAAACATCTTCAGATAGCTTGCTTTTTTCTTTTCCGTCCAAGTTGTATAATCACCACACCTACCATATGAACTTCATGTTTCTGTTTCCTCTATATTTCTCAGAAGCCATATACTGAGATCAAATACTAAATAGTAACCATGTTTGAATCTGTATTAAATACTAAAATGTTTCTGTATTCTAACATTTTGTGAGGATTTAGCAAAGCAAAGATCTATCAAGAAGTATATATGATTGGTATCAGTTTTTTTGTAGATTTAACTGAACAAAGTTCTTGTTGTTCGTTTTACAAAGATTTTCTTTGACAACGATGAGTATGTTATCAATTTTCCCATTTGTAGCATATTATTATACGTTAAGACATCAATAGATTCAAACCACTTCAAGGTTGATTTCTAACTCATTTAAAATGATGGATGACCATATCTTTACAACTCATTTCACACAACATATATTCCTACTCGAACCACTTTTACCCCTTTCTTATGGATTTTCCTACCAGCCAAAACATGTTCCATAAGGTAATTTAATTATGTCTTAGGTTAGAGAAATACCATGTTTTAGCCCATGGAGCTCCGAGGGCGAGCTGGTGAAAGGTGAAAGGTTAAGCACTCGCCATCAGTTTTCTCTATGCGAGACTCTTTCTGTGAACCTCACGACAATTACTTTGATAGTTGGAATCTTGTGTACCTTCAAATCATTGGTAACAGTTCCAATCAAGACAGGAATCTAATCTTCCTATAGTATCGAAACACAAAAAAAAAACGCATTCAGAACTCATAGCGTAGACTAAATATGGTATAGATAAAGAGAAATCCAATCAAATATTAGAAGGCTAAATATTGCAGACTAAGTTTAGATAAACTGTAACGACTTTAGTTCACATATAGGAAAACTGATTCTAAAGAAATGGAACAGACTCAAGGACTAATTCAACATATAAGGTACAGAGAGTGAGGCACAGGCTCATGAATTTCACGATCCAAGATATAGAAAGTGTTGTGTTGTTGTTGACTTTGCTCATGAAAAGCCTCTTCAATATCAACCGGTAAAGCTGCAAAATTTCAAAACGAAATTCCAAATCACATATTCAGTACGATTCACCCAAATGAGAAATTCTTTGATAGAACCATTAAAAAAGAGCGTAAAGTACATAGATTGCTTACACCGGAATCGACATGATTCAAGAAGACGTGGCGGTGGATTTTTGGTTGAGGATTTGAGCCAGAGGATGCCATGACTGTGAACGTATATGTTGTGTAAGCAGATTTTGTGATTTGTATTTTGGGGTTGAGCAAGTTCTATATAAAGAGGATGGAGAGATGGTGGCGATGTGGGAGTTATTACTTATTAGAAGGGTTGATATTTGAGATTCCACATAGTGGGTATTTATAACAATAGAATGTGGGATGAGATGGAGTTTGTGGGGGTGATTAAGTTTGAAGTTCAATTGTAATGGAAGATACCTTTGATTGAGCTATGATTTTTGTTTCAGATGTATTGGAGAGAGGGAAGAAGAATAGTTTCAGAATTTTATGTCAGAAAAGTAGCGATGAAAGGGATGAATTGATCTTTGATTTGAGTTTTCTATGTGGGCTGGACTCCAAATATGGGCTTTTAAAATTGGGACTTTATTGATTCGTCTTCCGTGGCCGCGTGTGATTTGTTAGACGTTGTACATTTTTTTTTTAGGGCATGAATTGTTAAAGTTTTGTAAAGTTGCAGATAAATCGTTTAATTAGATGGAAGTGTTTTGGCATTATAAGAGGTTGTGATTGGCTGATTATTTTTCTGATTAAATTGGCTGACATGGATAGCCTTGGAAGCCAGCAAAGTAATCCCTTTTATATAAAGAAGATTTTCTTGAATTCAAAAATTCGGTTGACTGAAAGAGATTAAATGCAAAATTCCTATTATTGACTCCATTAATTTAATTGTCCGATTTCAGTTTGTCCAACTTATTTAAGATTTTTTCCATCAAGTATTTTGTTTTCCCTTTTCTTTTAAGTATTTGTCTCCTATTTTCTTTTCTCAATTATCTAGCCATCCTAAAATAAGTACATTAAATATTACTATAACTTTTATTCTCTATTAATAATTTTAAAAATGGATAACTATTTTAAGTATATTTTATAAGACAACTTATCTCAGAAAAAATAAAATTTTATGTCGTCAATACAATATATTGTTAACCGGAGATTTAACCGGTTAGGCTACGGCTCTGTCGCCGTCACGGACTTGCATCTAGTCTTTGGCCAATAATTCCACGTAATCGATAATCTTTGGACTATTGCAGGTAAAAGTTGTGTCAGTTTAATTGCTAGATATCACATGGTCGAAACTAGTTAAAAACAAAGAAAAAGCGATTTGATTAGTGGAGGCTAATAATGTCAAAAAGAGTTGACACTAATTTATGATCATAAGTTGGATTTAGTGTCTTAGTTCGAATTTTATATTACACTTTTACCGGCCCACACAAATAACACAAATAAACTTGCATTATGGTTAGCAATTGCATTTTTTTTTTTTGAAGAGAATGTAAAATAGCAATTGCATTTTTACCATAAGTGTCGGTCATTTTCGGAACATTTTTACAGCCGTGTAAGAAAAGTAGAAAACCATTAGCAACGGTTTCAATGGTTGGATAATTTGTAGGATCCGTGAATAATTTTTTTTTTTGTGAATAATTTTTGTTGTCAATAAAATAATATGCCATATACAAATCTGATGACATATTAACAGCATTAACACAAACCACCACATTCCACATGATAAGTATCCGTCAACAAGTTGTCATGAATAAATCAATTTGCGAAAGAAAGCTTTCGAATATTAGAAAATGAAACATCCGTTTGACCAAAAAAAAAAAAGAAACAGCCTAACTGGATGGGCTTTGTCGAGTTTGGCCCAATACTTTCTTGTGTTCCTTTGTTTTGCTGTCCAGTTTTTTTCATTGTCTTCAAGTCAAAGGACAAGTCTTTATCCTTACTTCCATGATTCCATCGTGTGCTCGAGAAAAAGTTCTTTGATAATTACGTATTTTATCAGACTATTGCACGTATTCAACTGACCATACGTAGTAATTAGAAACAAAAAAAAAAACAATCAAAATACACCTATGTTTTCTTGTCTCCATCTTGACTTGATTCTCTCAGCGTATTTGTGGAAAGTATGTAACCTTTGTCGGCTAAACTATAATCGAAAGAGAACATAAGCTTTATGTAATTATATTGTAAATTTCGAAAATCCTAAAAACATATATCTTTTTTTTTTTTTAAAACATGAGTTAGATATTTAAAGGTCTTTAAATTTATAGTCCCGTTTTATGTTAAGATCCAAGCGATCGTATATTTTCTTCGTACATATATAATTGTTTTTGTCATTAAAAACATTATTTTAATGGTTTATGTACTAGTGTGATCGTTATGTATTAAATCATGTTCAAATATAGAAATGTATATGTGTGGGTTGTGAGCGCCAAAAGCAAAGATTGTTAAATTTCAAGTTATTAGCTATTCCTTTCGTTTCACAAAGATTGTCGTTTTAAAATTTTATTTTTGTTTTACAAAAAATATCGTTTTATATTTTCAATGCAAAATTTTAAATAATATTCCAGTTTTGACCCTATTGATTTATTGATTTAATGTATTAATTAGAGAAAAAAAGTTATTTAATACATTAATAAAGGGCAAAATAATATTTTTAATAGTTTTCTTAATAAGTGTGAAAAATGTCAGAATGACACTCTTTGTGAAACGGAGGGAGTAGTAAAATTTTATTAGGCTTTGTTCAAAAAAAAAAAACATGTATTAGGCTGCATAAGAAAATCATTTATTGTATTGTTCATTGTTGATGCATGATGCTTACTACAATATTAAGAAGCTTTTTAACTAACATAATACAGTAGTTGTATTATCTTCGGTCACACCAATTGGTAGCTCGAAATATTTGATAGCACGGAAATATGATCAAGTTAATTAAATCAAGTTTATTGCTTCACTTGAAATAACCAATTTATTTTGTATTGTTCTTTCTGAAGTAGCCATATTGTTATGATATATACACTTTTTGATACTATATAAAGACAACAAAAAGCAAAAGAAAAACGTATGTCTTTTACTCTTTTTTAGCTCATAGAAGAGGAAAGAAAACTTCAACCACATCGGTAGCTTATTTGACGGGAAATGGTCAAACCTGTTTCAACGACTACATTTTTTACCTATACCTTTCTTATTCTTCATTCTTCTTATAACTTACATTCAAATCAAATATGTCTAGTGTTTTACTTAGAATTATTTTTTATTAATTTATTAATTAGGAATTCATGAAATACAAAACATTAATTTAACGCACCCATGTTAGTACCTACTTGTCCACATATGTAGACTTATATAGATTATTTAGTACTCAACAAAATACATATCATATGCTGAAATATATAAATCTTTTGTGTATAATAACAATTTATATAATTCTAGGTGATTCTCTGTTGAGACTTTTATAACAAAATTTAAAGTTGCTATTGTCTCAATATAATATAGGTCACATGAGAAAACCATTGATACTTGTTTCATTTTGTTCCGTCAAAATTTTAGATTACTTTTCTATTATCTTTAGTAGAAATTGTGTCTTATACTTTAATGATTAATTACAATTTTTTTATAACAAAATTCAAACAATCTAGGTAAATGCAGAACATCATAAAGTAAATTAAATGACTAATAAGAATTTTTTTTTTTTTTGACAAAGATATATGAAAAAATCTTATTGAGCATTTGGGTCTAATAATAACTTAATTTTATATACTTATGATGATGATATCTTCGCACATTGGAAAATTATATGGTCATTACATATTTGAAGATATATTTCTTGTCAAAACTAATTATAGTAGCTATCACTAAAAAAAAAAATAGAGAGAGAAACGTGTATGGTATAATAATATATTATAAATAATAAAATACAGTGAAAACTATTTTTCTTGACGCGGAACGTCTATTAAACATTCATCTAGCTGTTGTTCAAAATCCACCACTTCTCTTCTTGTCTTCTTCTCCGATTCAAGCCCATTAAATCACGACATTATACTTCAAAACCTTATATATATACAGAAATGCATACATACATAGTTTACACAATACACACACACACACACACACACCAACTTTATTCATCATCCCAACGATCCAATCTAATTTCATCACACAACACAAAAAAAAAAAATCATGATCTCTAGGGTTTTTGACTTCATGAAACAATCCAAATCCATTCAGCTAAACAACAAACCATTTCTTGATCTTCTCTCTTCTTCATCATCAACCAAACCCAAAGCTTTGCACGACGTGTTCATCAACCACAGAGGATCCGACACAAAGAGAAATATCGCAACTTTGCTCTACGACAATCTCAAAGCCCGTAACTTACGTCCATTCTTGGATATCAAGAGCATGAAACCAGGAGATAAGCTTTTTGATCACATCAACCAAGGGATTCTCACTTCTAAAGTCGCTGTAACCGTGTTTTCTCCCAACTATTGCAATTCTTATTGCTGTTTGCACGAGCTTGCTCTTATAATGGAGTCCAAGAAAAGGGTCATACCGATATTTTTCGATGTCAAACCTTCACAACTCGATGTTATGATCGAAAGGGTGAGATGTCCTGATGATGAAATCCAACGGTTTAGATGGGCTCTTCAAGAAGCTAAAGATATCGTTGGACTTACGTTCGATTCCTGTAAAGGGTAATTTTAATTTGAGTTTCCATTATATGTAATCAAATATTATATTTAAATTTAAATTTTTAACTCACAATTTCTTCTTGGGCGTATTTTAGGAATTTATCGGAGGTTGTCATGATTGCATCGGACGTTATCGTTGAGAGGTTGGTGGAGTTAGAGGATGAAGATGAAAATGCTTAAGCGTTGGAAGAGCTTTTGATTAACTCCAAATTAGAATGCTTCTTTCGATATATAGATTTTTAAAAAGTTCCTATGATTAATTAATTCAATTGATTCCATTCATGCATATATACATCCCAACTTCGATAGTTGAGGCAGCAACTTTTTTTGAAGAGGATTTCTATAATCTTCTTTATTATTTGTAGTTTTTTTGTGTGTGTGGCAAGTAATATATTGTTTTTTTTAAATCAACAAATAAAATAAAATTCTTTCTTTCTAATACTGAAATTTTTTTGTTCCTATTCAACATCATCATAGAAACATCTAAAAAAAAAGGTGTGCATATAAATAAATCAGCTTGGTTACAAGAAAATGAACAGGAAATGGAACCTATGCGAATTAATGACGAAACGGTAAAACAATGTTTAGCGGAAAATGATGTAATAGTTTTTTCTTTTTTCTTTTCCGACCGATAATGTAATAATAATAGTTAAAAAAAAAAAAAAAAAAAAACAGTAAGGTGATAAGAGATATTTTGCAGTACAAATAATGGTAGTGTCATTTTTTATACCGTTAATTTCATTATTTTTGTAAACGGTAACAAAAGAGATGTACTAAAGCAAAGCCCGTCAGATTTTTAAATGGACCTAAGATAGATTTGGATTGAAAAGCCCATCAAATTTTATATTGCTTTTGAGTTTTGAACCAGAAGGAAGTAAAACCATTTTTTTTGTCTTGAAGGAAGTAAAACGAACTGGATCAAATCTGAATCAAATTCGGTTTATAGGTCTAAACCAGACTCAGATTTTATCAATCAGAGTAAAACTAAATGATAAATTATAAATCAAAATGAGATATGATTGGTTATCAGATAATAGCATAATAAAAAATTATAAATAATGGAATAGCTGAATAACTGTTAACTGAAAAAATTGAATTGTATCAAGTTTTATAGAATAACTAAAAAATAAATGCTAGTTTTAATAGATTAATGAAATTATTTTTCTTTTTGTATTTATATTTCAATATGCTAGCGTATATATTAAAGGAATCATTTTTAAAAATCTGATGAATATTATGGTAAAAATTGGTAAACTTACATTATCAAAAATCAAAACGTGAGAATGTGAACAAGTAGCCATCTATCACCAAAAAAAGTAGCTTATATTGGCTGTTAGCTCAAAAACTATTGACTGGTAGAAACCCTAATCCTTTAAGTTCCACTAGGAAGATTCCATAACGATAGTATATATCGTGCTTTGGGTTAATCAAGGTTTATATATATCTTTGTCTAATCTTTTGAAAATGATATCCTCATATGACTTTCAAGATTAATTTAGATTTAATGATATCAAAGATATACATATATATATATATATAGAGAGAGAGATATAAGTTTTTAAAATATAACTCGTAATGCGTTTTTTTTTATGATTTATGAACCAACCATTGTATATTTTGTTCGCGACAATTTGGCATCTACAAACCCAAAGCTGGGAAAATTCAAACCGTACGTAACATAACAAGTGGATTAATCAAACTCTTAATAATAATATATTCGGCAAACGTGGTTACCGTACAAAAAAAAGAAAGGTAAAAGCTGGTCCTCTGTAGAATGACAAATAAGTAATTTGATTAATCCACTTGTTATTACAATGATAACACAAAATCGACACCACAGACGGAGATGTTAGATTATTGACAAAAAAAAAGAAGTTATGTTCTTCATTTTTATTCTAATTAATATATTAGAGTGTGGTCCAATTCTTGAAATATTTATCCAACATGTATTTTAATACGACGACTCTAAGCAAGTGGCGTTGATCTTGGTGATGTAGTGGTTAATCAAATACGGAATTCAGTTGTTATCAAACAGATTCAATTAGTCAAGTATATACCGCTTATTTCAAAAGAGCATATTCTGAGAATAATATCGATTCTTATACCATGAAAATTTTATAAATAAAACAACTGCAACAATAAATAAAATTGTTACAACTATTGTAGTTGATATATGGTCAAATATACGGCTATAGAATTTTAAACTATGTACATTTTTTTTGGTCGTCCATTTATTCATTGACATGAACTTTTAAGGCACATTTTTCCAAGTTCTTTTTTTTTCTCCGAGTTATTACCTAGTTTAAAATGTTAGCTTAGCTTCTTTTGCATCAGCCATGTTATTTTGCATCTATTGAGATCTTGAGGAAATTGTCAGTTGCAACTCCCACAAATTAGCTTCTTTATGTCTCCTAGATATGCTGATAACATTGAATATCTCCAGTGTGATTATTGAAGAGGATCCATAGAAACATTAAGCGCACGATTGAGAGGAATGTAGAATCCCATAAAATGTGACCTTCAAGTAGTTCAATCTCTTAAGTTGTTTCAGTGCCATCTGTAAGGCTTAAGCTTCGACTTCTAATGGAGTGCTTGTTGGATCAATGGCAACCATTCTCTGATGATCAGTACGGTTTCTTTATTATACGAAGCTAATCCTATGCATGCATCATGCATGATGGGAAGGGAAAATCCTGGATTCATCTACAAGACAACGTCATTAGCTCTTAATATAGCCTCTTCATACGTATTCACAGCTGCGGTAGTTCCATTTTTTTTTTAATGATAATAAATATCCTGCAATTGGTTGATTTGAAGGTTTCCTAAATTTGATACTTAATTCAGTCTATAGATGTAAATCTATCAAAAAATTATTATTTTACTTGAAATAGACCATTGTTTATTTTAAAAGACGAAACCATTCTTCATCTTCTAAATTCTCCAACCAGCGAAAGAGAATAAACTCACATCGTTTCTTTGGTTTCTATTAAGACTCAACATGAGCTTTACATTCTGACTGAATAAGTTATGGTTAAGTGTGGCATTGGCGTTTGCTTTCATATTTAAGTATGTGTAGCGTGGAAGGACATTATGAAGAGAATATCATCAAAAACCAGGGATGTTAAGATTCCAAATTCTCATATATAAGTAACTTAGATTGAAACAATCAAAGTGAACAAAAAAAGTTAAAAACTATCCGAAATCCAAAAAAAAATCTTTAGTCAACATCAACTCGTGTTATTTTTTTCGTGTATCGTTATAACGTCTTTTTGACAAATGACAATATGGCGCCTAACTTATGCCATGGACACGTGGACACGTGTCGTCACGTTGTAGTTCTGTCCGTATGTAAAATGCTTTCCATGTTGTTACCTTGAGGAGATTCATTGAACAGTTCCTTTGTCATCTCAACTTCACTTTTTTCCGTGCCTTTTTTTTTTCTCAAGCTCTTTCCCTCACCCTACCAGTAATTTCCACGTGCCCTCCCTTTATTTTTCTCTTTAAAACATTTGGCAGATATACATTTCAAAAGAATGCGTTAACAAAAAAACGTGAATTAATATCTCTCTTCGCTTTAATTAACACTAGTCACATCATATTTTATGGTTACTTATTATTGTTCAATATTTGCTAATTATTAATTTTCTGTTCTAAAAATTGATCGTTTACATGTTTAGATATTCTCATGTTCATATAGACGAACAAAATCATCTTAAGACGTTTTCATATGAACAATTAAATTTACGAAAACTATATTTTAACAGCATACTTTTACATCATGGAAATATGTAATGTAAAGTAATTATACAAAATAAACCTTCAATTAATTCCCACTAAATAGAAGGTTTCTTTTGATGTTCAATTAGCGTCTACTAAATTGTTGAACATTATCTTTCCATACCTAAAAAACATAAACCAACATATATCTTAATTTTTATAGTAAAATACTTCTAAATATAGTGGAGCAAGAATTAATAAGAAAATAATAGCAATATTAGCAAAAGAACATAAGAAGAAGAAAATAGTACGAGGAAGTGCCAAATCTGCGCATGTAGGTTCAATGAACTAAAAGGATTGCATAAATCACGACGATCTAACTGACACACGTGTCACAATTCAAAAGTGTTTAGAGATAAACACAAAAGTGGGTCCCAGTTTCAGTACACACGTTAATTAGCGGCGGTGGATTCACCTATACAAAATTCATATATATATATATATATATATAAGTAGCATAAGACCCAAACATTATTGTTACATTTAGAATTAGAAGAAACACAAGATTTGTTTCGATACTTATCTCAGAGAGAAGAAGTTGAAAACAAAAAAAATCAAACGAAATTGTATCAGAGAGAGAGAGAAAATGGGTATCCAAGAAACCGACCCGTTAGCCCAATTGAGCTTACCACCGGGTTTCCGGTTTTATCCGACCGACGAAGAGCTTATGGTTCAATATCTCTGCAGAAAAGCAGCCGGTTACGATTTCTCTCTTCAACTCATCGCTGAAATCGATCTTTATAAATTCGATCCTTGGGTTTTACCAAGTAAGTAAACCAATTTCCACCTTTTTGGGATTTACATGTTGAAAATATTTAGTTTTCTAAAAAAAAATTCCTAACTATCTTGTTTTGTTTTTGTGATGCATATAGATAAGGCAATATTCGGAGAAAAAGAATGGTATTTTTTTAGTCCAAGGGATAGAAAATACCCAAACGGATCAAGACCAAACCGGGTAGCTGGGTCGGGTTATTGGAAAGCTACCGGTACGGATAAAATCATCTCGACGGAAGGCAAAAAAGTTGGTATAAAAAAAGCTTTGGTTTTTTACATCGGAAAAGCTCCTAAAGGCACTAAAACCAATTGGATAATGCACGAGTATCGTCTAATTGAATCCTCTCGTAGAAACGGAAGCTCTAAGGTAACAAAGAACATGCAAACTAAATATTAGTCTATTTTTTGTTTTTAAATCACCAATTGTATTTTTAAAGATTTTTTTATCCCATCTTTATATTTATCTGTCATTACCGTTATTAATTTTTTTGCAGTTAGATGATTGGGTTCTATGTCGAATATACAAGAAGCAATCAAGCGCACAAAGACAAATTTACGAAAATGCAATCGCGAGTACGAGAGAATTTAGCAACAATGGTACCTCTTCAACGACGTCGTCTTCTTCTCACTTTGAAGACGTTCTTGATTCGTTACATCATGAGATCGACAACGGGAGAAACTTCCAGTTTTCTAATCCAAACCGGTTCTCGTCGCTTAGACCGGAATTAACCGGAGAGAAAACCGGGTTCAACGGTTTAGCGGACACGTCGAGCCTCGACTGGGGTAGATTTGGAGGCAATGTTGAGCATAACTCGGGTCCAGAACTCGGAATGAGTCATGTTGTTCCCAGTCTCGAGTTCAATTCTGGCTACCTGAAGACGGAGGAGGAATTTAACAACTCGGACGAGTTGGCTCAAAAGGGTTATGCTTTTGACTCGGTCGGGTTTGGATATCCGGGGCAAGTCGGTGGGTTTGGGTTTATGTAATGATGCAATGCTGGCGTAATAAAAAGAAGAGAAAATGTTTTAAGTCTTTTAATTTTTGTTCTGTGGCAAATTGTATTTGGTTTCCGATTCTTTTGGGTTTATAGGTAGACTCATAGACCTTTAAATGTAGATTTGTAATCTGTCATGCCTAGAAACATTGACAGTTAGATTTTGTAACCTTTTTATTTGTAGATCTTTTGTATTAGTATAATAAACTTAATGAATTTGCATATTGGTATATGTTTGTGCATGGCAGCTATAAATTAAAGTTTATTCGTTTAAACCATCTCATACATAGGCAGAAATTATGTATATTGCCACAAATAAACAACTACAAATTGAAATAATCATACAATATGAACCAAATGTTTGAAATGTCCAACGTGTAACAGAAAAAATACCAAGTTTTATTCGAAAAGTATAATGAAACCCAACAAATCAAGAGACTTATGGGATCTATATCCGAGAATGAAGTATTGTGTTAGCTGAAATAACACGTGCTGAAATTGCTCGTGTGGATCATCAACGTGGACTTGCTTGTTTGACCAGAATACATAGAAACAGTTTACACCGTACAAGTTTCAAACACTTGTTTTATTGTGGTCCAGTGGATTGTGGATCAATTCTGCGCTTGCATGCATTTACTTGCAGTAGTAGTATTCACCCAAATTTTATACTAGTTAAGTTTTATTTATCCAAACAAGTACTTGTAATTGTTTAGTTGACACACACACACATATGGTTAAAACACACAAAAGTCGTATTACTTTTGAAGTACTATGAAAAAGTACCAATAAAATTTGAAATACTATGGTAGAATAAAATATATATGTGTCAAAGTCCGAATCAAATGCATTAAAACGAAGTTGAGATTTGAGAGTGGAGAAGAGAACATCATGGGTGATAGTGTATTTATTAATTGGCCCGTGGCCCGAATCAGGAACCGGTTTCGGATATCTTAAAAATACTTATTTTCCAAGTATTTGGTTATTTGTTTACTTATGAGACTTGGAGCCAACAAACTCAAATTAAGGCTATACATATTTTTTGTTGTATTTGAAAACATTCGAGTTATTTATCAAAATAATAAACATATGTAGTTGAGATGTCTAATTATGGCAAATATGTGTTCATAACATTGCATATAAAAACCAGTTCATAAATTTTTCTATTTGGGTTGGGTTCATGATCAGTTTAGGAAAATCTGATAAATAAACTAGATAGTCCATGTAAAAAGATGTGATAAAGCAGACGATTAAAGTCAAAACAAAAAAAAAAAGAAAAAGAAAAGAAAGGCAGACGATTAAGGAGCGGTCCTTAATCACTTTCCTAAACAAGCTTAAAAACAAGACAGGATTAGTATGAGGCTAAAAGCAAAGGTCCCCACCGACTAGAAGAATCCATCGATTCTTTAATACGCCATTTGTTTTAATTATTTTATTAACTCTGGACATAAATACCCTCTACCTAGCTGTATTGAATAAATACATACGCGTGACGTCAGGCTGTACGTGTACACCAAATTTTCGTTTGGATTCGATCGATTAGTAAACACAACGACCGTTTATTTTGTCGATTCAATGTAAATTAAATGATAGGTTTTTGTGGTCAGTCGCAGCGATATCAATTTAATCCGTATTCGAATTTACACTGTAATACTGTATCGTCTTATGTTTAGGTAAAATCTCTGTATATCGAAAAAAATTTTCTTACAAAAAATTAAGTAAGAGAATAAAACTGATGCCCTACTTACTTTAGACAAGGATAACTAAAAGCATTTGTACCATAAAGAGATCCTGTTACAGTGCATTTATCAATATGGATTGTATGTACTGTACTGTGTACAGAAAATAAATATACAGTGTATTATATGTCGTATGCTAGAAAATAAATGTGTATGGTAGAACATAAATTAATGTGTATGCTGAACATAAATGTGTAAGAACAGTATATACTAGAAAGATGTAGAAATATTAGGTCGACCAAAAATGAATATTTCCCTGTGTAAATTTAAGAAACTCATTAGTTAGTTCTGCAAAGATGGGAACAGAAATTTCTATTAGTACATTAAGGTATATTTGCTAGGGTTAGTTTGAATATTTCTTGGGAAGGAGGTTTTTTTAAAAAAAAAAATCAGAATATTTAACTCTAGATATTGAGAAAGATTATGGGTCATAACTCATAAGTTTGGAACTTCCATTGTTTATCATTAAAAAATTAGGTGAGAGATGGAGAGAGAAAAATGTTTTGTTGAGTATAGCTTTTTAGGTGGGGAAATACAATTTACTCCGTGCAACACGAATTCGTGTGATGAAACGATTCTTAATTAGGTTAATGATAAAATTATATAAGAGGAAAACTCTTGGTTTTCATATTTGATTGAAAGACGTGTGTGTTTTGTTACTTGTGCTAGAGATTAGTTGATGTCGAGTTAAACTGTTTTTAAATGTGGATTAAATTTATATTTGGCGAGTCCTTAATGTAAAAATGTGAAATTGTTTAAGTAATTTCTAGTTTTTGTCATAAAAACAAGTTAAGTTTTTGGTAAAAAAAAAAAAGAATAAGTAGGTCTCCGAATTTCATGAAAACAAGTAAGTTTTACTTATTTGTTTTTATGAACTTTTGACAAAACACAGTACATCATTCTTTTGTGAACTTTTGACAGAAAATACCTTATGGTGAGTGTGAGTCACGTTACATACAGTCATGCATAAATCTGAAAAATACGCTGTATAGCTAGTGACTTTCTAATTATAGAATAAAGGTAAAGCATCACATGTTCAAGCAACAAAGGTACCAAAAGCTAAACTTGACCACATTTATCCGATTAGAGCACAGATCATTATGGGAAAAACTCTTCAAGATAACAAAATCATATTATAAACTATGATATATATTTTTATCAAAAAAAACTATGATATATATTGCTAGGTTAAAATATTTACGAAAGCGTTAGACGTTAAATGTATGGCTACCCAAAAATATTCATTAAGTGCTTAAATTAGGATGATACTAGACGGTATAAACATTTTTATTGAATTTTGACCAAAAAAAAAACATTTTTATTGAATACTCTACTATAAACGTAAATTAGTGTAATATATTAAAAATAGATTTAATCTATTACATTTTCACACAAAAATATGTTTAATATTTATATTTTTTTTTATTAAGACCATCAAATACATATATGTTAGTTTTTGGCTATGTAGTATCACAAATTTTGTTCGACTTCAAATTTTGGTTGTTAGCTAATGTAATTTTATGATAATCAGTGTAAATAAAAGTTTTGATTTAAGTAACAAATGGAGTATATATTAAGCGGATAAGATATCTAGAGCCATTTAACTGCTTAAATGCTGCATTAGACCGTCTACATTTCGCCTACCCCATCAAATTTATTTTCGCCTACCTCTATCGTTTAAAGATAAAATCATCACAGTAAAGTTCCTTAATTTTATAAGATAAACAACGTTTAACCCGCTTTCCTATGTACAATATGGTTTGCTTGTTAGTATCTGTTTATATGTATGGTTTGCTTTTTTGTATGGTTTGCTTTTTTTGTATGGTTTGCTTGTTAGTATCTATGTATAATGTATATCTGCACGTGTATATATGTTTTATGTTTATGTATATGAATGTATCATGCATTTGTATATGTATGTACATATATACAGCTCCGGTCCAACTAATATGGTGGTCTGAGTCGAAAAAAAATATGTGGCTCTTTGTAAACAAAAGTTTTCTTAATTAAAATTTTTATTTTGCAGTTTCGATGGATAGTATATAGGGAATTTGCAGTTAATAACCAATAAAAATTTAATATTTAAATAATTAACCATGAATATGATTACTATATTCTATGTATTATATACAATATATACAAGTATACCCTTTAACTTCTCCACTCTCAATACATAATATATTAACTTTAATTTAGTTATTGATCTTAATTCATCCACATAAATCAGTTGTTTAAAAATAAAAACAAAAACAAAAAAGTTGGAGAAAGAACTTTTAAACTCACGATAAAGATTTCTCTTTTAATTCTACGTTTGGATTTGTGTTTGTATTCCTCGACGACATCATCAATTATGGATTTGGATTTGTACACCTCGAAGATATCATTAATTCTGGGTTTGGATTTGGATTTCTTGAATTCTGAATTTGGGTTTATATCATGATTTCGATTTCGATTATGGGTTTGGATTTATTGTTGGTGCTTGTCGATATCATCGCAGAAAGACATAGGATAAAATCATTGATTCTGGGTTATGGGTTCTGCGTATGGAAACTGAAATCATCAAAAAATTTAGGTTTCAAATTAAATAAAATTAAAAATTCTATTTTAGGATTTTTACTAAATAGACTGACTATATGTAGTTTACATAGAATGACTATATGTGAATCATTCTTAGATCTGTCTGTATTTTCTATGTATATATATGTGAATTGGGTTTTTATTGATAGGATTTTCTATAGATTATCTATATATACATAGAACTTTTGTATTACTCTTTGAATATATGTTTTTATTGTATCTAATATTTTATTTAACTCGATGTTTTCTTCTCGTTTTTTTACGGTGTTGCGATGGTAGATTTAAACTTGCCGGAAAGAATGTTCATAACATATAATAGTTTACATAGATTGTCTATATTAACACAGATTAGTAATAGATAACGCGTGCATTCGGCACTTCTAAAACTATATTCTCTCTCCTGCTTTTTTTACTATTCTTATTTACAAAGTTATTTTTATCTACATTGTTATTTGCTTATTTTGTGATTTTAGTGGTTATTTTCTTTGTCATTTGACGAATTTTGGTTATTCATTTAATTATCTAGTATATATGTGATGCAAACAGTTATTTTTAAGGAAAAAAAATTCATTAAAAAAAACATAATCTTTAAATTTTGAAATTTATAAACTAATAAAACATAAATATGTGGCCTATTAAAAAATTAAGAAGTTAGTTTGCTTATTAGTCTTAAACCGTCGCCTAGCTAGCTCACCTGTCTTCAAAGTTGGGTCTTGTGTATATATAATTAAATATTAAAATGTAACTACTTCTGAATAATGAAAATTTTGAAGTGCTAAACAGAAAATACTTATATAAATATCCTTAATTGAAAAAGACAACCACCTCTTCGGACAGACACATTTCCGAGATAAATCAAAAGCACATCTTTTTAATTACACTGAAGTAAACAGCATCGAATCCTGTTGTCAGATATATATATCTTAATATAAAAATTGAGGAGACCAAATTAATTACGATATTTGTTATAGATTTATTAGACGATTTACTATTAGAGAAGACAAATTGTACTTAAGCTGTGAACAAGACTATTTACCCTTCAGATCTTAATTAAATTATGGTTTTCTGACAAAATGAAAACAAATAAAACGAAAACGTTTTGTTGTAGTATATAATTATACTATGGAAATATATGTAATATAATATAATAAAAATTGAGGAGACCAAATTAATCTGTACTTATTTAGGTTTTAAGCTGTGAACAAGACAATTTACCTTTCAGATCTTAAATTGTGGTTTTCTGACAAAATGAAAACGAAAAAAACAAAAACGATTTATTTTTAGTATAAATTTATTTATTTCTTAAAGAAAATATTTTATCATGGAATATAAATCAAAATGTAAAAGTATTCTTTTTATTTGGGGCTATAAATAACTTATCTTTTGACAAAAAAAAAACTTATTATCTATAACTAACATTAAGATAAAAAGGATAGGGAGGAAAATGGGTGACTTTTTTCAAATCCATCATTGGGCTCCACATTTTACAATACACCATCATTTACTATTTTTTTTTTTTTTTTTCATCATTTACTTATCTCTTCTTAATTTGCTAACAATCTTACATTTTGAAAGCTGGCAAGCTGACGGTGGAAAAATTGACTAGTATTTGTTGCATACTATAAATATCGTTCTAATATAGAAACAAAACGGGTACTTTTTTTCTTCGTCAGTTTAATCTTTTGCATAAATATTTACTTCTTTCTTACGTCAATCAAAACTTCAAAATGGTAAACAAAATTGGTTTTGACGGCAAAAGAAACTAATACCCGCAATCTTTCAGTGGTAAACAAAACTAGTCCATTTTCACCACTCAAATCTTTTAACTATTTGCTATTGATTATAATTTCATCGTTAGACCAAAATTAATAAAATCTACAATGTGCGAATGGATGCTGGCGGCAACTAATCATAGATTGCAAAACATATATTCCCACGTAAAATTAAGGTCTAAAGAATTGATTTTACTTTCATAGGGAATCAGGGATTATGATTGAGGCGGTTGATTTCTATCCTCATGTCAATTGGAGACTATCTTATAAATTAAGGACTATATGAACATTATTACGCCAAGAAAAGGGCAGGTAATAAAATAAGAAACCCTAAAAGTTATAATTTTATTGCTGCTTAGTCGTTATATATCGACGAAAAGAAATCACGTCATTGACGAAATTACTGTCAATAAAATGACAATTGTGAACGTTCTTATATGATTTTGAACAAGAAGTTAATTAGGTCAGTAGTTACATAAAAAAACAAGAAGCTAAATCAATTGTGAACGTTCTTATATGATTTTGTGTTTATCTTAATTTACTATTGAGACAAAATTATATCTGAATTTATAATTTATATGCAATGAGAAGTGAAAACAAGATGTATCGCTATCGTTGTTGATCGCTATTTCCACGTCATGGTCGCTCGTGTCGAGCCGCACTACGAGCATATATGAACACATTCTATAATGCATGGTTAAGAAGGTCATTATCTGATTCGAAATATCTAATTTACCCTCCTACACTTTGGTTAGTAAGGTCATTAAACAGATTCGACATGATTAGTCGGACTTTGTATATGTGTCGAAATGTCGCCAGTCTTTATCTCCTTTTAGTACAAACCAAACCACGCTTAAACCGGCTGAATTATGGGGAATTATATTATTTATTGGAAACGTAAGCTAAAATTTATAAATTTGGAAAAAATATATTCGAATTAACAAAAAGAAAAGAAAAGAAAATCAAACAATATATTTTTTACAACTGATATTATAAATAATGATCTGAGATTAACAGTGTCTCTTACAGATAAAAAATATGTAACTTTAAATTCTATAGAAGATGTAAAAACCAAATATGAATTCTATATAACTAAATTCGTATAGATAACATACATATAGATAACATTAATTAGTGAATAGGGTAAACGTAAATCAATCTCTCTTGATTCACGAAGGCAAGATATCATATTTAAGTTAATCTGAAATCAGTGATATAGGAATCGAGGGTCTATAAAGTATTTGTCACAGGTAGATATTTACCTACACATATATTTGTTTAATTTTTTGTGTGGGTGTGTGTCTCAAACCTATAAATTCATTGATTGATAATTATATGGTATCGGCAGTTTATAAATAAGCAAAGAAAAGTTCAATGTTTCTTACAACAAAATATATAATATTATTGGGTAGTCTAGTAAGTAGAATAGTTACAATAAGGCCTCTTACAATAAACACTGCAGGAAAATTGTATTTTCTCTATTTCACTTTATATTTTTTTAAAGTTAAAACGCCAAAATTATATTTTTTTTAGAACATCATTTAGTATCTAATTAAAAATAAACTAAGAGCATGTACATCAGGAGATCAAGAGGGGTTCATAACACAGTTTTTGAGACAAAAGATCTTAATATTAAAGAGACAGTATCATCCCGACGAACCTGAAAAGACGGTATCATCCCAAAATGAAGCATCCTGATTGGTCGAAAATTATAATTTTCGAATTAGAAAAAAAACAAAACTAAAATAAAAAAAAAGTTATTATATTCTGTGAACCCTTCTCTTAGAGGTTCACTGATGTACATGCTCTAACCATTAAGAAAAAATGCTACAGAATACATATAGTCACCAAACATTAAAAATTCAATTAAAAATGCATAAAATCATAGAAAAAAATAAAGTAAAAATATCCTATTCTAAAATATCCTAGTGATTCGTTAGTTAAAAAATGATGGGAATAAAAATAAACATTTTCTTCAAAAACCCCTATTTTTTTCGCTGTATCCTTTTTTTAAAAAACGGACCTTTCGCGGTATTCTTTCTATGTACTTAATCAAGATAATTACATAGCTCATCTACAATAATATCAGATCTCTACAATAGGTTAAAATGTAATAAATAATATCTTCTTTAGAATGCTATGGTCATAAATAAGTTTACTTTTTATAATAAAAAAAAATCATGGTTTTACATTTTAATATTTGCATTATATACACATGTGGATACGATGGTGTACGTACAAAAGATTCCAGAGGATAAAAACCATTCATATTTTAGCGTTTGATGAATCTTTTTTTTTTCAAAAAAAGAAGAAACGCAAAACGCCGACTCTATAAGGTGTCAAAGCATTTCTCAAATTGTATTTGTTTGCCCAACAAACAAGTAAAACCTCTCCGATCATAATATATTCAATCTCTCCAGTGATCGAAATCGATGGAGAGTACAGATTCTTCCGGTGGTCCGCCGCCGCAGCCTAACCTTCCTCCTGGATTCCGATTTCACCCAACAGACGAAGAACTCGTGATTCACTACCTCAAACGCAAAGCAGATTCTTCTCCTTTACCCGTCGCCATCATCGCCGACGTCGATCTCTACAAATTCGATCCATGGGAACTTCCCGGTAAATTCGAGATCTCATACCATCGGATCTGTGTTAATTTGTTAATTTTTGTCTCTGAATTTTTGTTCTGTGTTGAAATTTTTGACAGAGAAAGCTTTGTTCGGAGAACAGGAATGGTATTTTTTCAGTCCACGAGATCGGAAATATCCAAACGGAGCTAGACCGAACAGAGCAGCGACTTCCGGTTATTGGAAAGCGACCGGTACAGATAAACCGGTGATTTCAACCGGCGGCGACGGAAACAAAAAAGTCGGAGTTAAGAAAGCTCTCGTCTTCTACAGTGGGAAACCACCAAAAGGAGTGAAATCGGATTGGATCATGCACGAATATCGCTTAACCGATAATAAACCAAGTCTCAGATGTGACTTCGGCAACAAGAAAAACTCCCTCCGGGTAATCTCATAATATAATATTATTATAATTCAAACTCCAATTTTTTTATTTTATTTATTTGATTCGCTAATTTTGATTTTTTTTTTTTTTAAAGCTTGATGATTGGGTGTTGTGTCGAATCTACAAGAAAAATAATAGCACATCATCTCGACATCATCATCATCATCTAGATAACGATAAGGATCATTATCATCATCATCATCATGATATGATGATCGATAGTGATCTCTACCGTCAAATCCCTCTCAGTCGCAATGTCTCCAGAATGAATTTTTTCCCGACGATTTTCTCCGATAACAACGATCCGGCGGCGATATACGACGGTGGTGGTGGCGGCGGCGTAAATTATTCGGTGAATCACGATTTCGCATCGTCGTCTGGATCGAAGCCGGAGCAGTTGCTTTCTTCGCCGACGATGATGATGACGACGACGGCGAATCCGAGACGGAATGTTCCGATGCCGTTTTGGGAAGAGGGAAATGAAGATCCGGCAAAGAGGTTTAATGGTGGCGTTGGAGATAGTTTAAACGTCGTCTCTCCAATGGCGGCGCCGCCATTAATGCAGCAGCAAAGTGGGGTTTTGGGAGAAGGATTGATCAGAACGTCGTACCAATTACCCGGTTTGAATTGGTACACTTAAGATAAATTAGAATTCCAATTTAGATGGTTTTCAGGTTACGGATTTTAAAGATTTGTATATACGGTTTGCGTAAATTTGGGGATTGGGAATTACGGTTGATTTTAATTTTATCGGGTTAGAACGAAGGAGATTAAATTACAGAGATTAGAGAGGTGAGGCAACATATAAAAGTTACAACAATAGGGTTATTTTTTTTCTTCCTTTTCTTCTTTTTCTTCTTATTATTATTCACGAGATGTATAGTTGATTACACTACTTGGCTGTTTGTAGATTGTATAAATCGATGCATATAAAAGAGAGAAAGAAATTAACAGTCGTAGAAATTAGTGTGTGTTTAAATGACATTAAAAAGTAAAAACACTTGACATTGAGATAGAAGACCTTAAATTTTGATATTTTGATAGGGCAAGACATACGGTTGTTGTGTATGTGCCCAGTGATATTTTATGTTTCTTAAACAATTAGTGTAAAGCCGATTTAATTAAATGCCTACAGTCTAAAAATTAGTTATAGTAAAAATATTCATGTAATGTCATGGTCAACTTTGTCAAATATTTTTTATCCGATTTTATAGAAGATGTGAATATGCAACATAGAATTCGTCTCATATTCGAAAATATGTTCATAAGTTGAATCAAATGTAATGGAGTATCTTCAAGCATGTGACATCTAGAAATGCTTAAACTTTGGATTTAAAAATTTAACCGCCATGCAAATCTATCTCAGTTTGATAACAAAAAACTATATATTATAACCAATATTTAGGAATATTACAAAGAAGTTGCTCTTCTTTTAAATAACATAAAAAATATTCAAATATCATATCATTATGGGGCTCTTTAAGATCTCAAACTATGTATAGAGCAGAGAGTATTCAAATTTAATTCACATTTAATAATAAATCTACATGACTGGTGGCCACCAAATCATTATGATACAAAAGATGTTTGAATTTATTCTCAATTTAGGGGTTTTTTTTAAGTTAATAATATATGAAGACAATAAGAAGAAAATAATCATGCTAATATAGAATCACATATAAGTATATTGAAGACCAATTGAATTTCGAAACATCTGAAACTTGTTGGATATTGTGAATTTGTGATAAGCATCAAACTGAGTTTGTAGATAAGAAATTCCAATAACTGATAGGAAAAAATGTTTATGATATAGTCTGGTATACCGTACGTGTGAATGCAGACTATACAAACATAAAAATTCCAGGGGCCTTCGATCGGTGATTGCGATGCATCATCTTCTATTCCTGTCTGTCTCGTAACAAATAAATTTTCGTATGCACTAACTACTGTATATTGAGTTAGTAATATAATTTAGACCGGGAAAAAAAAGATAAAAATTAAACAAAGTAATTTTATGCCTTTTCCCCTGAAAACAACGAAACCTCAATGAAAAATAATTTGCAAACCCAAACTAAATAATTGTGGAGTCTAAATAAAGGGTGGGCAAAATATCCAGAATCCAAAATCCTATCCGAGATCCGATCTGTTTCAATCCGAAAATAAGTATGCAAACCCAAAACTAAATATTTGAGGAGTCTTAAACTCGGTGAGAGAAAAAAAAAAACTCGGTGAGAGAAAAAAAAAAACTCGGTGAGGATTGAGGAAGGTTTTAGCCACTACACTATAAGACATTCCCAATTTTATAGATAAGTAATATATTAACTAAAACACTTAGAAAAAAATAAGAGTAATAATATACTTACCATCTATTGTTAGTCGTGGCTAAAATTTATTTTTTTGTCTCATACACATTTTGTTTTTTAACGTTGTGAATTCATAAGCAATGTGCAAATTTTAGAAATTAATTAGATTTATTTCAGAGATTTTTCAGGTATTTTTTTATATACCTGAAATGGTTTTATGTCGAGAAATTGATTGTCAAGTATTTTCCATAAAATTGGGTATAAGTAATCTAATAAGATGGTTTGACTAAAATAAATATTAATTTGTTCAAAAAGTATTTGATAAATTGTCTAAAAATGCAGGTATATAATTTGTCCACGAACTTCTAGAAAGCGAATTTCATTTAAACATAGTTTTTTTTTTCAAAAGAAAAGAGAGTAAAAAGAAATGGCCAACAATAAACCATATAAGCTAAAAGCTTTTGATTACATTCCTTATGAACAAAAAGTACTAGGTAACTTTTATTAGTGGTGATGCCATTTGTAATTAATTTTAGAAAATATATACTTTTGTGTTTAACTTGTCAACTATGTTGTAACCTTATTTCCATTTCTTACAAAAATATATTATAAGACCACATAAATTATATGGAAAACAATATCTTTTAAATTTTTTTTTCTCATTTTAATCGGGCTGCATTTCATTCTCAAAGGAAAATCAAAATTTGTCTCATACAAAAATGTATTCACATAAGATATGGAAATTTAGGACTAGCTAGAAATAGAACACAATAATCACTTCTATCTATAACAATGAGAAAACTTATAAATAAATATCACTATTTTTTCTTCTTAAAAACATAACTCAATGCACAAACTTGACACACGATCTTCCACTTTATCCTGCGAATCAGCATGTCTATGGTTTGATTTAGGTCTGGGCACATTATCCGAACCCGAACAATTTATCCGAACCCGACCCAAAAAAGTTATATATTATTACTCTTATTTTTTTCCAAACCCGACCCGAGTAATTTATCCGAACCCGATCCGAAATAGTTGATGAAGATCTTTGTGGGATAAATGTATAATCTTAGCACAAAGTTATCTCTGAAGATCTTTCGTTAGTTATCTTTGTGGGATAAATGTAGTGACTCACACATAAACTGAAGATAAATGGTATTTGCATTATGAATCACTCTCGGGCTGGTTAGAGACCCGAAAAATGGGGTTAGGAGATTACTTGTGGAAGAAACTGAAATTGACTTATGAGATTGTTTGCTATGGTCGTCCACAGAGCTGTGTCCAGAGATTTCGAGCCCGTAAACAAACTAAAAAAAGAGATTCTTATTGTTTCAAATCCATATAAAACCAATCCACAATGTTTTATAGGATTATCCTCTTTTTCACATTCAATCTTATCCTCTTCTTTTTTTTTTCTTTTTAACCCTCTTCATTCACTACATCCATTTTTTCATTCAAGTTCTCCTCATCTAGCGTATTCCTATCATTTTTCTTATTTAAATCATTTTCATTCACTGCATTCGTATTCTTTACTCCATACCCAGAAACACCATGATGCTCATCATCTTTTTCTATAGATTTATCAAGAGTTTTAGGTTTTTCGAAGTATCTGAATAAAACATTCGCTTAAGATTTCTCTTCTTCTTCTCTTTTCTTTTTTAGTTTTCTTTTGTCATATCCACACAATAGTTTTTAAAAGTTGTTCCTTATAATAAAAAAATAATTAATAATTAACAAATTCTTATTGAAATACCGTTTGATAATTATGTTATGGTTCTAAAAAGAAGAAAACTGAAAGCTTTGAAACTTCAATAATAAAGAAGGTGAGTTGAAAAGGTATAGTATATTAAGTGGCCAACTATAAAAATTTTGCAACCATTACCCAACTTTTTCATTTGTTAAATAATTTTTTAATTAATTTCTAATTTTATTAACAAAACTCACATATCCTCCTAATTCCTATTACTCCTATTGGGCCCTGGATTTTCTTAAAAAATTTGGCCCGTAGGCCAATGTTTCTAACTACATAGGCACGTCATGGTCGTCCATATGCAACACAGGTCTACCTTGTATCTCATGGATACTATGAAGATTATGAGGTTTAGCTCATTATTGGAGACTGTGGAGGAGGTGTGCTCGGTGCCACTTAACATTAAGCAACCATATTACTTGTTCGAGTACGATGGTAAGTTAGCCATAACTTCATATTATTGAGCTCTATGATGATGATGATGATGATGATGATGATGATGATCTGGCGTATACTCTGGACGATGCGGCAAACAGAAGGAGGTTGATTCGTATAGATTTTGTCTTAGATGAAGAGACCAAGGAAAAATTGAAACGGTGTGAGACGCGTGGGATCACAACTAACGATGAGCTCGTCTTGCTCCCACCCGAGTTTACACACGATAACCTTATTTACTACTTCAACCCAAAGGATGGTATACCTTATTTGAACAGCTTAGTGTGAAACTTTGTAACTCAGCATGATAAGTTTACAACAACATAGTGTGAACCTTATTTACTACTTCAACTATGTAATGTGAAAACTTATCATGCTGAGTTTGAAGAAATGTTCCACGGTCCCCTGTCAGCCGTAACGGAGTGCATCCCAGGGCTCTTGAAGACATTGATCATGTGGGTAATCATCTCAGCTTCTTGAAGGCATGAAGCTTAAGCTAAAGGGGAGGGAAACAAGAGGCTCAAGGTGAGAGAATTGGTCACGTCCCTTTTTTCTTTTTCTTTTTTTTGGGACTTCAAAACATCGAAAGTTTCGTAATCATGGAAGTTGTAAGATTTGCTCTCCCTTTTGGACCTATTTTGATGGAAGTGCTAGTTATTGTTGTTTTGTATCCGCACACGAGGTTACTTCAGTTAATTTGTCTAGGTTGAGCTCGGAGATTCTTGATTAAATAGAGGTGATCTCGAAGTGTTTGTTTCGAGGTTGTTTGGACGAGGTGAATTAAGCGATGTTAGCTTGCGAGGTAAGAGTTTGATTATAAATCTAGAGTATTCTTGTCCTTGTTTTTGATTACGGATCCCGTAATAAATGAAGTTACAAGGCTATTTATAGTGTTTAAATTAGGTTACATCTCGGTCAGAGTAGCTTGGGCGACCGGGCAGATAGACCTGACCGACCGTCTATCGGAGCGTCGTGGTGGCGAGCTGCTTCATCCATGTCGACGTGGCGAGCTGTCCCATCCACGAGGAGGTGGCGAGCTGCTCCTTAGATACAAAAAGGTTATCTATTTGAACGACCTCGTTTTACTCTTCGCACACGGGCTTGTTGATCTTATTGGGCTTTCACTTCGTTAATGGGCCTGAACGAAATTACAAAAAGGGGGCTGTGCTCAGCCCACCTACAACAATTGTTCCCCCCCAGTCCGTTGATGGAAATGTTACTTCGATATTCAACGCGTCGAGGTGGAGAAATTTCGTCCCTTTGGGTTTCGACATCGATGCGGAATCTTCGGGGTCGAGGTGATACTTTGGGGAATGAGGAGTTGCAAATGGCCAACGGCTGTCTTAGGTAATTAAGAGTCGCGAATGGAAGCGTGATTCTTGGGAAGCGATGAGTCGCAAAAAGCAACGGTCGACTTAGGTAATGAGGAGTCGCGAGTGGAAGCGCGTGGAATCCGTATCCAAATAAGATACTGGGAAGCGTCCGGATCATCATTACTTTTCTCGGTAACCGCCACTTTTCTCACTTATATATTCTGCTCTCCTTCTCTTCTTCTCATTTTCTTCTCCGCTTACAAAAGGTAATCTTGCTCTTTCTTCTCTCTAGAATTTTTCTCTCTCTTGGATTTGTTCTCTTTCGGTGTGGCTTTTCCGTTTATCGCGAACTTTTTATTGTTATTCATCATTGAATGATGACTTTGGGGGGTCAGCGTATCGAGTTGAGCTTAGAATCTGGCTCTAGATCTGATAGGGAGTCTTCCGAGAGTGCGAGCTCTTCTCCTGAAATATCCTCGAGGTCCGATACTCAGTCGGATCGAGAACAGTCTCCATCTGCTGAATTAGTGGATCGAGTCCGCTCTGAAGGGGCGTCTCCGCGAGGTGAAACGGACCTTCAGATAGTTCCCTTCGAGGAGGATCGACGTGATGGGGAGGCTTCAGAGCATGTCGAGGACGAGGTCGACGAAGGGGGGAGGAAGAAAATGGGCAGGGAGATGGGGGAGAACAAGGTGAGGAAGTCAGACATCGACGGAAGGGCTCCAAACGCAAGGGAGCTATCAAAAATCGACTAGTTGACATTCCGTCTCAGATGACGGCTCAACGCCTCGAGGAATTTCAGCTTCGATACGGCTTTCGAGGCGAGCTGATGGCGCCGGGACCTGAAGATCGACCGTGGTATGCTCCAGAAGGTTGGGTCACGCTCTACAAGGCGTGGTTCAGCCTTTGCCACCTCTGGGTGCCTCTTCCGAGGCTGCTGACGGATTATGTAGATCGTCGAGGCATTGCGTTCTCGCAAATTCTCCCTGCGGGAATTCGATTTATGGTCGCGGCTCTGCTATTTGGGAGCGAGGCTGGGGTCAATGTCGATTGGCGTTTCTTCGAAGAGATGACCAACGTTCAAAAGAACAATTCGATCCCGGGGACGTACACAATAAAAGCGAGGAAGGACTGCTCTTTAGTCTACCCTGTCAACAGGACGCCGAGCTGGGAGGCGTCCTTCTTTTTTGCGAAGGTGGATGAGACGCTGGTTGTCGACACCTCCAGGAATTTTAGGAACGAGTGGAGCGACAGCATCGGTAGATCGCTAGTCAGGTCGTGTCTCGAGTCTTTCCTTATCTCTTATTAATGTGTTTTCGTCTTTTGCAGATCGCAACGTTCAGCTCGGAGCTTTCCCGGAGAACTTCCACGAGAACATCCAGAAGATCAGAGCAATCGGGATTCAACACTGGCCTGACATCCATCGCCGAAGAGTCGAGGCTGCCATTACCCGTATTACGAACGGTAAGTTCGATGTCTTCAGAATTTTTTGATTTACGTCGTTTAACATATTAGTTTGTTACAGCTAGCTGGAGGAGGGAAAACCAATTAAGGGAGAGAGCGATCGCGATGTCTCCGATTCAAGTGAACGCGCCTAGTCTTGCTGCGAGGCTCAGAGCCAATCGCAGTAGTGGGGGGAATAAAAGTCGGGAATCTCCCGCTCAGTCAGATCGTCCGACTCAAGCGACGGCACCTCAAATTGTCAACGAGGTCGAGGCTCGTCGAGACAGTGATCTCGTTGAGGATCGCGCCCAAACGGTTGAGCCTGAGGCGGGGGCTCAAGAGGAAGGTCAGGCAGTTGTCGAGGGGCCTGATGAAACTGCGAGGCGAGCTAGGAAGGAGGCGAAGAAGCTAAAAAGAAAAGAGAAGAAGAAAAAGGACAAGGATGAGGTCGAGACCACCCAGCTTACCGGGGGGGCGAACCAACCCGAGGTTGATGAGTCGGCAGCGGAGGAGGGATCAAGGAAGAGAACCTCCGGCGAGGTGGTTACAGGTGGTGATCGCGAGGAGCCGGGAAAAAGGTCGAAGGTTGATCTCACTGGCGACGGTAGGGCTCCGGAGATCGATTGGAGCTTCAAGTTTGATTACCCCGAGTCTGGGGTGCCCCTTGTCAACAATGCTGACAAATGCGCCGAGCTCTTCGGATTGATAAAGGGATCTACCTCCGAGGTTCCCGCCGCTGATGACGCGGTCTTCAAAGACATGGCGGGCTACGCCTTCAAGGTATGTTGTGAACTTTGTTTCGTATTTCTGGCTTAAGTTTTACCTCTGCTTCGATCTCAATCTGATTTAAGTTTTATCAGTTTATCGCGAGCTGCAACCGCGCGCGGGGTCGATATCACCGAACGATTCGAGCTGCTGCAACGAAGCTTCGTAATGCTCAGTCCGCTGGGCAGAGGGCCGTGGAAGAGCGGGACGCTGCGATTGCTCGGCAAAAGTCAGCTGAAGAGAAGTGGCAGGTCGAAAAAAGACGCTCCGAGCAATTGGAAGAAGGCGTGAAGACGCTGACTGACAAGATCGAGGAGCTGAAAGTGGAAAACCAGGATCTGATCAGCAACCTGCAAACGGTCAATGAAGCGAAGCTCCAGGCTGAGAAAGTGGTCGCGTCCGAAGTGGCTCGCGTCAAACGTCATGCCGAGGAGAAGATAGAATCCGAGACTACTCGGATTTGGGCAGATGCGGAGAACAAGTTTTCGGGCCGCATAGATCGATTGAGGACCTTTATCGCTGAGCAGGAGGCCATTGTGAAGGTGAAGCTAGAACTTGTTCAGGCTCGAGGTACTCTCGAATGCCTCGATCTCTTGAAGGACAAAGAGGTCGAGTTGCGGGCTGATCTCGAGGCGACCATGCGCGACTGCGAGCTGAAACTCGAGAGACTTCGGCTATCTGATCTTCAGGAAGGCGCAATGCTCCCGCAATATCCCGAGACTCCGGACGGTGGTTCAAATCATGACGAGGCTGAAGATCAGGGGCATCGCGAGGATGAAGAGGACCACGAGGGTGGCAGTCAGCGTGACGAGTAGATCTCACCTGTATGTCCTTTATATGCTATCACCTTTTTTCTTTTTACTTATTATTATTTTGTTATGTTGCCTAGAATGTAATGACTCGACTCAATTTCATCAATCAATGCTTTTTTAAGAAGATAATAAATACGGGGTGTATTTAAGCAAAGCAAAACGATTAACGGGGGTATTCTTAGTTTTAGCTCGTAATTAAGACGACAATAGATTCGAGATGAAATGCTTGATACGAGGTGAAAATTGGTTCAAAAAGATTGGAACGAAGTGAGAACTTACTTATTGGAACAATACTCTCGAACGATAGGCGCGAGACGACCTAGGAAAATAATGGATGCGAGGTACGAGATGCGGGATAAAATTTAGTAAAATAACAGGTATGAGTGAAATAATAGGTGCGAGATAAAACTCGGCTTGAGGGAAAAATAGGTGCGAGGTGAAACTCGGCTTAAGGGAAGAATAGGCGCGAGGTATGACTCGGCTTACCCTGTTTTATTTCATTAATCGTGTCCGAATAGTGAGAATGATCTCGACGTAGTTATTCGGCTGATTTAAGAAAGGATGCGGGACTGGTCCCGGCTTATTCTCTCACAATCGTAAGGTTTTTGTTCCTTAGGATTGATTAAGATTTTGCATTGTAGGGAAATGCGTATTAGGGGATCGAACATCTAGCTAGGATGTCGATGTGAAAGATGTCAAAGTGAAAAGATGTCGGAGTGAAGTATAAATAAAATTTTATTAATAGCTGCACCTCGTGAGAGGTTGCCTACGTACCCAACAAACTGGGATCAAGTCGATCATAGTTCACATTCGAGACATAGCTCGACCGAGTATAGCTCGGTGAGCGCCCTTTTTTTTTTTTTTTTTTTTTTTTTAGTAGTAGTACCGCTTGATGTTCATCGAGTTCCAAGATCGAGGTATCATCTCGCCGTCCATCGTCATCAGCTCGTAAACACCAGGTTTAACAACGTTAGTGATTTGGTAGGGCCTTCCCACTTTGCGCCCAATTTTCCGGCGCGGTATTCTTCGGTATTCTCGAACACCTTTCGAAGGACGAGGTCGCCGGCTTCGAAGTGCCTTCCTTTCACGCGTTTGTTGTAGTATCGTGAGATTTGCTGCTGATAATTTTGCATACGTAACAGGGCGTGATCTCGCTCCTCCTCGAGCATGTCGAGGCTTTCCTTCATCATTCTTCCGTTCTTTTTACCATCTTGTGTCAACATCGTTCTGCGTATGGTTGGTAGACCGACCTCGACGGGGGCTAAGGCTTCCATGCCGTGAGACAACGAGAAAGGGGTTTTATTCGTCGATCTGCGCGGTGTAGTTCGATGTGACCATAGGACTCCGTCCAGCTCATCCGCCCATAAGCCCTTCTTATCTTCGAGTCTTTTTTTGATGCCGTCGAGGATGGTTTTGTTGGTCGGTTCTGCCTGTCCGTTTCCCTGTGGGTATCGTGGTGTTGACTTGCTAAGTCGTATTTTCCATTTGGCACAGAAGTCCTCGAATACATCGGAGATGAACTGGGAACCATTATCGGTGACGATCTCGTAGGGCAATCCGTGACGGCATATGATATTTTTCCAGACAAAGTTCTTCACGTCGGTTGCTTTGATTTTGGCGTAGGACTCGGCCTCGACCCATTTCGTAAAGTAATCGGTGATGATAAGTATGAATCGTTTTTGTCGGGATCGAGGAAGTGGACCGATGATGTCCATCGCCCATCGCATGAAGAGATAAGGTGGCGAGGAAGCAGCCAGAAGCTCGGCTGGTGCGTGGATCATTGGCGCATGTCGTTGGCATTGCTCGCAGCGAGCTACGAATCGATCGCAATCGGTAAGCATTGTTGGCCAAAAATGACCGTGGTTCTTGATTTTTAGAGCGAGAGCTCGACCGTTGGAGTGATTTCCACACGCCCCTTCATGTGTTTCCCGCATGACATCGAGTGTCTCTTCGCCGTGAAGACAATTGAGCAGGGAGCCCGTCGAGCTCCAACGATAGAGGTTGCCGTGTGACTGAATGTATTTAGCGCTTCGATTTTTTAAGCGCCTCGCTGCCCATCGATCGGGTGGAACTTGGCCGTCTGTAATGTAGAGCAAGATTTCGATCCTCCAATCTTCGGTTGCTGGCTCTTGTTCGGCAGGTTCATCGATGACCTCGGGGGGAGGCAACTCGACGGCGTCCAATCTGTTCGCTTCAAGTTCTCGAACCGCGCATACTCCTCGAGGTAAGACAATGCTAGGGGAATCGATGCTTTCTACCGGGATTACGCGCCTTAGATGTGGTTCAGACGTCGATGCGAGGGCGGCTAGTGCATCTGCTGAGGTGTTGTCACTCCTCGGAATTCTGGTGAGTGAGAAAAGTTTAAAGCGATCAGCGAGGTTTTTGACGGCTTTAAGATACAAATCCATCCGGTCGTTTCTGGTGTCGTAATCGCCGCTATACTGACTAGCAACGAGCTGGGAATCGCAGAAAGCTTCGATTTTTTTGACCCCGATTCCTTGCGCTAGACGTAGTCCTGCGAGTAAAGCCTCGTACTCCGCTTCATTATTGGAGGCTGGAAATTTGAGCCGGAACGATTGCTCCAATATCTCTTTCGTCGAAGATTCTAGGCGGATGCCGATACCTGCGCCTCGGGACGAGGAGGATCCATCGACGTATAAGGACCACTTCTCGTCAGGTAGGTCGGTCTGGATTAGCTCTGGCGGAAGCTCTACCAGAAAATCTGCGAGGACCTGCGATTTGGCACTTGTCTTATTGCGATATTCAATATCATATTCTGTCAGCTCGACAGTCCACTTTGCCATGCGACCTGACTGGCTCGGGCTGTGCAGTATGGTTCGGAGTGGTTGATTGGTCAAGACGATGATCGAATGGGATTGAAAGTAGGGTCGTAGCTTTCTGGCAGACATGATGACCGCGAGTGCGAGTTTCTCCAAAGTCGGATATCGTTTTTCTGCGTCGTCCAGAGTTTTACTAACGTAGAAAATCGGTTTCTGCTCGCCTCGATCTTCTTTGACTAAAACGCCGCTTACTGCCGAGCTCGATACAGCGATATAGAGGTAGAGGGTTTCGCCTGTTTCAGGTTTGGCTAAAATTGGAGGGCTGGCGAGGTATCCCTTGAGCTGTTGGAAGGCCTCCTCACATTTACTGTCCCACTCGAAACGTTTGTTGCCTCGGAGAAGTTGATAGATTGAAAGACACTTATCTGTGGATCGCGAGATGAATCGGTTGAGCGCCGCAATTCGGCCGGTAAGACGTTGGACTTCACGAGTGTTGCGAGGTGATGGGAGATTGATTAGGGCATCAATCTGCTTCGGATTTGTCTCGATTTCTCGTTTTGTGACGATGTAGCCTAGGAATTCTCCGGAAGTTACCCCGAAGGTACACTTAGTTGGATTGAGCTTCATCTGGTATTGATTTAGAACGGTGAAGCAAGCTTGCAGATGGCCGATGTGATCACCGGCGGTGAGCGACTTTACTAGCATATCGTCGATGTAAACCTCCATTGTTCGTCCCAATTGATCGGCGAAGATGTGGTTGACTAGTCGTTGGTATGTTGCGCCCGCGTTCTTTAAGCCGAACGGCATTACCTTATAGCAATAGGTTCCTCGATCGGTGATGAAGGATGTCTTCTCACGATCTTCGGGATGCATCGTGATCTGATTGTACCCGGAGAAGGCGTCCATGAATGATAGGAGCTCATTGCCTGCCGTCGCCTCGATGATTCTATCGATGTGCGGCAAGGGGAAACTATCCTTGGGGCATGCTTTATTGAGGTCGGTGAAGTCTACGCAGATTCGCCATTTGCCATTTTTCTTTTTGACGACAACGGGGTTTGCCAGCCATTCTGGATATTTGACCTCGATGATCGATCCAGCCTTTGACAAACGTTCGACCTCATCATTGACAGCTTGTGCCTTTTCTGGACCTAACTTCCTCCGCTTCTGCTTGATCGGTTTAAACGTAGGATCGATGTTAAGCTCGTGACTTGTGATTGAGGGATCGATCCCGGGCATATCGCTTACTGACCAGGCGAATGTCGTTGCATTTCGGCGAAGAAGTCGTACGAGCTCAACCTTGATTTCCTCCTTTAGATCGGCTCTGATCCCTACGCATCGTTCAGGGTCGCTTTCGTCGATGTTGACTTGGACGACGAGCTCCTGCTTCGCTCTTTCTTGAGTTGGCAAATCGACTTGAGTTACGGGTAGAATCGTAAGACACGCCTTGGCTGGAATCACGGATTTGGATCGGAGCTTGTGCTCTGCGGCGAAGCAGAGTCTCGATATCTCCTGAGAACCTCGGATGGTTTTTACCCCGAAGGTGGTTGGGAATTTGAGGCATTGATGATAGGTCGATGGTACCGCTTTCATGGATTGCAGCCAGGGCGTTCCCAAAATTACGTTATAGATGGCGGGTTTGTCGACGACGACGAATTTGACGAGGCGAGTCGTCTTTGCCGCGTAGACTGGAAGCCTGATCGTTCTGATCGAGTAGACTGTGTCTCCATCGAATCCCGTGAGTGGCTTAACCGATGACTTGAGGTAATGGTTAGTCAGTGCCATTTTGTCAAGCGTCTCTTTGAAGATTAGGTCGACCGAGCTTCCTGTATCGACCAGTATTCGAGATACTTCACAATCCGCGATCCGCAGCTCGACCACAAGCGGATCGTTATGTGGCATGTCGACCCCTTCAGTGTCGGCCTCGGTGAAAGTGATCGCATCGTTATCGGCGGTCTTGGGGCTTTTAACTTGCCATTTTTCTGCGAGCATGACCTGGCGGCCGTACTTTTTTATCGACCTGACGGAATCGTTGCACGTCGATAGGCCTCCCATGATAAAAAACACCTTCTTTCGAGATGTCGGAGGAGTGTCACATCGAGGTTGGTTTCCACGGTCTCTCTTCGCGACGTTGTCGTTGGATTGATCGTTCGTTGGAGGAGGAGGTGGAAGCTGTTCGGCGGAAGCCGTTGGTCGAGCCCCGCTGTTTCGCGGCGTGGTGTTTTGGGGCTGGTTGACTAATGCGATCTCCCCCTTGCGATATTTTGCGAGCAAGTAGGCCTGAAGTTCGCGACACATCGCAGTAGGGTGACCATACTTGTTGTGATAGTCGCAGAAGGGTCGTGTCTCTCCATGATCTCCTCGCTGCCAGGTGTTTGATTGGTTTTGGTATGGGTGATTTTGCTGCTGTTGAGTGCTGATGTTGTACGTCGCTCCTCGGCGATTATCACCTCGATAGTTATTGTCGAGGTGTTGTCGAGGTTCCTGATAATCTTGTTTGGGGGTATCTTTGTGAGGTTGCTGCTTCGGTGTCGCTTTTGCTGGCGACGCGGTCTCTTTTTCTTCTTCGTCTTCGATGTATAAAGTGGCACGGTGAAGCGCGTCTTCGAGAGTTCGGGGTTTGCTGAACTTGAGGCTGTCCCGAAACTTCGAATCGATTCGCAGGGCATTCCGAAGAGCTGGCAGCGATGCTTCGTCAGTCACGGTGATCCGAGAAACGATCGCATTGAACCTGCTGATGAAAGACCGAAGGGATTCTTTTTCGCCTTGTTTGATCTGGTAGAGGTCGGCGCTGGAAACTGCGCCTTGGATATACTTCATGTACCTCTTGAGGAATGCGGTCGACAATGCTTGGTAGCTGTCAATCGAGTTCACTTTTAACTTGGAGAACCAAACGAGGGCCGCCCTGCCGAGGTTTTCAACGAACAGTTGGCAGAAGCCTGCATCTTTTTCCTCGGGGGTGAATCGTGCTCGGCCCATTTGAATGCTGAACGCGGTCATGAATTGGCTTGGGTCCGAGTTGCCTGTATATGTCGGGAGGTTGAACTTCACTTGAGTTCTAATCGGGAAGTCGGTGATTCGGGTCGTGAACGGCGTGCTTTGGCTTTCTTTCAACACACGGTCGATCTCGGGTGCCGAGCTAGTGGCTTGATGTACAAGCGAAGTCATGGCTCGCAATTTGGCCCTCATCTCGAGCATTTCTTCGTCTTGCTGTGAGTTTCTTATCTGAGGTCGACGCGTTTCGTGTTCGGGAGCTCCGATGTTCACCTCATCGTAGTTCGAGGCCGGGTGATTTTGTGTCGTTGGTGGTGCTGGCGAATCTCCGAATAAGGCGCGCTGTACTCGTTGAATTTCTTGGGCACGTCTTTCTGGAGCTTGGGTCTCTGACGAATGTAACGTGTTGACTTGATCTTGACAAGAAAGTTGTGCCGCGGCGAGCTCGTTCAGGCGAGCGCTTGTCTGATGATTCAGCTCTTCCATTCGAGCCATCATTGTTGCGAATAACGTTGCGACGTCGATAGGAGCTGGCGTGCTTTGATTTGCAGCTTGCGCTTCTGGGAGCGAAGTTGCGATTTCCACGGGATTTATCGTTGGTGATTGCCTATTCGAGGTCTCTGGATTGTTAACCGGTGACGTATGAAATCCCTCTTCGGCTGTAGTTGAGATGGGTAGACTAGTCGTCTCATTGATTTGAACTCCTGACATTATCGAGCCCCTCTTTGCGTAGAAAGAAATCTCTTTGCCCCACGGTGGGCGTCAATTGTTGTTTTGTATCCGCACACGAGGTTACTTCAGTTAATTTGTCTAGGTTGAGCTCGGAGATTCTTGATTAAATAGAGGTGATCTCGAAGTGTTTGTTTCGAGGTTGTTTGGACGAGGTGAATTAAGCGATGTTAGCTTGCGAGGTAAGAGTTTGATTATAAATCTAGAGTATTCTTGTCCTTGTTTTTGATTACGGATCCCGTAATAAATGAAGTTACAGGGCTATTTATAGTGTTTAAATTAGGTTACATCTCGGTCAGAGTAGCTTGGACGGCCGGGTAGATAGACCTGACCGACCGTCTATCGGAGCGTCGTGGTGGTGAGCTGCTTCATCCATGTCGACGTGGCGAGCTGTCCCATCCACGAGGAGGTGGCGAACTGCTCCTTAGATACAAAAAGATTATCTATTTGAACGACCTCGTTTTACTCTTCGCACACGGGCTTGTTGATCTTATTGGGCTTTCACTTCGTTAATGGGCCTGAACGAAATTACAAAAACGGGGCTGTGCTCAGCCCACCTACAACAGTTATGAAACTTGTTCAAGCCATAAATGCTTTGATATTGCGTATTAAGTTGGTCTTCTTTTCTTATGGATTGTAATACATTACTTTTGTAACGTCTGATTCTCAAAAGTTGTTGAAATATTCAACTTTGTAGCAAATAGACGCACAAATAAGACAAACTTTCTCCATTCAACTCTAAAGCCAGACACAAATAAGACAAACTTTCTCTATTCAACTGTAAAACCAGAGGATAAAATTCTACAGAAAATTGTAATTAAAGCTGGTGCTTTCCCAAACAAAGTCGTATCTTTTTTAGCAACCGAGAGCACAAATCATGCCATTGGCACAGTTGTACATCTTACTAAGCTATCGGATGCAATCCTAAGTCGCTCTCTTACAATTTTTTTCATCATATGCTTTCCTTCTACAGTCAAGCTCGAGGACTGCAAGAAAAATTACGAGGTAAGAAAACTCAAACAGCAACATGGATTTGCAGTTGTGCAATATATAACGTTACAGAGAGAGTAGAAAAAAAAAAAAAAAATCAAATGATCACCTGCAACGTGATAACGTTTTGCAGAATCAAATCGATCTCCGACTTGAATGACGATATTATCTTCCTCACTTTGACGTCGTTGTGCATCAGCAGAATCACAGAGACGATGCATTGTATCATATTCAACGAGTTTCGACTGCTCTCCCTCTCTTGTTGGACCGGTGATTCCAACATCGCTTTGGTGTTTTCACTAACCATCACTCGCATTCTTTTCAGAACCTCTTCTGTGAGTTTGGAGCTCTGGTCAAACAGGAAAAAGCAAGGTACTAAATAGTAGAGACATGTTTGTTTGTAAATGTAAGAAGACTTCTCCTTATCTTCTGGTATATTGACTATATCGATCAAATATCCCGGTAAGAATTCACTTAGAGTAGTTACACTGTTTTCAGAAAGTCTGGTAGGTTTAGAGTCCAACGTGCAGATCATTCTGAGTATGCTACACCCATTGTCCAAAGCAGGCTTCAAAATCTGTACCCATTTAAGTATTTGACATGCTATAATTAACTATATGACTGTGTCTTCCCCACAAAACTATATGATTGTGTCTTAAAATGACAAGGGTAATTATCAAAATCACAGAACTTACTATTTGTTCGACAAAAGCTTTCTCTAGAATCTGGAAGACAAGAGAGCTATCACCCATTTCTGTCAAACATGAGCACACAAGGTTTGTAAGGGATTTTAAATGTTGTCTCCCTCCGCTCATCACACTCAATCGCCGACTCTGCAATGAACATAAAGCCATAATAATAATAAGGTGAAGCTATCAGAAAGCATTGATCATCGAAAACTTGCAGATTCCAGACAAGAACCTCCTGGTACAACTCTGAAACGTGCAATTAAGGTGATGAAGAAGCTAAAATGATCTGTAATCTGGATATATCCATCTCTATAGGCAGTGTGAAGAATTTCCACTATCCGATACAACCCAGCTGGTTCAAGTTGTTGATCTGCAATATATGGTTAATACCCTTTTTGTGGTCATTCTGTCATCAAAATTTGAGTCATCAGGAAAGGAAAGAAATATGAGATACTCACCTAAACAGCATGAAACTATTGTTCTCAGCATAGAAGAGCTGAAATTGTCTATGGTGAAGTAGTAAAAGAAACAGAGAGCCAGTTCTTGGGCTTCCCTGGGGAGACTAGCAAATGGTCCACCAGGCACATCGCCTGTAACAATGACAATACCGAGTTTTAGTTTTAGTGACACTAAGAAAGAATCTCATAACACAGTTTTCTGTTTTGTAGCACCTTCTCCCTGATAAGGGTTGAAGAAGTTTCTGAAGTCTTCCTAAAATGTGGTGGAAGCATTCTTCAGATATCCAACTCGTCCAAGGTCGAGAAAAAGTTGCAAAACAACCTAAAGTAAAAACAAAAATAACAAAAACAATAAACATGAGCCTAGTTGATCAAAAATGGCAAGAATTGTATTGAGTCATGTGTTAGCACCTGGGTATATTCTGGATGCTTATCACCCAACTGATTAAGCAGTGATGGAAGTTTGTAGACCCAAGCACGCTGGTAGTTATTTACAGTTGGATCATTGGGATAAAAGATATCTCCATTCTGCAGATATTACAAGAAAACAGATTTTAGATTTTCATCAGCGTGCGTGGAAAGTTAGACTGAAGTACATATCATGTCTCTATGATACATATGAAGGCAGCACTGTCGTTTTATCTAAGTAGTAATGAATAATCTACAGTCGTTTTATGTTAGAAGTTAAGAAGTAGTATATAAGCGTGTCTAAGGTTTTGGTAGAGGTTATCAAAGAATTGGGTTCTTTGTTCAAAGAGGGGGAGTGGGAGGAGCTCCATTATCAAATTCCTCAAGTTCCTTTGTAATCCAATCGTTATCTTCTATAAATCAGTATTTCTATAAATCTTACAGGGATAATCAAGTCTCTGATAACTGTAATGCAGGCTAATTTAAGTGGAGACTCTGGTTTGCAATTGCTTAAGGTAATAGTAAACGCCTCAAAAACATAAACAACCATATATATATATACATGAAGTTACTGCTAGCTATCAAAGGAAGTAAGAAAGTATAGACGAACCTCCATAAGATTATCTCTCCAATCACGGTCCACCCTCAAAGTAACTTTTGGAACAAAAGGCACGAGTGCAAGTAAAGTCTTTTCGTGAATAGGTTTACTAATACTCCTCGTGATCTGCAAAAATACATGTTTGCAAGGAAATTAGAAGGATTACACGACAATCGAAAAATACTCAATGAAAACTAATCAGCTTGAGTTATTTAGCAATGAGAGCTAACCTTGCCTAGTAGGGTATTCTCAAGAAACTCCATAAATCTATAGGAAAGATCACAAGGAAGGTGGCTCCATTCACGTACTTCCAAAAAGATCTCTGTCAATACACCGTTGAGGATAAAGTAGCTTTCATCATTCTGTCAACACAACAATCAACCAAGTGTTTAGCAAGGTCTATTAATAATAATAAGCAAAGCATAACATAACATATAATCATTAGGGAGAGTACAAAACAATGGCAGGGAGAGTATAAAGATGATTAATACCTTTTTCGAAAGATTGTTTTCGGGATTAAGTGGAAAAGAACCAAATAACTTTTTTAATAACATTGATGACATGTCCTGATCCAGTTTCAACAGAGTAACTTGTTCAGATTCAGTCTGTCTTTGAGTGTGCCTACGAATAGAGAACTTGATTGCATAACATATGCTGCAAAAGGATATGGTGTACACAATCAATTAATGATTTTGCATCCAATCCTCGCGGAGCATGAATCAATGGAATGAAATCTTGGAAACAATTGATAAAGGCTCCAACAATCTCCTTCAATATCCCAGAGACATGGTTAAAACCTATAAGAACCCGTAGAAAAGTATTCAAGAAAACATGATACGAGCCATAATACCTATAAGAACCCGTAGAAAAGCATTCAAGCTAAATATGTATGGCATCAAAAGTGACACCACACGGCCCTGGTTATCCTGAATAGATTCACAAAAAGAATCGGCTGTTCAGATATAACTAGAAAAAGACATGGTTATTACAAAACATGCAAAGTTTGAAAAGAGGATGCATAAGCAAAGAGGCAAGAAACCAGTAAGAATAACGATGAAATAACAAGTGGGAAAAGAACACATACCTCTTTACAAGCAGGAAAGATCCGAGATTTGAATAGTTTATAGAAAGCTTTTCTCACTTGCTTATCATCATCATAAATGAGTCCCCCAAGTTCCTGTATGGGGGCATATTTCTTCGAGTGCAGCTCTGCTGGATGATTTTTGAAAAGGTTTTCGATACCAAGTAATGCATCTACACAAGACAAAATCCAAAATTGATCCGCAGGTTTCATATTTTCTTCAACCAAAAACATCAAAATTAAACATGAGAAGAAATAAAAAGGAAAGTACTTTTGCGAACGTTAGCATTGTGATGAGAAGTTTTTCCTAGAAGCTCTTTCAAGGTCAAGCCTTTCTTACTTGTAGCAAAGCCATTCTTTTCTGCTGCCACACTTTGCTTAGGAAGTATAATTGCTGCAAAATATAAGCAATTTTGAGCTAATTAAGGGGGAAAAAATGTTTGAATATTACAGGAGAGAGCACATATATTTACCTTTGGATTTAATCTCTGTGTTAGTTGTATTCTTTGGTGGAGGTAATTTTCTCCCGAGCTTTCTCTTGATTTTCTGCAAAATAGATTATGCACCAAACACTTGAAGATTCATAAGAAAAGAGACAATGTTACTTAAAACCCTAAATAAAAGAACCTTGAAATCAATTCCTTTGTTTTGCTGCTTCTTTGCAGGAGCTTTGGAGCGAGCCATTTGTTTATCTTCTTCAGCTGCGTAAACCACACGCAACACATTTAGCTCCCTTTCTGAAACTTAAAGATAACAATCACATAAATACCTTATAACGACGCCGATTTTACGGTGTTGCTGAGGAAACTCCGGCAGCAGAATTGTGTTCTAAAGATATTGACGAGGGAAAAAAGAAAAGTTATAAGGTTTAAGATGGGCAAAAGATGCAAAGAGTACTTTTTTAAATGCAAAGAGTACCTTTTTAAATGCAGAGAGTACTCTTGATTTTCATTAATTTATAAGCAAATAAGACGGCGATGATGGACGGTGAAGAAGAAGGAAAACGGCGGCTATGGCTTCGAGGTTCAGTGAGAGATTGAACGGGAAGATGTTTGGATCGGGTTGTTGCAAGGCGGGTAGGATATTATTGGGCCATGAAGTTTAATTTTATTGGGCCATCATCTATTTATCGGTTAAGGCGTTTGAATTAGATCGGTTTAGATGCTTTAAACCGAATTGGCAAAAACGACTATTTAGTAGAAATATTAAGATGATATATAAGATATCGTATTTATTCTCGAGAAGATGTATAAATCCAATTAATATTTTATTTGTTGTAGCAAAATTAATCACCCCAAAAAAGAGTACATGAGAAATGAGTATGTCACAACTCATAGCCACACACCTCTAAGATCGAGGTTGTTTGAAGCCCCTTCTGTATCAATCCAACATGATCTTATGTGACATATGCCAATAATATAAATATTTATTTTATTTATATAGACCTTATAATTTTTTTTAAAAGTATAATTTTATAAAATATTCCCTCTGTTCAGAATTATTTGATGTTTTAGAATATTTTTTTTGTTCAGAATTATTTGATGTTCTCACTTTTCAATACAAAATTTAATGAATTTTTATAGTTTTTGACCTTTTATATTCTGCAGATTGTCTTCTTATCGGCTGAATGATATTTAAATGGATTATAAATAATATTTTTAGTATAGAAAAAAAAAATTAAATGAATTCTTAAACTGTGTACAAAAACCTTAAACATCAAATAATTCTGAACAGAGGGAGTATAAGTATATAACTACCACCACCCTTCGCATGAAAAGTTTCTTATTATTTTCTTCTTCTTTTGTGTACACTCTTAGACCATCTCCAATGGTTGCCTCTATTTTTGCCTCTAAAATAGAGGAACTCTAAAATAGAGGTACATTTGTCTCCAATGGTTACCTCTATTTTTCCCTCTAAAAAGGAATATTCTCAGTATATTCTTTTTTTTAATTGTTGTTAACACCTTTTATTAATAAAATTTATGAATGATCCCCACTTTTTTTTTTTTACAAAAATTTACAGAAATTATAATAATACTAACTTTGATAAATAAAATTTGTGAACTAATCTTTTATTGTACTTTTTATAAAAGTTTTCATAAATTATAATAATACTAACCTTTGACTACTAAATTTTTTAAATTAATCCCACTTATGTTACTTTTTTATGAAAGTTTCAACATATTATAATAGTATTAGAAGTAAAAATTCATAAATTAAATTGATGTTATTTTTCGTTTATTTTTATATATTTTTAATTTGTAATTATCTTTTTGTAGTTTAATTTGCAATGAGAATTTTTATATTTAATAATATCATATGTTTTTAATTTTTTTTTAACTATAACCAAAATTATCACATTTATATTCATAAAAAAATTATACTTTTTGCATAAATAAAAAGATTTAAAAGTTAAAGGACTGTTTTATAAATAAAAAAGTTCACCTCTATTATAGAGGAAAAAAATAGAGTCCCTCTATATTTAGAGGAAAAAATAGTAATCTCTATTTTAGAGGTGAAAATAGAGATGGGTTGGAATATAATCTCTATTTTTACCTCTAAAATAGAGGTGGGTTGGAGATGCCCTTAAGAATAAAACCTCTAACGTTTCTTTTTTGTTAATTGACAATTTGTTAAATCTCTCACATTGTTTCAACATCACCAAATATCACTTAAACACCATGGTTGGAATAGAAAAATGTGGTCGATTTAACTTCTTAGTAGTGATTGCCAATAGAAAGAAAAACCCATTATGTTTTGAATGATAGAATCAAAGATATTTTAGAAAATAACATAAATGAAAACTAAGCACCTTAACCTAAAAAACTGTTATTACTCTTTCACTACAGCTTTTGAACAAAACAAAACAAAAAAAAAGCACTTTTCATGACAGCTAATACGATTAGTTGGCAATAATATGCAGCTTGCGAAAAGCTTAGATTTATTTCTATGTTTCCTTCTCATCGCCAACCATAGTTTTGTATATATTATTGCTAAACAAGAATAACAAAAAAAATTACACATTAGTTAACGTTAAAATATTTTAAGCAACCTAATTCACAGAAAACAATTTTTTAAAAATCTTTTTTTTGTTGTTGTTTAGCAATAAATGTGTAATATTTTGTACATACGGACCACGTCAACGATCTTCTGTTCCTCAGATTTCCAATATAAATCATGCGAACCAATAAGAAAGTTTTCAATTACAGAGAGAGACTGAGAGAGAGAGAGTCAGAGAGAGAGAGAGTAATGCAGTTTGCAAGAAGAAGATACCCACCACGAGAAGGTCTAGAGATGCCGGCGGCCGAACCGAACCGAACCAGCCGAAGAAGTCACGGGTCGGGTCTAAGGACCCGGCTGGCTTGCACGTGTTCAGGCCGGCCTGGCTCAGCTCGGTGCGTGCGGCACGGTTATATGGTTCCAAGCAGAGAGAAGCTAATGAGGAGAGCAAGTGACGGAAACAGAGAGATACTGAAGAGAGCCTTGACGCCGCCTAGCCACCGTCGTATAAGCCACCACTGGTGGAATTTCCGGCCAACTCCAAGCCGACTCTGTAATATGTCTTCTGCTTGATTCTTCCTTTTTCTTTTTCTTTTGGAGGGTTTTGCTCAAAATTACACAATACATAACCTTTTTTACTTCATGTTATGTGAACTTCTAATCTCAATAGGGATCGAATAAAAATGTTTATGTGGTGTATTCAAGATTCTGGTCATTTTTCTTACACATAGAGATCCATCCATTTGAAATTTGAATATTATTTTCATATGTTCTGTAACAATCTCAAATCTCTGGACCCTCTATTTGGCTAACTCTGTATATGTATATACAATACGATGACGATAAAACCCGTTCTGGCATACTTCTTTCTCAGTCCTGTTATAAACACAAGCCATGAATTCGTGTTAGATCGATGTTCTTGTGAATCGAATGCGAAAGGTTGTGGATGTAGCAAGTACCTTGGAGGGATCAATGGATGTATCAACAACAGACTCAGAGATTCTAGCTTCTGATTTCTCGTTTGAGTAACTGAAATGAAGAAGAGACCACAGAGAAGGAAACAATAGATTTAGAGACTATGTTCGTCTTCCTCATACCAGAATGTTACCAGAATAGTTAAAGATTAAGAAACACTGGAGACTTGAAAAGTTAGTTTGATACTCACGTCGAAAGTATAGTGACCCAAATAAGCTCCACGCAATCAACCCAGAGTAGTCGTTGTTCTACAGGAACCAAACCGTATGTGATCAAATGAGCAAAAGGCCAAAGCTTCCACCCTGCCTGCATTCAAAAACCAAAGTATGTTGAATCTTGAATCTTGAAACTACAAAAGTGAGAGAGGAATGAAAGATTCTTACTGTTAACATAGGCAAGAAGGTAGCTTTAAGTTCTTTAAAGATGCTGAGAGGCGATTCAAGACGCAGAAACCCAAGAACCGTGAAGTAAATACTGTTCCATATAGCCGACCACACGGTTTGATCAAAAACGACCTTAACAGGAACCACCCACCAATCTTGAAAAGGGAAAAGCTCCTCGCAGAACTGGTAATAGAAATGAGACAAAGAGCCATGGAGAGTGAAACCCACTAGTCCTGATCTCAACGTTCTTGCCCTATCAATCTCAAACAACGGTTTGCCTTCGTAACACTGGAGAGAAAAGATTGTTAAATGTTAACAAACGGTTCGAATTCATAAAGGCCGAGCAAAAAATCATTCCTTTAAGAGTAGAAAAGAGTAAAACAAAAACCTGAGCTATCCAATCTCCTACAGAATACACAACTCCACTTATGACCATTTTCGCAAGAACCGGGTTTCTCTTTAATGCTTCTTCGTAAGCAATCCAATTATGTTGAGGAGCGTATCTTAGAATCTCAAACAGTGTCCAACCCTGAGATTACAAATACAAAACCATAAATAAGACAAAGCTTCAAGATTCCATACAAACCAACCCAGCAAAATTCATAAACATTCAAGAAACTCCAATAGAATCATCAAGAAAACTATGTGACACACAAGTACCATCAAAGTCACAATCTTTGTGATGGAAACCAAAAAGGGCATTAGGACAAATCACTCAAGCAACATCAAAATCAGGCCTTTACACGATTTGAGAAATTAGGACAAACTGTTGTCTGAGATTTGAAACGAAGAGAAAATACTCACATGCCAATAATCATGATCGATGGTGAGCAATTTGGTAATGGCGTAAGTACCAGCAGCTAAAACAATAGTGGCGTTGATGCTCCGATCAATCATCTTCTCCATCTCTTCGCTCTCACTCCTCCTCTCGTCTCCCAAATCAGCTGCCGAAGAAGAAGAAGAAAACCCTTCCAACGAAAGCCGACCTTCGCTCGTCGCACCGCCGAATCCAACAACCACAGATTCGTTCACATCTTTCTCCGTCTCAGTGCTCATCACCACCACCGAACCTTCCTCGTGGTCCGTACGATCTCGGCTCTGAACAGGAATCACATCTATTTCATCATGGATCAACGCGCGCGAAACAAAGTCTCTCTGTTTGTTTCTCAGGAAAATTTGGGAGCGGTGAGGTTTCAGGGACGGTTTCGAGAGAGAGAGGAAGCTACGTGGAGAGATTGAAGTGTGGAGTGAAGAAGCAGCCATGGCGGAGAGAAGAAAAACCGAGTTTCGAGTTGACTCGGGGATGACTCAGAGTCAGACTCGCTCGGTTTCTCCGAGTTGTGGGATTTGAAACGGACGCTATCTTATTGCTGATTCGTGAGTCGTGAAGAATCCCACGTAGCTATGTTCTGGTACGGTCATGTTACAGCGTTTGTATCGAATCCAACGGTTGTGATTTATTCTTTGACTTGTAGGATATGTTTGACTTAGAAGATGGACGGACACGATCAGAAACTTCAGAAAGTTTCCAAGTTATTGGTATTACGAATAGAAGATTCTTCGGGTGAGGAAGAGAGTACTGTCCACAAGTACATTTATAAGATTCTCTTCACAGAAAATATATATATGGTGAAAACATTTATAACCATGACAATATTCAATTATAATATTAATATTCTTAACAATATATATGTGATGCAGATATTATATCAACAAAAAGAGATGGCCCCAATTTTCACTTATATTTTGGATTTAATGGTAGGCAGCCAACTGATTATTGCCAAAGAAATTAAAGAAGACAAACGTATTGTTTTTATATTCACTAAATTAATTCATTTGAGTTTTGCAGATGCACTGTCAACCAAGAACCAAAAATCATAGCTTCAATCTAAGACTGTGATTACATTTTGGAACCATTCACAGAAACAAATATATCAAATTAAATGCTATTCGGAAGATCAACACAAAAGTATGTTTTTTGTCACTGTAATTACACAACAACATTAGATCTTTTCTTTTGTTTGCGAAAGGCTTTTCATTGGAGAATTCTCATAAAAATATATATTAGGATTTCTTACAATTCACAAAGATCATAAAACACTTATATAGCCTTCATGTATCAATTAGCAAAAGAAAGAAATGAACCAAACAAGATATAATATTGCTATGTTAGTATTACAGGAGCCATTTTCGATATTTTAGCTCCAATTTCTTAAGGGGTTTGAGCTGCAAATGACATAGTCAATAGTCATACTCAGAGAGGGAAGAAATTAAGGAGAATTAATGGTTGATCGGTTTGGAATTCAATCTTTATTAAATATTTCAGAAGTTTATCACCAATGATAGAAATAAATTGTCAATTGTCATTCAGATATTTGTACAAGAAAGTAATCAATCTTACTCCTATCAGAATAAACTAATGCTTAAAAATTAACACACGTTAGCTTAGACATATACTCCCTCTGTTCAGAATTATTTGATATTTTAGAAAGTTTTTTTTGTTCAGAATTATTTGATATTCTCACTTTTCAATGCAAAATTTAATGAATTTTTATAGTTTTTAATCTTTTATATTCGGCAGATTGTCTTCTTATTGGCTGAATGATATTTAAATTGATTATAAATAATATTTTTAGTATAGAAAAAATAAAAATTAAATGAATCCTTAAATTGTGTGCAAAAACCTTAAACATAATAATTCTGAACAGAGGGAGTATATTTTTAAGAAAAATACTATTTTCCGTAATTAAAAATGATTCAAGTTTCGATTCTTAGCTAATTAAGACTAAACCATAAAACAAGAGTCTAGCCAGGAAAAACTGGCCTATATTAATTTTCAACATCTCCATTCAATGTTTTTACACGATTCAACGATATGAAGTTTGCCATAACTGCAACTGTTATTATCACCGATTTTTTTTGTGTGGTCAACTTCCAATATTTATTTAAGTTTCTATATCACATTTATGCATTAATAAGTAAATACAAATATTGCTGGTAAAAGGAGTAAGGTGTTGAAGTTTGATCCGCTAGATGTATAGAAGCGCTGACCCTAACATTGAATCTGCTCGATGCTTAAAAATCAGTCATCGAGGTACTTAACGGGTTCTCGGTTTCTCAGGTTCTCGTGTCAAGACATTTTCTACGTCACTAATCACTATCTATATATATTCCAGTGATAAGTATTCACTCTTTTATATCAGTTTCATTTATGTATCTTGATCAGCAATTTTAATTGCGGAACATGATGGATAACTTTAAGTGCCTAAGTGGGCATAATAATCGTGGTCGTGGTTACCGCAATGTCCGTGGACCATCGTACTAGAAGTCGCTAAAGGATTTATTCTTCTTTAGTTTTGACTCTCTTGTCTCTAGCTAGACTCATTGTATGACCTCCCATTCCACATCTTGTTGCGCCACGTCTTACAACTTTCAAAAATTATATGATTTCAAAGTCATATCTATGTAATACTTTTCTTGTATTTGATTTGAAAAACATTTGTCAAAATTTGTTTTTTTAATTTGGTATGGATTTTCTTTGTGGTTTTGATCGTGACTACCGAAATGTGAAGATAACTTTTCCTATTCCAAGGATTTTACAAGTGCTATTTTGGGTGAGCTATTGAATTTGTCTATATCTTTAAGCTTCTGTTTGAACGTTGTTTTCTTTAAGTTTACCATTATGCTGGGCTAATATGTTGGTCGTTGCTTTGGTATTTTGGTTTTTGTAGCTTTATTATAATCCTTCTAATTTTATGGGGTCAGACACTCAGACCTGACCTTTATTTTTGTTAAATGAAATGATAGTTTAACCCCAAAAAATGAGAAAATATAATACAATTTGCAGCAGAAAGAATTGAAAAATTGAGGAGAGGTTTTGTCATGACCCATCTCCTCTCATGACAATGACAAACTCAACCTCCAACTGTTTCGTCCACGTGTCAGGTATTCACACCTTCTTCATGACTCAAATCCTTTGCTACTAAGGAAAATCATAATGACATTAATATGAAGAGACTTCATACCTACGTAACTTTTTATCTTTCAAACATATGTCAATTATTTAGAAGAGATAAAATCATCTTTATGCTACAATGTTAGTATCAACGTAAATGCCAAAAATAATTTACTAGAAAACATAAAATATTTACACAGATTTAGAGAAAAAATATCTTCGTTTATTGTATTTATTTGTATAAACTAAAAGAACAGTTTTTTTTTTGACGGCAAAGAACATGTTATTTAATGAGAGCTGTACGTGTGTGTGTGTATTTCAATCTCTCAAATATTTACTTTTTGAACTCCCCACACGAGTATTCGATTTAACTTTCAATTAATTCCTCGTCCTATATTTTATTATTTATAAGCTCAAAAGTTCCACAGACCAGAGACCACAGCCACCACTTGTACCATTAAACAAAAGAAAACAAAAAACAAAAAAAACTCAGAAAACATTTCTTCTCTGAAACCCATCGTCGCAACGAGTCTTCATTTCTGTTTCCTGATTGGTATAAATCTTTTGAGTCAAGAAGAGATATGGTATGTTTCTGTTTCTTGGTGGATCAGAAAAGGAAAATAAAACGGAGCAAACCGGCGGCAGGAACATGCTCAAGGTGTAGCCATGGTGCGAGCATCGCAGACATGAAAACGTCGACGAGATTCTGTTTTATTCCAATTTACTGGAGATCTTGGAGAGCCGTCGTCTGCAGTTTCTGTGGCTCTGTTCTTAAGTCTTACCGTTGATTCTCCAATTTTATTAAGCACTGTTTTTTTCTTACATAATTATAAGGTAATATATATACGTGTGGTAGTATATAGAGATCATAGGATTTATTTTGATTAATGTTCTACGAGTCTATCTACCTGCAAGAGGATATTTCTTGACATGTTGGAATCTCTTGTTATCAAACGAAGGGCTAGTGCTAGCGTATATATATAAATGTGGTTTAAAAATGATTAATGATTTTTATCAAAAAGTGATTAATGTGCTGAATGTGTTTTTAATAGTAGAAGGTGATTTTTCCCTAAACTATTAATTAGACCAAACTTATAGCAAAAAAAACGATTAGAACAAACTGTATTTGTATTATAAAATTGTTTGAGTTCTTTGTATCTATCTATATATGAAAAGTTTAAAGTAAATTAACTTAACTTTTATTTATTTACTTGAGCGTCAGACACTTGGTTTGGGCTTTGACTGGAGTGTTTGCGGAAAACTGCTTACAAAAAGTCTCACTTTGTTAAGAACATTGATGTAAGGTAATTTTGAGAATTGCCACTTATGCTAAGAACAACTCTCATGCACTCTATTTTACAACAGTAATCAAAATATTACTAGTATTCTTCAACTATATATATATATATATTTTTTTTTTTTTTTGGTAAAATTATTCTTCAAGTAATCTTTCTTTCTTATTTTTATTGCATCTAAATAAATCTCCAATGAATTTTTCATTTTCAATCTCTTTTATCTATTTTATAATTCTTTTGAGCTTGAAATTTCCTTGCCAATTTACTTGCAATATGTACAAACTGTGAAATTTCTCATATAGTTAATGAATTAGGATTTAGTGCTAAAAACATAGGACATGAACAGATAGGAACAATTCACTAGTTACACATTAGTTTTTACTAGAAACTCATAATTCAATAAAAGGACAAACAATTTTCCTTATTAAAAATACTTTTTTCCCCGACTATTTCCAATTTGTTATTTTATTTTCGGTTGTGGTAATGTTTGATCCAAAAGAAAATGGTAAGAAAGAATTCAAAGAAATCTAATCCTCACTATGAGAATTGGCTGTGCATGATCTTCCTTTATTTCCGGATATATCCGGTTCTCTACACTTTTCACGCTATATACAGCTTTTTCTTTCGTTTCTTTCAAGCAATATAACAAATTTTTAATAGCTCTTCTTACAGTTTGTAATCTTTTCACGACATTTTCTTTATATAGTAATTCGATCGAACTTATAGATGGAAATATGGAATCTGACAATTGGAATGCTTAGATACGATATATTGTCTGATAAGAACATCAATAACATGTGTGGTGTAAGTGTTTAACGACGTAATAACTATCATACCAAATTTTCAACCAGTAATACAAATACCAAAACATGGACACGTTTCCTGTCGGAAACCTTCTCAAATAAACATACTCAATAGATATTTATTAATCCTCGTTTAAGCTTATTGGTTGAATAAAGGTTAGGCATACGTCAAGAAAAGGAAGAAAAAAGATATTTCTCCAACGTCAATTAAGGTGAAAAAGAGTATATAATCTATATATATCTTTATAAATGCAAGGACCTAAAGCCATTAATATGACAATTTAAAAATCTCTTAAATGGTCAATGATCAAAACATTTGAAGAGTTATAAATCTACCATCAACTGTATTGGCGAAAGCAAAAAGAACGAAGAAATATATCATCATATATCTCTCTCCACTCCTCTATCTCTAATGGCTAATAAGCTTTTGTATTATGTAATTTTGGGCATGTTTTTGTTGTTTACAATGTCACGAGTTTGGTGGGAAACGGCGAACAGACCACAAGGTTATTACTATAACGAGTTTTCCGATTCAATTATTTTTTTTTTTTTGAACAAGAAAGTTTTGTATATATGTGATGTCCAGTACTTCCACAAAATATAATCAAGTATTGGTTTGATACAGATTTGGTTATGTTTTGCAGCAGTTTTCAGACGAAAACAATGGCTTGAAAAGCTTTTCGAATCTGGATTTGCATGTCTTCGCGTTGGATTCCATGAAGATCAAAAATACTTTAGGTCTTATTTTCTTCAATAGATAGTAAATTAAAATTTAATCCGGAGTCCGTGTGTATATTTCCCTGACGGAAATTTATTTTTAAGTAGTGTTCTTATGATTTGGTCGGGCTTTCTTCCAAATGAAGGCATTTATGTGCTCATATATGACAAATCCATGGAAACGGGTCACTTATGGATCCGGGTCGGGCACAGAAGTCCAATAGCTTAGCCCAACAAATACATACAAGAGTATATTAGATAATATTAGTTTATATTATTTAAATGTATTTGTTCAAAGATTATTTTGTATCACAATTTATCATGCGAAATTTTTATATAATTTTTTTTTTGTTCATTCGGGTTATGAAAACCTTAAAACAGTGATTAGTTTTACTTCACAATCTATTGGGCGAAATTCAAGGAAGTTATCACAATTCATGGAGAGACGTCAGGACTAAATGTGTTTATTTTCAGAAATATTGATTACCATTTGTATAACCACTCTTAATCATACTTTTATTCTTATTTTAGTATTTGATTTTTTTTTTAGTTCATCTATTTCGTTTAAGTTGAGATGTTGTCTTTTCGTCTTTGATAATTATTTAATAAAATCTTTAAAACTTTTGTCCGTAATGTTTCTTATAATTACAACATATTATCACTATTATTAGATTGAAAATTTACAGATATTGTTGATGATTATTCAAATCATAAATGATGGATCAATCTCCGATAACACAAAAACATCATCAATCTTCGATAGTTTTAATAATCATCAAAATCTGATTGTACAGATCATGGATCAGTATCAGATTGAATGTCATCATCAAATCTGATTGTTTGGGCCTCATTTTCAGAAACTTTGATCACCCCAATTTTTTCTGGCACGCAATAAAAAAATATGGGCAATGGAGAATTCTCTGGATGTTTTCCCTTGGATAATTTGGTATAATTTTTTTTAAAAAAAAACTTTTTACAGTAAAGAGATGACCTTTATGTATACTTTGCAACTCGCTACTCATGAAAAGGAAAGCTGGAAAGTAGCACAATTAGTGTTGATTGCAGGAGAAGAATGTGTCGTTCAACCCGTGGATCATCTTGAGGAACGATTAGTAACTCCTAAGTCCTAAGTCTCCAACTTAAATAATCTCTAATATAACCACCACGCTAAGTCACTCTTGTTTAATCATTTTTATGATCTTTGACTTTCATTATCATCACACATGTACATACACGATGATTTCCAACCAAATATTCTCCCTGATACTGATTGTGTATATCTATACCAAAAGATATTCCAATTTTGAGTTTTTTTAGTTTTAGAAGAATTATTAGGCAAACTAATAATAGTCTTTTTTTTTTTGGTAAAAAGCAAACTAATAACAGTCCTATCAAAGTTCATGCGCTTTCATCATTTAGCTCTGCGATGTAGAACCATAGTTGCAGTCTTAGTTTTATTTGGTCGTGCGATTCTTAGTTCTCTACTAATAAATCACGTGGGAAATTATACCAAAGGATTTTGGACAGATACGTAATGTATACAGGATTATATTTTAATCTATATAAAATATAAATGCATGGAAAAATGGAGAACGAAATATAAGCCTTGGGGGCTGGGGCAAACATTGTTGTTTGGTACGAAATCGAAGTAACGCGTTTGCCTAATGGCTTTATGACTTTTAATTTATATTTATCTCACATGGACCAATTTGTTTGTTTTTCAGCATTTAAGAGTTGGGGGCTGGGGCTAGCAGTGTTGTTTGTTTCTTTACCACTTAAACTGCATATTATATTGCAAAAGCAATATTAATCGAAATTCGAATATGAGAAAACGATGTATTTTAGAGAAAATTAATTGACCTAAGAACACGATTGCTCATGTCTATTCAAGTTATTTCGTTTAACCCACCGGTAATGTATTCATATGCGCAAGCTCATAGTTAAATGACATGTGAACAAATAATATTAGTATCCTTTACAAATTGTAGTTGTAAATTATTAACGAGTACAAGAATCTAAAATATCCGGATTAAGGAAGACACATGGGATGTTTGGGAAGGATTTCAATTATATATTAGCGAATAATCCTATCAAAAACCTAACAAATATTAACAGCCCTAGGATCTGTTCCCTTAGTTTAACTCATTTATAAACAAGGACCCAACTTATGTCTCTCATTTGACCAACACCACATTAGACCTGTCTTTGGTCTAACCTTGGCTTCCTCTACAAAGCTAATAGAAATAATTTTGAAAGATTAATTAGCCTCTTCCACGTGTCAACATATTATTGGGTCATATTGGACCAATTTTAGACAACATATAAATGCACAAAGGCATTACATAATCATCATTGCACCAAGAGAAGTATCAAAATTTCATATAACCAGAGCCAAACAAAAAAGAAGAAGAAGAAGAAGTAAATGGCAAAGGAAGGCTTAGGACTTGAGATCACAGAGCTAAGATTGGGCCTTCCAGGAGATAACAACTGCGAAAGATTAGTTTGCGGATCGAAGTAGACCTCGGACATGATGACGTCTTCTTCATTAGAAACTGACGGTGAAAGTAGCATCGTTTCATTGGTGGACATTGTCGCCGCTGAGGTTGAGGATGACATTCGACCCACGGCTAAGAGTCAGGTGGTGGGGTGGCCACCTGTGTGTTCTTATAGGATAAATAAGAACAATAGTAAAGAAGTATCGAAAGCGAAAGGGTACGTGAAAGTGAGGATGGATGGTGTGCCGTACTTGAGGAAGATTGACCTTAGTTCGAGCTAGGGTTATACTCATCTTGCCACCGTTCTTGAGAATCTCTTCGGCTGTCTTGGCCTAGGTTAGTAAATGGTATCCATTACAATTTTTTTTTTCCTTGAATTGCCAACAAACATTAAACACAAATGCAATTAACGGATCTTCAGTTTGCGTTTTAGTGTTAATTTTGTCGGCCAGGTGGTATTAAAAGTCTACTTGAAAAAATAGAGACTAATTAAATATAAACGTAAATGTCAAAAACATTCGAATGCAAATGTATTCCATACATTAGTTAATCCATCTAATTAATTACATCGCCAGGTTAGAAGTTACATGATTTTCAAAAAATGTAATAGCAAGAGACCTAATTATCGTGTATATTGCGTAGGAGTACTGGCGTTGAAAGAGTGTGAGAAGTTCGAATACGTTATTATATACGAGGACAAGGATGGAGACTGGATGCTTGTCGGAGATGTACCTTGGCAGTAAATTTATTTTACCTTAAAGTTTTGCTCATACTTTGCTACATTATAGATAGATTGTCAACTTTATGGAAATTATTTTATTTAACCTCTCTTAAAAGTCACTTATTTGTAATAATTATGATTTTTGTTTTTGGTTGGCAGGATGTTCAAAGAGTCATGCAAGAGGCTGAGGATCGTGAAGAGATCTGATGCAACCGGTTTAGGCCTGCAGCGAGATTCATCATTCGTGTGATGGTGATCTATAGTTAACCATAAAGTTTGAAAACACTTGAATACAATTTTTTATCATAGTAAATTTTCAAATTATAAAATTTCATAATGATCATAGTGGATGCTATACATGTTTTCTTCAAAACTAGAGAAGTTAATCATCAGTTACTGGCTACTTTCCTTAATAGTCAGATTGTATGTTTTATGTTTACCTTTGGCTTTAAAGGGTTTTTCACTTCTCTAATCATCTATACGATGTAAGTTTTTTTTTTTTTTTTAATAATCAAGTGGCATTATGGCATCAATGTTATTATTGTTTATCTTAACAAAAGAAGTAAAGAAAATCAAGTGGCATTTCCTTATAATCCCCTGGCTAATTTTTCTTTTTTAATAAATGGGGCTACAAGTGTAAAACCCCTATTTATGGATCCTCCCAACTCCCAACTGATAATATAAGATAAAAATAAATATGAAGCAAGAAATCTAAATTTTTTTTTGCTAACTTATATAAAATTGATGCCATGACTTATTCTGATCACATGTAGTTTTGGTTGAAGATTCTAACTACTTTGTCGGTCCAAATAAATGATGCATATCCTCCATATTAATTGAACATATCAATGCAGGTAACAGATTTGAAGTTTATATATACTGCATACTATTAATCCAAATCCCTAAACTTATTGCCAAGACACACACAAAAAAAAAAATGAAGGCTCCTTCAAAACAAGATATGAATTACTCCGGTCATGTCAAGAAACGGCAAGACGAGAAAGGCTGTTTATACGCCACGTCCGTACAACCATGATCTCTTCTCTTTCTTTGTTACGATTTTTGTATTGTAAACTCTTTATGATCTTGCTTGATGATATTGTAATATATTGCAGGCTTTTCGGGTTGTTCTGTTGCTGTTGCTGCTACGAGAGATGTGATTGTTGTTGCTGCGTCTGATTCTAATGATCATCTGAAAATGTTATTTTTATGTGTCACATTTGTTTATCTAAATCATATTTTCCATTCAAGCATCGAATATTTAACTCTATTCGGTTTTTCAGTTCAGGTTGGTTTGACTTTTTGGGTTTTAACAAGATCTAGATTAATTTAGTTCGTTTCGTGTTTAGTTCAGTTTTGGTTAAAAATGTATAATAATAAAAAGATATAAATAATCTTAATTAAGTTTATATTTAAGTTTAAATTTTGTTTTAAAAAATGTGCCATTTTGGAAAATAATCCTATTTAATTAAGATAATACATTAAGAAATTTTTCTTTGTTCAACTTATTTGGTTTGGTTATACATAACTTAGATCTGAATCGGTTTATTTGGGTCATGTTCGTTTGCACATCTGACATCTTCATCCAAATAATCCATTTAAATAATTTATTTAAATAGTGCATTTGAATGATGTTGTTTATCTGAATGAACATTTGTTTGTGAATTTACATCTCCATCTAGATGCTTTTAATGAAAAATGACTGCGTTTGAAAGCATTACAATCAATCACAATAAAAAGGTAATGACTCTTTCGTTAAGAGAAGAAACCTAAAATGAAAATCACTTCAAATCTTCTTCACATCAGATGGGTCTAAATTCCAGAAAGTCTCTGCAAACAAACATCAAGAATCAAATATAAGAAGGAAACAAATTTGCAGAGGCTATTCAATGATACACAAAGCAGATCATATCATAACAGTCACCCACTAATGGAACCATAAGACCAAGCTATCACTCTGCATATCAGAATACAAAGAAGGCAGACTTGTTAAAGTTAATGCAAACTAATTTGTTTGATTATCTCATAAAGAAAAGGAACGGCTTTGCACATTAATTGACCAAACACACAAGCTTGGATTCCCCAATAAATCAGTTTGAATACCGTGATATGCAACAATGAACAAAAACATGGATTTCTAACAGAACTATCCAGAGCCAAATGGAAGAAAAATATCACATACCTGTTAATATGAAAATCTAGTTATTTTTGTTATTTCTAGAGTAATGGAATCACACATTGCCTCCATAATTCTGTCACCAGCTGTATGGAACATGTTCCTCATTTTCATCACCATGTTGTTCATAAGATTCCATTCTTTCCCAATATGCAAAGTCACTATCTTCTTCCTTTGAATCTCTGATAAAACGTGAAGAGCCATTGTTGCTTCACATTTTTGACTCATTTCGTAAGCTCATACCAAGAGTGTTTCATGTCAAGAATCTGCCATTTAGCTTTCCATACATTAAATATTCGCTTAATTACTGATCTCAAGTCAGAATGCTTGCGTTTAAACAACTCCTAACTGTTTGTCGGTGGTCCTTCTCTATTGAACTAATCTAAGTAGTATGATCTAATTTTACGATATAGACTTAGATAACCTGTTTGGGTTGGATAACCAAAGTCGACTAAGTAGTGTTGTTAATATGTAGACTAAGTATTGTTTTACAATTAGTGTTGTTAATATTCCCTACTTTTCGGTTAATTTATTTGAGTTTGTTATTAAAAAATTGGCAAGAAGTCAATAACCAACTAAATTTTGTACAGTGGACCAATCGGGAAAAACAAAAACCTTTGCTTTTTCAGTCATAAAATAATAAAACAACACTAATTGTACAACACAATATGCAAAGTTGGTGGTCTTTCTCTATTGATCTGATCTAAGTGGTATGATATATTTTTACAATGTAAATTTAGGTAACTTATTTTGGTTGGGTAACAATAGTCGACTAAGTAGTATTTTTCTAATGGAAGATGAGGAAATGAAGCTTTTTGTGTTGTACAAAAAATGTGCCATTTTGAAAAATACTTCTATTTAATTAAGATAATATCATTAAAAAAAACTTTTTTTCAACTTATTTGGTTTGGTTGTACAGAATTTAGATTTGAGTTGGTTTATTTGGTAATGAAGTTTTCTATGGTTCAGATTATAATGAAAATTTAGTTAAGCAAATGCAACCAACTAATTAATCCAATGAAGATGAATTTTCATTCATCTATATATCAACTACTTTATATTTTATCCGACAAAGATGATTTATTAATTTATCAAGCCTTATCATATTTGAGATGATTTATGAATTGTGTGAAACTCAATAAAAAAAAATTAAAAAGAAAACCTTCACAAAACTTGAAATTCAGTATTAACCACTAGAGAACAGAACGTGAGGAAAAATCAACATAATTGGTATCTGGATTTCATCTGTTCATAAAGATTCTAGATTTCTGGACTCAATGCATCCGAAGAAACAGAAAATCAAAAGACTGTTAAGTACTCTAAGTCTTAACAACCATCAATCTCTTTAGTTTATTCCTGTGAAAACTCATCTCCGTAAATGACCAAAATACCCTTGACTTGAATCTAAATGGAGCTCACTCGTTTTCATCATCTTCAAATGTTTTAATCTACAGAAATCCCAAATTCCTCAATCGATAACCCTAAAAGGTTCAAATTTTCCTCGTGGGTTCAATCTCGATTACATCGATCTCGTAGTCTCTGGTTTTTACTATTTTGTTTTCTTGGGAAAAAATGTCGTCGGTAGGAACATCTAAAGGGATTCTCGAAATCGCCAAGTTCGGCGTGTACGTGGCAGTTCCTGTCGTCCTCATGTATACATTCGCCAACAACAGCAACAACATCAAGAAATTCATGGGGAATCGTTCTTACGTCGTTTATCCCGAAGAAGCACCTCGTCCTCATTCACCCGAAGAGCTTAGAGAGATGGCTAAAGAACTTGCCCGCAAAAAGAACATCTCCTGAAATCCCACAGAAACATTCCAGATCTTCTAGTTCCACTTGTATTAGCAATTTTCAATAAAGGTAACTCCTTTTTTTTTATGCCTGTAAGATCAAATAATTTGTATAAGAGAGGAATAATGAGGAAAAAAAGCATTTTGCTTTGCCTTTGCCACACCATTTTTGTTGAAAAATTCATTCTTCTTATGATCTGAAAGTTTCAGTCTTTTGGTAATATAATTTATTGATTTCAAAGGGTACACAGAAATAACTGACAAGCAAGCAAATGAAAAGGCTTTTTAATGTTTTCACATTCCACATTAAACTTGAGAGTAAAATGAGATCTCTGTCCAGCTTAAGTGTAGTAAAATTGAATAAGGTAAAATTTTTAATGTTTTTGATTCCTGTAAAGTCATTTGGTTTGCCACAGTTTGTTGAAATTTAAATCTGAAATTTTATTTCTTCTAGTGAGTTTCTTCTTGGTAATGTAAAAGGGGTAATACAGAAATCACTGAGAAGCAAGTGAATACAGAGCTTTGTTATTTTCTGTTTTCACATTCCACAGTAAGTCTTGAGAGCAGATTGAGATCTCTGTCCAGCTTCTGTGTAATAGAATTGAAGAAATTCTACATGATCAAAGGGCTTAAACATCCTAGGATGTTCTTCGTCCACGAGCTCATCTGGCGCATTCACGATGTATCCAGCTTTTGGAATCGAGAACAATCCGAGGGAGTATCTCGTCTCTGTTCCGGTCATCATGACACGGTGATTAGGAGAATATAATCGACCATTCAGCAATGCCTGTTAACATCAAAACCATTGTATCATTCTTCTTCTCAAGTCTTGATTCTGCTAAAACGCAAGTTAATACCAAAGGCTTACATGAAGAGAATCTCCGATCATAACGATGAAAGAATCTTGAGATGGCTTCACTTTGATCCAATTATTGTCTTTGGTCTGCACCTCAAGACCCTCAACATGGTTTTGGTAAAGTATAGTGACGATGTTTTTGTCGGTATGAGCGTTTAGCCCCAATTCAGTCTCCTCTGTATCAGGCCCTTTGTACTTCATTACTCGCAGGAGGTAGTTCGTTGATTGAAGATGTTCATCCATGTATTTCACGAGTCCGAAGCTCTCCATGATCATTCTTCTGATTGTTACATCGAGCTCTGATAACTTCTTGGAAAACGACTGGATCGTTGTGCTGATAGAGTAACAAAAGTCTGATCAAAACATGTAACCATACTAATCATCTAAATAAAAGACAGAAGTTTTACTGACCTCAAACTGTTGTTGCCTTGAGGCCATAGTTTTTCAGTAAAGGCGTCGACTTTGGCTGCAACATCAGAGTCATCGATTCCCATGCTCTCGTACAGTGGCACCATTGGGTACTGACCCACGTATCCATGGAACGGTTTCTTGGATACGTTTCTCAGTTTTGTCTGTAAGGGTAAGTCGAAAAGCTCTTCCATGGCCCCAAAAATCGATTTTCGTAGCTCTGAAGGGATTCTATCGAAAGAGGCCTCGAAACAGCCATAGTCTTGTAGAGCTTTCTTGACATGAGCTCTGGTTAAGTCCCATTCGGGCTCTCCCGGTTTCAGGTTTTTGTTTGAGAAATTGATGACTGGGAGGTTAAGAGGAAGAAGAGGAGTTTCAGAACCCATTTATTGAGACGAGAGAGATTGCTTACTGAAATGAAATGTTACAGGCCATTTATACATGTCTTGAAATCAGCCTCAAGGAATCTATTTTCTGATGATTCGCTGGACAAGATGTCAAGTTTCTCTCCAGATCCGGAAATTAAGCTGGGAACGAATATTATGACTCTGAAGTCAACGATTCCAGAGGCAATTGAAGACAAAACGTAACTATCATTTCTAGTATCAACTTTGTTATATTTTCAAAACACAGACAATTGATCTCTACGTGACCTCTTTACGATTTATCTTTGTTAATCTCTTGTTTTACACTGGATATTGCAAGTCTTGGATTTGATTTAGATAAATGTTTTCAACCTTGTTCTGTGTCATTTGAAAATTACTATGCTTGGTTTATATTCTGGTCTCTGGAGGATGGGGAAAAAATCAATGTTTATTCAGGTGAGTCGGTCATATGTTATAGTTTTTTTTCTGACTGACAATTCCTTTGTTTTGTTTGTACTAATAATAAATTCGCCTTTATCTTTCTAATGTTACATTTGTAGGCTTTACTATAACAAGTGGATAATGTAGTGGTACACATAGATTACGTCACCTGCACGCAAGTGACGAGTTAAAAAAAAAAAAAACAAAACTCATATAAAGAATGGAGATGGCTTTGTAAGATTGGTATTTATTTCTAGTTAACGAGGTGATAGATCAAAATTCATATACAATAGTACAGCAACGTAAAAAAGAAGAAAAATAAAAAAACCTCGAGCCCATTAAAAGGTATTTAAGAGTAAAAAAAAACTGCAAGGTCAAATCAAGTGGTACTGTATATTTATATGTGTTCAGTCTTACGTCAAATCGAATCTGTAGAATTGGACTAATTGCAGGTCGTAGTTAGCGCGTGACGGCCTAATGGTTAGAAACCGAAATAAATCGTCTGCCTCTACGCTTCGGTTCGGTTGCTGTTGTCTCCTCTGTCGCTTTCATCTCCTAAAAACTATAAATTTCTTTTAAAGAAAAGCCGAAAAATAATGTAACAAGTGCCATTGGAGAGAGAGAGAAGTCACTCTCCGCGCGGGAAACTCTGAAACGCCCTTTTTCTCTACTTTTCTCGCTCATCTCTCGTGCTCGTTCTCTTCTCAAGACTTCGATTCGTCGTCGTCTTTGTACGATCCACGGAGACTGATTACCAAGGCTTTTCCATCAGGTTGGTGCTGATATTTGTTTTATATAGCTTTTAACTAGAAATAAATACCAATACCAATACCATCGTCTTTTGTATTTCATCACGCGCATGAGACATTTTGTGTCGAATTCAGATGTTCATGTATAATCCTGACCCACATTTCCTTTGTACCTTTTCTCCGAAAAAACATTCTATTTTCCGAAGCATCAAAAACCGCCTTTTGAAGTTTGGCGCGTACTTTAACGAACAAGGCCACAAAGCATGCCTAGTCTTCTAGAGCTCTTCGGCCATCGCTTCTCACCAAGATTCGAGTCGACAGTTCCCGGTTTTAGGTAAGACTAGTGAAATCAATGACTGGGAGCTGAATAGTAGGACTGCTTTCCAAACTCATCATTTCCAATCACACAAGCTGTTCTGTTTCAGATCTTTCTATCTTAGTGTTCTTATATAAGCTTTGGAAGACTAATAGGGCTCGATCTTAAGCATAATTAGTTTTACCATGAATCTATTTATTTTGCGCAACACTTTATATATGATGTAAGTAACACAGAAAAGACCATAACTTGGTACTGAAAATAGTTTCTTATGTTTGTATTATATGAATTCAGAATAGGTTGATCGGATCAAACCACTAAACAAAAATATGTCTATGTTTCTTAATTTCATGGAGATTGCCTTCTTTAGAGGCATAAGAGGTATAGAAGCTATTAAAAACTACAGATAACATTCAGATTCATAGACGATTTTACTTCAGAACCTACATAGTTAGGATTCAGAACAGAACAATCTACCGCAAAAATGATTTCTCCATCCGTTTGATGATAGTATAAAAAACTAAATCATCGCTGTAAGTTCTGGTTTGAACATTAATCTTTGTAAGTGATCTCAAAATTAAATCTTTACAGTGAAATTTTGTTCTTTATTATTCTGATGGAGATAGGTTTACACGGAAAGTTGGAAACAGCCAATCAATCAAGCTTTTTCTTATTATTGTAAGAAGACATTATACTTTTTTTTTTATATGCTCAAAGGCCACAGTAAGTCTTGAGAGCAGCTAGATCTCTCCTTCCAGATCCCTCAGTGGTGTACTGAAAGTATGCTTCAAAATCAAATGGCTTATACAAACGAGGATGCTCAGCATCAACCATTTCTTCTGGTGCATATATCAAATCCTCTGTTTTTGGAACAGAGAACAATCCAGCTGAGAATCTCGTGTTCGTTCCCATCCTCATCACTCGGTGAACACCAGTAAGCACCCGACCATTCATAAGCACCTGAAAACATTTTCTTTCTTACATTATATAAAACATCGTAGTAACCACTTTGTGTGTTTTAAAAGGAAGTTTGGTTTTTTTAAAAAACTTACATGCAGCGTAGCTCCGCCAAGAACGATGAATGAAGAATCTTGGGAAGGATTGGCCTTGATCCAGTGCTTACCGTCACTTGTTTTCACTTCGAGTCCGTCTTTTACTTCGTTCTGGCAAAGTATAGTGAGCACGTTTCTGTCTGTATGAGCCTCCATGCCTAACTCTTCCTCTGTTTCTTCCACTCCTGTGTATTTCATCATTCTCATGAGACATTTCGTCGAGTTCAAATGTTTCCCTATGTAATCTTCATTGATCCCAAAACTCTCCATTATCATTCTCCGGGTCATGAAGTCCAGTTCTGACACTTTCTCCGTGAATGACATAACCGCCTCGCTGCAGAAACAGAGCAGTTATATAAGAGTTTGTTCTGTTTTTCAAATCCGAATGAATTAAATAACGAGGGAAGAATTTTTTTTTAAAGATCCTTAACCTGAAACTTGTATTGCCCTGGGGCCAGAGCTTATGAGTAAACTCATTGACTTTATCTTCATTTTCTGCAAAATCAACGCCCAAGACTTCGAAAAGAGGCAACGTTGGAATCTGACCTATGTATCCTCTGTACTTCCTCCTCGACACAACTCTCTGTTTGGTCTCTAAAGGTAGCTTGAAAGCCTCCTCAGAAGCATCAAAAACTGCTTTCCGAAGTTGGACAGGGACTTTATCGAACAAGGCCTCGAAGCATCCGTACTCTTCTAGAGCTTTTCGGACATGGCCTCTCACTGAGTCCCACTCTGCAGTTCCTGGCTTTAGGTTTGGACTTGTGAAATCAATGACCGGGAGCTGAAGAGCAAGACTTGTTTCCAAACTCACCATTTTTTCCGTTTAAGAAACTTGTTATGTTTTAGAAGCCTCTATATGTGTTCTTATATAGGATTTCCAAGGCCACTAGATTTCGGTCTCAATTCTCAAACAATATTATCACAATTGTAGGTTTGTTTGTATATTCATGGTTTATGACAACACTCATTTTTTTTTTTATCTTTTTAATGTTGAAAAAACCGTAATTTAGCACTCACATTGTTGTAATACACATCTTTAGAACGGTTTGATTGGCTCAACTTATTAAAGAATATCTGTACTTATTATCTTATCTTATTGAAAATGAAACTTTATAATTAGAAAACCAATCAGATTACATTTAGATTTATAAAACAATATCACTTTGATCAATGGAATAACATTCAGATTTGCAAAACATTATCTTTTTGATCATCAATCTACTGTGTATTGATGCTTTTTCACTTTTTAGGTACCACAATATGCTTTGAGAGTAGACTTGGCTTCACGGCCTTCCTTGGTAGCATAGAAGTTTATGAGAGCGATGTTATCGAATGGCTTATACATAAGAGGATGTTCATCGTCCACAAGTTCCTTAGGGACTGAAACCATTCCCGTGACAAACGAGAAAAGACCAAAACTGTACCTTGTCTTGCCTCCATCCATTGTAACTCTATGCTCGCAAGAACGTATCCTGTCATTGCTCCAACCCTGACCATATATATCCATGGAAAACATTACATCAAAAACAAATCAAGAATTCACATAAATGTAAAATGTTCATGAGTTTCTCTCTCAAAACCAATTTGTACGTTTGCCTTTATATGAGAACAAAATATTCAAACTTTTTTTTTTTTCAACAATATTGAATTATAAAATAAACAAATTATGTTTCTTATATTGAATTTCTGCAAAAGTGCAAGTACAAAGGCTAAGCACAACCTTTTACGTGTACGGTTTCTTATTAATATTTTACGTTTAACATTTTTGTTAAAATGCTTAAGATTTTGGGTTCTTTTGGACAACTATATACCACATGTACGTACACGTAAATGCAAATACAAACAAATAATCAAAGCCTAACTATGATTAAGTGTTGTTTTTCGTTGACTAAGGTCTCAATTGTTTCAACTGTGATGATTTATATGTTTTCAGTTGCATAAACATGATAAACAAAAATTCTGAGGTTTTACAAATGAGTTTTGCTTTCGATGTTTAAGGTTGTGGGTTCTTTTTTTTATAAAAAAAATATTAAAAAATAAGAAGTAAACACTAAAAATGTAACCTTAAAAGCAAAGAAACAATCGAGACATAAGAAAGATTCGTTGGAGTTACCATAGAGATGTCACCGGCCATGACAACGTATGATTTGGATGGGAGTTGAAGGGAAATCCATTCACCGTCCTTTGATTTTACCTCTAAACCATTCACATCGTTTTGGTGAAGTATCGATAAGAAGGTCTTGTCTGTGTGCTGAGGAAAAGCTGGCATTGAGATAGACTCTGGTGGAGCCAAGTACTTGAGGAATTTGAGTAGGTAAGTCTTTGAACCTACATGTGAATCATAGTGCTTCTCAACCCCATAGTTCTCGAATATCATCCTCACCACTAGTTGGTCTATTTCTGCAACCGCGTTTGAGAAAGCATGCACGGTTGCGCTGCAAACAAGCAAAACAAAAATGGTTTCTGCTTCAAAACTACAGTTCTAGGGTTTTCAAAATATAGCTACTTTGCTGTCTCCTAAGTTTCCCAACAGAAAATATCCAAAATTTTAAGGGAAAATTACCTAAATCACAACAGTAGGTGTGGCCAAGAGTCGATAACCGAAAAAAAATAACAGAACAGACCCAAAGGCCAAAATGCTTATACATATGTAAGACGTAGAACAAATTCTATCGAATATTAAAGTAATTTTTCTATATTTTTAAGTAAACCAATACATATTTTCTAACTGAATCCGAACCTATTTAAAACCGAAAACCAAAACGAACAATGCCAAATTTCATTAAAATCTATCTAGAACCAAATCAAATTGTTAATGGTTATATTTGATTTCAGTTTCTATAGAACCAATAAAGCCGAAAACCGAAAACCAGAACCAAACCGTAAACTGATGGTTTCTAGGAGCTAAACAATCAAGTCGGAGACGTACCAAAACTGATGGTTTCCTTGAGGCCACATGAGATGAGTGAACCTTTGAGCATATTCCTTGTTGGTAACATAGTCAATTCCAAGGCCTTCGTGAAGAGGGATCACAGGCATTTGACCAACATAGCCATGGTACGGCTTCTCGTTCACGTTCTTCCTCTTTGTCTCCGTCGGTAGATCAAACAGTTCCTCAGCTGCGGCGAAGATAGAATCGTCTAGCTGCTGCGTTACTCCGTCGTGCACCACCACGAAACAGCCGAATTCCTCTAAGGCTTCACAGGCTTCTTTGGAAATGGAACGCCATGTGGACGTGTTTGGTTTCAGGTCTTGCTGACTCGTGAGATCAAGAATCGGAACTTTAGAAGAAGACTTCACGATTGATCCCATTGATTTGGATGTTTTTTTCTGGTTTGATGATCTTATTGTGTTTGTCATCAGCACTTAGCTACGTACTTATAGAGGATTTATTACATGTAATGAGAAAGTGACATCTTTTAATAAAATCTTTCATAACCTTCAATTATGTTCCATTACGGACGACCATGACTCGTATTGGGCTAATGACATGCAAACATCCAAAGCTAGAGGACGTAAGAACCAAGGACGTGGGAACTGAGGTGGACGTGGCTAGATATCTCCCTCAATCTGATTATGATCCTTAAGTTAATCAAAACGGAAAATTAGGTTTTCTCTATTATAATAATCTTTGTAACTTAAAGTTATTTCTATTAGAGATATATTATTTCTGTTAGGAAATAACACCCCCACATTATTTGATTTGCAAGATACACTTCTTGCTTTCCAAGATATCTTAAATATTTCTTTTTCTTTTTTCCAAACGCTAAACTTCTGTGTCATGTGACTTGTAACGATTATGATTATGAACATATAAAATATAATATTTTTTTTAAGAAAAACGTTGCAAACTGATTAATTATTACTCATCTTTGATATATAAGTGAGTTTAAATAATGAGTTTGTATTATAAGGACGTTCAAGCCGGATAAAAGAAACAGATCCGCTACAAACCGGATCGAGAAAATGATAATCTGAAAACGTAATTTAGTTTTAACCGAACATAAAAGATGGAACCAATACTTCATACTTTTCAATAATGGGTATTTAAAAGCTTCATTTTCTTTGAAAATTAAAAAAAATATTACCAAAGTCCAAATACAATCCAAATCGAACCAAAAACCAGATTGTCTATTCATCCTAGTTTATAATGTGGTCCAGAGATTCCTACGACTAGTGATATTAACGTATAATGTGGTCCAGAGATTGCGACGACTGGTAATATTATTAGCATATGTAACGTGGTCCAGCTGATTTCGATGACTAGTAATATTAATATATAATGTGGTCCAGATTCCGGTGACTAGTTATTAATATAGTAATCTTTTGTTTTCTCTCTAAAACGAATATTTGAAACGTAGGAATTAAGATCCCTTCAACATTTGTCTTTTAATGAACACCCAAAATCCATTTTTCACCTCAGAGAATATTCCATCCACAATAGTCTAAAATTATATAAACACATAAAATTTGATCCACCAAAATCTTAAAAAATAAAAAAGACAACAAATAAGATGTCTTGTAAAATTCCAACCTTGGACTTTTCCAGAGAAGTTTTGAAACCAGGCACAAAGTACTGGGAATCAACAAGCAAAAACATCAGACAAGCACTTGAAGAATATGGATGTTTCATCATAGATCTTCAAGACAAGACTCCTTTAGATCTTCTTGATCAAGTCTTTGGTTCTTTAGTAGAGTTGTTTGATCTTCCTACACAAACCAAAATGAAGAACAAATACGATAAGCCCTTAAACGGCTACGTTGGTCAGATCCCAGCTCTTCCTCTTCATGAAAGTCTTGGCATTGATGATGCCACTTCGTTAGTAGCAACCAGAAGCTTCACCGGTTTGATGTGGCCGCAAGGAAACGAACGTTTCAGGTAAGTATCAAAAGAATCTGATCCATTTTTAGAATCCTCAACTATTGTTTTTTTAGACGTTAAACCTTTCAATTTTGCTCTGTTTGTGTTAGTGATTCTGTGCACAAGTATGCGGAGTTTGTAGCCAAGCTTGATCAAATGGTGACTCGGATGGTTTTTGAAAGCTATAATGTCGAGAAAGACTACAATCCTTACATCGAATCAACTACTTACCTTCTTCGTGTGCTGAAGACTCGCGCACCGAACAGCAAGAACTCTAATTTAGGATTTATCACACATACTGACAAGAGCTTCACAACGATACTTCACCAGAATCAAGTCAATGGTTTGGTAATGGAAACCAGAGAAGGAGAGCGAATCAATATCAATCTATCATCACCTTCACTCTTCATGGTCGTCGCAGGCGATGCATTGATGGTAATTTAAGTTCTAATACCAATTACAAAACAGAAAACAGAGATTGGGAACTAAAACTTAAATATACCTTTAGGCATGGAGCAACGACAGAGTTTGGTCTCCACGACACCAAGTTCTAGTGAGCGGTGAGACAGACAGATACTCTCTTGGAATGTTTTCATTCAACAATGGAACACTTCAAGTACCAGAAGAGCTTATTGATCATCAACATCCTCTCAAGTATAAGCCATTTGATCACATTGGTCTACTTCGTTTTTACCGTACTGACACAGGTTACAAATCAGAGTGTCCTATCAAAGCCTATTGCGGTATTTCTAAAGCTTCACAAATGTGAAATGTAATAATCTTAAAAGAGAAAAAATAAGTGTAATCTTCTTACTCAGGACAACATATATATACTTACATTGGTGGGTCACAAGGACATGATCCATATCTTGGTTGGATTCAGACATCAATATTAGCACAAAATCGAGAGAGAAAAAAAAAACAGATCATTCTTCATCACCACGATTTCCATTGACTCTAGGAACCATTTCAGATTCTGTTGGTTGAGACATTACTCTTTCATACTTAACAGAACGAGAAGGGAGGATCTTAAACCGTCCAAAGGTTAAAGCTTGTGAAAGCTTGTCATAGTCCCATCTCTGCTGAACAAACACAATGACTGCAAGTAGAATCGCTGTAAAGGGTATCGAGATATCCCCAAACTTGGAGAAGAAATCGAAATTCGGATTAACAAACTCGTGTTCTTCTCCAATGAAGTAAGGATCAGGAACAGAGCCAATGATGTAGTCATAGACGTGCGGGAAAAGCCTCACCAGCGTGATCCCCAAGTAATATAGCTTCCTTAGTGGTTGCTGAGAATCGATCTGCCACAAAAAATTAGCAATAACCTGAGGGAGCAAGAAGAAATCTTGAACCAAACCAATGTACTCCTCTGTTTCGGTTTGCCACCAATTTGCAGCGGCAGGTGTATAACTTTCAAGAACTACAGTTACTCTCTGTTTCCTTGCGGGATTCATAATCAGAGCAAGTATGTATCCTAGTGCGTGTAAGATCACAGTGATGAGAAGCACACGCCGATCACTTGGAACTTTATGCGGTTCTCGAGGTGTTCGAGTGAGCAATCTGACACGGGACTTCCACACTTTCTGACAAAGCCTTAAAGTTAGAAGAAAGCAGACCATCACGAGGAGCTTGACGGTGTAATCAATCACATTGAACCATTGACTTCTCTGTATATCATATGAAGGTGTTTCATACGTCGTTGCTGAAGCTGCTTTTCTTTTAAAGAGAGCTTCTGCTCCGGTGATCAACGGCAAGCTATAACCAAGAGCTTGAACTCCAAGCATAACGAGCGAAATGAAAGAAACCGAGTCGGTATTGCTTATGATGTAAAAGAGCTGGCTCGTGATGCAACCGATAGAGAAAGTAAGCGTGAGAACCCTGAGGATCCCTTCAACGCCTGCACGTGAGAGAATGTCTTCACGCTGCCTTCTGTAAAAGATAGGAGTTGTTTTGAGCTTAATCTGTTTAAAACGGAGAGGATCATCATCCGATCTTCTGCTGGATATCGAAACCTTAGCCGTTGGATCAGCCAGCCACCGTGATTTGATGGGTGGATAAGAAACCACAACGTCTATCAAACAATCTAGACCGGCTTCAAGATCACCACTCTCAAACAAGACTTTCCACGAGGCTCTCACGTCTCTGCATCCGACAAGATACATTTTCCCAACATGCTCATCGTAAAGACCTTCCAAGTAGAGAACAGAGAAGTTACCAAAACCATCCCCTGTAAGTGTGATTTGAGCTGATACATTCAGAAGAAGCTGTTTCTCAGTGTATTGAGCTTTTGTCCTGTAAGGACTAGTCTGTTCCAGTTCCACAACCGAAGAATTCGAAGTACGCCAGAAAAGTCCGAACAAAGGACCGAGCGAAAGAACATCCATGCCGATATCAGTTCCCAAGGCACGCTTGTCGGTGAAAGCAGGAGTATGGAAAGTCAAATCCTCAGCAAGAAGAGAAAGGCTCGAAAGATAATCCTCAGAATCTTCTAACTTCGGAAACTGCATCACTGACTTCTTGATTATGGTTCCAAAGGAGAACTCTTGGTTTCTCTCAAGGATAACACCAGCTTCCACAAACTTGGAGTAACTATAAAACGGATGCGAGACCTTAGAGTGGAAGTAGTTCTGCATATCCATAGGCTCCACAAGCTTCTCAAACGATAAAGGGAAGAAAGACGGAGTCAAGTTCTTCTCAGTGTTTAAACAAGAGAAAGTTCCAACGAGTATACTTCGCTGCTGTATCGAGAAAGTAGTTGGAATATACAAACACACACGAGCATTACAGCCATCGACTTGGCCACGTCTGCAACCAACCATACATAACTGCCCACTCGATGGTTTCCAAATCCCTTCAGCAGTAACTGTCATGTTGTCTAGTCCTGATCTCAACCCTGATATGTAAAGATTCTCATTCGGGTGAACCGCACGGAAAACAGCCGAGACTTTTGTGACAGCATCGGATTCAGACCGAGCTGAGGGTTCTTGGCAATGTACGTTTTGCATATACAGCTTGACGTCTTTGAAGCTACCATCCGTCGATTTGATATCTCCATCAGAGGCAAAAGGACCCAACTTGCGGCAGAATTCATCAGTGCCGTTGCATTTCCAGTTAGGTACAACAGTGAGAGGCGCACGAGAAGTAATTCTTTGAAGAAGATCACAAAAGCCTTTCCCTTTGTAAACATCAATACTACTAGTACTAAAGGTTCCGTTTTTATAAGGATATGGATCACAAGCTTTTAGTACCAAATCATCAGAGACGAAATCGTAGCTAGCTGATCTCCCTAGCTGAGAAAACAAATTGATCTTGTCGAAAAACTTGAGGTTTGGTTTCTGGTTTAGACTTTTGAGCTCTCCTTGAATCAATCTTTTCGTCAATGTGAAGCTTTTCGGGTATCGAAGAACGAGCATAATCTGATCATCCTGCAAAAGCGGAGGTGTGTCATGATCTTTAACCCATTGCCATGGATCAGTAGCTGAACCAGGTTCACGAGAAGGCAACATTGTTTCACCAAGCATACACAAAACTCTTTCTTCTTCATCATCATTCTCAAAGTAGATCCCTTGGAAAGAGATCTTGAGCTGAGTATGACTCGGCCACAGCTCGAACTCACGGACACCGTGAGATCTTAAGCTTAGCTCGTTAAATGTAGTGATCGCGAGAAGCAAGACTCCATTGACGCCGACGTATTTCTTGGTTCGATGTGGAAGATCCAGATCCGTGACCCGGAAAGAAACCAGATTCAGAGGCTTCGTCGATGAGTTTCTCGGCGTGCTCGTCGAATCGAAAGGTAGAATCGGAGAATCACCAGGATCTTGATTCCAATCTCCGTATCGGAAACCGAGCTTCTTCTTAGCTTTTCTAGGATCCCAAGAGACTTCATGGAGCTTCAATTCAGAAGCTGAAGATAACTCTGGTTTGCACTTTCGCTTCACTTCGTTGATCCGATCGTAACTGATTTTCGGTCCGGGTTCGTCTCTGTACTCACCAATCGAACCCCGAAAGTCGAATTTTTGCTCATAGAAAGATGCAATTACAAGAGAAGAGGACAAGCCATGTGTGAGAAAGATCAAAAGAAGGAGATTTACCGTTTTCATACTCATGACATTAACCACCAGAATAAAGTCTTGTTGTTCTGGAGGAAAAAAAAGACAGGAACTTGCGAGTCGCGACAATTGATTTTAGGACAAAGATGGAAACTTTGATTTAAGGGTAGGAAAGGAAAGATGAAGTTGGAAACAATGGGGGTTTGGTTATGAGTTTCTTCTGCAATATTCGGTTTTGCATCATTGGGGATGACACAGATCGAGAGAGAGTGGAGGAAGAGGCGATTACACTTGAAGTTGAGTCATAGCAGAACAGTGAACAAAGAAAAGTCTTTTACATTTTCCTCTTAATTTGTATTTAAGTTGTTTATTACTCCAACATTGTGCATTGTTTTTCTTTTCCACTGAATAAAATACTAAATAACTGTGATGTATCTTTCATTGAATCTCTAATTTGTTTCACAATTCAAATAAAAATTTAAAAAATTATTAATTTTATGTGCATTAAAATCATTATCCTAAAAGTCTAAGCGCTGGTTTGAACGGCCAAAACAAATGACTAAAGTAAAAAGAAAAATTTAACTTTTTTAATACTCAAATCTATTAATCTTTTGATATTTTCTTTTTCGACATGTTTTTATAATAAAGGATGTAGCCTAAAAAGGATATACAAGTAGCCTAAAAAAATCTACAATTAATTGGTTCAAAAACAAAACAAATTCGAACGCATGATCAACTTAATAAAGAATGTTAGATATAAAGTAAATGATCGTTATAACAATTTTGGTTGGTACTTGGTAGGATGAATTTAATATAGATTTCAGTGAGTGGTTGGCTTGACTTATAAAGATGAGGGAGGCGTGTTCGACGGGATATGTTTTAAGTGTGATCCCATTGATCTTGACTACCATTCTTTGTTGGATCCCAAACCATACGCTATTTTTTTGATGCACAAGAAAAAGAATCACTTCATTACAAAAATAAATAAATTAGAATCAATCAAGTAGGTTTAACTCAAATGACTCATGAAGTTATATTTTTTTAACGGACAAGAAAAATACATCATTTCTTTACCAAAAAATAAAACTTATAATGGGGTGATTGGTTGGGCTTTACTATAATTTTCTTACAGCCTTTAAATTTTTTTTACAATATTGTTTTATCAATCAACCTTAACCTTAAGTATTTAAAACTCTAATTGGTGACTATGGAATGAGAAGAAATAATGAAATTCTTCTTCAATTTTTAAAAATAAACCATTTATATATAATTTATGTATACACATTCTTTTCCATTCTTTAAAAAGTACACCTTTTATAAAAAAAATTTACACATGATTCATTATCATTCTTTCATTTTTAGAGAATTATAGAACAAAAATATTTCTCAACAAATTTAATAAAAAAAACAATAAAAAAAATATATTTCCATTATTTTATTCATCTTCGTTCACATTCACTTCTTATTCATTCCAATTATTTCTTTAATGGTCACCACTAACCTTAAAACTACAACTATTCTAGCTTTTTTTTTTCCGTAAAGCAGCAAAAAATGTGTTAAAACTACAACAACTGCATTCTGCATCCAAACCAATGAGCCACAATGTTTTCTCATTTGCTTCAACGTTAGGGGTCCGAATTTATGTACCTTTCGTATGGACATTGCTCATATATTAATTTATAACTAGTGTTAGCAGTCCGAATCTATGTACCTTGTGTCAGTACGATGTCTGTTTGATTTGGTTGATTCTGGTATGACTAGAGTTAGCCTGTGCAAAAAACTCTGAACAACACCAATGATCGAAATAAAGACAGAATTCCCTAAGTTCTTATTAAAATAAAAAAAAGTTGCTTGAAACAAACGAGGAATTAAGTTGCTTTGCCCCAGTAGTAACTTCTAAATAGGAGATTCTTAGATTCGAGTTCATTTGGCCACTTAGCCGCGCTTTAAATTTAGAATATTTCCAAACGGACACTCAAATGCAAAGTTTCGTGGGATTAGTTCTTGAATCTAGACAGTCTTTGGGATGCCCAAGGTTAAAAAACAAAAAAAACAAATGAGGTCCTTATATAAAATCTTGGAATGAACATATAAGGAAACAAAACAAATGGTCCGTTAGGAATGGGCCAGCATCTTGAGAATGGAGATGGATCCATGTTGGATGACCGGGCAATCAAAACTGTCATCACATCACTATTCAACGGCACATTTCCAAAGGAAGAAACAAATTCTTGTTTTTTTTTTCTTGTCAATATAACAAACTCTTATTTTGATCCAAGAAATCCATACAGATTATTGAGATTTTTTATTTTTTTTCTGAGAATAGTTTTGGGGTTTTCTAGATTCATTAATCGATTTATTGGCAAACATGTAAAACATTAAATCAAACTGTCATAGTATCTAGGATTCTAGTTATCAAAATGATTTGTAAATTGGTGTTTCGAAAATATAAATTAAATGAAGACAAGACAGAGAAACTAAGAAAGGCAGTTTCAGTGCATTCTCTAATCCTAAAGAACAAAGAAAGAAGAAAAAAAGATTGATAAAACCATTTAGAAGCTTGACCCACAAGCCATCGATATGACTTATGAGTTATGAGCATACAAAATGTACAAGTGCTAGATTCAGAAACAAGGACTGAAGAAAAAATGCAAAACAACTTAAACAGAAACTAACAAAAGACGATAAAACTCTGTTTTTCAAGACGTTGATTTTCTCCACCTAGAAGGAGTTCTTCCTTTGACAAGCTTTGTCTTCATATTACCAGGAGTCTGATTCGCATACTCAAACTCTTCTCCATTATTACCAAACTCTTCACCGTTCGTCTTGTCCAAAACGCTAACACTAACACCACTGCTAAATCCCAATCTCTTCCACCTAAAAAACCCTTTACTCCCACTACTACTACTACATTTCTTCTCAACCATCTTCTCCAACTGCGTTTGCATCGCTTCACATTCGCTCTTCAGCTTCGCCATATCCTCTCTCAATCTCTTTATCTCCATCTGCTGAACATTCATCTCTCGTTTGGACATACACCGAGCTGGACCTGACTCTGAGTAGTGTGAACTAGAAGGGTTTGGACTGAACGATGAGCCACTCCAATCAATGTTGCTGTGATGGCTACGACTCAGCTTCGCCTGTTCAGTGAACAGAACTTGAATAATAGTTCTAACCGGTAAACGATCGTTCTGTGCAGCGTGACAAGATGCCTCCATTGATAGCTTCTTGCTATCTATTAGTCCACAAAGTCTCTTCCTTTCTTGCTTATCCATTTTAGGATGTGCCTAATTAATAAAACCAAATTAAATTTCAATCAAACCCATCACGAATTAAGCTTCAAAGTCTCGACTTTTTACTCTTAGCCTATGATTCCCACATCAAGAAGACCTAAAGTAACATTTTTTGTTTAATCTATATACCTTGAGATAAGTGTCAATTGCACGGTATAAGCCATCTTCAGTGACACGAGCATGGTTAGGGAGAGCTTCGGCGAGGGAAATAAACTCCGGGATACTTAAATCACCGTCAACGGCGACTTCAGCTAAGTAAGAGTCGACGAGCTTCGCCACTTTAACAAGAGAAGCACCAGATTTGATTCCTTCGTTGTCTAAACCGGCGAATTTCTTAACCAGTCGAGTCACGAGCTCAACATCGAGCAATGTCTCGCACGTGTGACTAAACGAAGGTATCATTAGCTCCTTGAGGGAAGCTTGGTCGAGCTGCCACGATATCCTCGCCTCGAGCTCCGCCTTGTAACTTGAGTCTGCTCCGACCATGTTCGCTGTTCGGAGGAGACGGAGGAGGAAATTACAAGGAACAGAGTCTTTCTCCGGCGGGATGATTCCGATTAGAGTTTCCACGAAGAAACGTTTTTTCATCACGAACGCCGTTACGGAGAAGCTCTCCGATTGTTGTTGCTGATTAGGATCGTTGGGGTTAATGACGGTGTTTGAGAGCTCCGGGAGCCACGTGGAGGCATAGTGAGCGATGATGGAGCCGATGAGATCGGGACGGACACCTTTGGCTTTAATTCCGGCGATGGTTTTAACGAAGTAATCCATGTCGAGAATGCAACCATCGTCGAACAAAGAATGCTCTAATTCTCCGGTGACGGTGGTTGACGGTGATTTGGCGGAAGATTCCGGCGAAGATGTTTTCTCCATCTCTTTTGTTTTTTTTTTCACGGTGGAAATTGCAATGTGTGTGTTTACTCTGAAACTAAAAGTGTGTAGTTTTATAAAGTGTGTAAGTAAGTTTTAGTTCGTTGTTCTGTTCTTAAAAAGTCTACATTGAAAAGTCATTTTCTCATCATGACTCAAAGGTAAAAAATTCCAAAGGAAAGAACAAATTCCTGCAATTTACTATAAAAACAAACAAGTTTAGATCTTAGAAATCCAGAGAAATAAGACAAAAAATGAGAGAAAGAATACAGACAAATTATAGAAAAAAAACATTGTATGATTTAGGTTAAAGGAATCAAGGAAAACTCAAGTGTTGGCAAATTAAACGACACGAAAACTTTGAACTTAATACATGTGTAAAAGATATGACATGGGGCCATATGGCTAGTTCAGTAGTTCGTGAAATAATCCTACCGTTGGACAGGATTCAGTGAGATAGAGATAAGAGATTATATGAAGACAAAATCTTCCAAAAAGAGATTTTTGAAGAGAACATACAAACGTTTTACAAAGGGAATACGTACAAAGGTGGGAATGGACGTGTCTTTAATATTCTCTTAGGACAATTAATGTACGTGGGGATAAAAACAGAGGAGTCGAAAACTAGACAAAAGTAATTAAACACGTCTTGTCTTTTGGAGATTAGATAACATTGTATTATTATATGGTCCCGCTTTAATTATAGGGAATACAATGACCAACCAATGTCGCTTGTGCTACTACTGGCTATTATACGTTCCCAGCTATAATCACACGCCAAAAATCAACAAATTCTACCTTTATTTTGTTTCGATGCACATTAAACATGTTAATCTTAAAGTGGGTTAATCCAAAATACTAGAAATGATAAAATTATGATTTCCGTAATCCATGATACATAAGTTATTACATCACAAAGTCATGTTCTTAACACAAACAGACAAAACAAGTCGAATCAAAAGATATGGATCATATAGTATCAATATACATTTCTCTGCACAAACGTAGGTCGATTTAGTTAGATCCATACCTCTTAACCCTTTCATCGATCCACTCTCTCATATCCTTCAATACAGTCTCAGCGTTCTCGTCGGGCTCTCCTTGAATCAGTGAATGGTACATTCCTTCGTACAGCTTCAAAGTTTTATCAGCGCTTGATGCCTTCTCGTATAGTAGCTTTGAAGATGTAGGGCATGTAACTCCATCCGCTGTGCCGTGCACCGTAAGTACCGGTATAGTTACTCTCTCGAAATTCTCCTGCACGTATTGAGTCTTCCTCAGTAACTCTCTCATTGTTCCCACTCTAGGCTTCCCTGTGTATCTGCAAAAGAAGAACAAAAATCCAAACTTTAAAAGCTTCCAATAAATCCAAGTTTTGTCAAAAAGAACATTCATGTTTTGGTGCTAAAACGTAAAAAAGTCTCAAGCTTTGGCTTCCAAGAAGTTACCTTTGCGGGTTAGAAGCGATGATCTTGAGCTTTGCCGGGTCCTTGATAGCTTTTCCAACCATTTTATTATCAGGCATTGCAGCCCAAGTATCAGCCAAGCCAAAGAGGAGGCCGTATGCAAAAAGGTGAGCCTTGCTTGGTTTCATATCCTCCGGGATAACAAAGAGAGGAGCCGAGAAGATCAAACCGGTCCAAGTCTCAGGCTCGGATTGAAAGTACATGAGAAGCGTGACAAGACCTCCCATCGATTCACCGAAGAGAAATGCAGGGAGATGCTTATACGGATCGCTGCAACGAACATGCTTGAAGAAAGACAATGATGTTGCTGCAACTTTCTCCATATCACCTGAAAACAAACAACAACACAACAAAAAAAGCCAATTCCTTGGTCTTAGAAAACCCTAAAGATAAAACTATTACACATTCGTTTCTTCCTCCCACAATCACTAAGTTGCAGTGATGTCTCAATCTCAAGCAACTTGTCTATTTTGCCTAACATTTACACAATCAATTCTTCCTCCTAAAGCCTTAACTTGGAGATTTTCCAATTAATCAAGAAGATTTTAAAAACAGAGGTATACAAATCTGTATAAATAAATATAGTGAGGTCTTAATCTCATGCAGCTTCTCTATTTTGCCTAACATTTACACAATCAATCCTTCTTCCTAAAGCCTTAAACTTGACAATTAAAGTTGAGAGATTTTTCCAAGTAAACAGAGTTCTATAAAGGGGACGAAGTAGCGAGAACAAACCCATGTAGCAGCGGATTCCATCGGAACGGCCGTGACCGAGAAGATCGGCGGCGAAAACAGCGTAACCCCAAGTGGAGAAGCTCATGCAGATCTTCTGGAACATCCAACTCGTATCGGATCCGTAACCGTGAGACATGTAAACCGTGCCTTTGATCTCGCCGTCCAAAGGAAGAAAGCTCTGAGTGAAGAGCATGCCGTTGGGTGTTTCGAAGTAGGATTTGCTGTTACGCACACCTTGGGATGTGTAGTACTCTTCCTCCGGCATCTCGCCCCAGAAATTAGGCGGCGGCGTCGCCGGAGATGAAATCGCTGAGCTCTCCGCCTCCGACGGCATCGTTTTGATTGATGTTTGGGTTTTTGCTTTTTTGCTTTCTTCTCAGTTGAATTTGGTTGGTGGAGTTGGGAAAGTTAACGCATGAGGGAGACGAACTATATATATAAATGGTTTAGTATTAAACAAACGTCATTAGAAGATCATTTATATATTTTTAAAAACATTTTGTGTTCATTTTCTTATAGTAGTGAAACAATATATCAGTAAAATTTGTTTCAGAGTCTTTACACATTTTAGTATTTAATAAGAAGTAATATCATGTAATTAAAGTGTTAAACAATGAAATTAATACTCCCTTCGTTCAAAATTATTTGATGTTTTAGAAGGTTTTTTTGTTCAGAATTATTTGATGTTCTCACTTTTCAATGCAAAATTTAATGAATTTTTATAGTTTTTGACCTTTTATATTCTGCAAATTGTCTTTTTATTGGCTGAATGATATTTAAATAGATTATAAATAATATTTTTTTAGTATAAGAAAAATAAAAATTAAATGAATCATTAAACTGTGTGCAAAAACCTTAAACATTAAATAATTCTGAACAGTATTTTTTTTTAATGATTTTGTTTCGTTATTACAAAATAATTTTATATGATCTTATCCGTAGGATTAAATGTTATTATAATGATTGGTTTCTGTACTTTCACCAACTGCTATGGGGTGGGAGATTGGGGTTGGTGGGGTCAGTAGAGTTGGTGGGGAAAGTTGGTGTGAGGATTGGACCCGATCCGACCTGGTTCATGTCGGATAAGTCACCTACCCCGGTTTCGGTTTGCTCATTTGCCTAACCTACCTACCCCATGGATTATACCGTCGGTCTGGTTTAATCTCCACCTCAATTTATTTTTCCATACGAAACTAATGGAAAGAATTGGTTAGTGGGTATTTTGGTAAAAACTATCGACCCATTTATGAATACTCACAAAACGAATTGTATATGTACAAAATTGTGAGTTTGTGACAGAATGAATGTATATGATAACATACATTGTAGTTTCTATTATTATTTGTGATAGTTGAAAATTTTTAAATGCTTTAATGATATAAGAGAAGCTTCAGAACAGTCAAGAGGACAAAGGAATCTCACGATGATTGATAGTAGAAAGATAAATTATAATTTGATACGAGAAAGATATGTAACAGATAATGAGAAGAAGGGGATGACTTATTTAACATTTTATGGAAATCATATACAATCTGGAATCATATAAATAAGAATAATATTATTATTATACCTCAGTAGTTCCTTGTATTTTATTGGGTTTAATGGCTCATATGCCATAATTTGGAAAAAAGAAATCTGTCGTGTCATTATATAATCTGAGTGCCATAAACCACATAAAAATCTCATTTTACCCTTAATGAATTGATTTTGTGGCATATGTAATTTTATCAAAATATGATGTTTAAATAAAATTTTAATTAATATATTAAAACTAAAACGAAAATTAATTAAAAAATAAAAATTTTGTTTTTCTTTTCCTCCCGGATTCATCTCTTCATCTTCAACCTCAAACCTGCTAAATCTCATCCTTCGCCTCTTCCTCTTTCTTCATCATCTGCATTCAGTTTCTTGTCTTTATCTCCTTTCTCCACCACTATTGTTAAAGTTTCAAAACTCAGTTAGGTTTTTATTTGAAGATTTAGGGATTTCACAATTTAGGGATTGGATTTACAAAAATTGAGTGTTCGGTATGCAAATTGGATTGGTAACCCAGTTTTATGTGACGATTAGGTATTTGCATAGATAATTTATCGAATATAGTTAGTTGAATCGTAGTGATTCTTAGGTAGATTGAAATTAAAACCCGAGTTCATCACAAAATCTCCAGAAGAGGACAACTGGTACGAATGATACAACTAAGAGATAAGAGGACACCAAGTACAACTGGTACAACTATGAGATAGAGGACAACTGGTACAATTAGGTATAACTAAGTTTAGTTTAAATAATTGCTGATTGAAAATTCTTTAATTATAATTGCAAATCGGGTTGGTAACCCAGTTTTATATGACGATTAGGTATTTGCATGGATAATTTCTTAAATATAGTCGTTGAATCGTAGTGATTCTTAGGTAAATTATAATTATACATGAATTCATCACCAAATCTACAGAGGACAACTGGTACGAATTATACAACTAAGAGATAAGAGGACAACTAGTACAACTGGATACTTAGGAAAGTCAATCTAATCTAGAAGATTTGATTTTTGGCCGAGAATGCTTTCCGTATGGAAATAAACAAGGTACAACTAGATACATATGTACAACTACATGCAATTCTTTCATTAGAAAATGATAATGATAAAACTATAAATATAAAAAGTAAACATTCACTTAAAAAATGAAAAAAAGTCATAAACTATAACATGAAATTATTGTTTTCCTAATACATTATTGGTTTCACATCAAACACTCTTTATGATACAATCAAGACTTTGATAATGTTAACTATCTTATGATGGAAAAAAACCAAAATTATGATTTTACATAAATTGTAGTATGAAAAATGTTGTAAATGGATTACAATAGTCGAAAAATCATGTGGACAACTACAAAGTAATAATTTATATCAAGGGACAACTGGAAAAAATGCTAAAATCGCCAAAGGACAACTGTGAAAAATTTTGGACAACTGGACAACTGGATACAACTATGTACAAAATTGACGGCGCACGTGGTACTTTGACTGCGCACATGTCTCTTTTTGTCGGCGCACGTGCGTCTACAACTGATAGTTGTACCTAGTTGTCCAGTTGTCCAAAATTTGTAATAGTTGTCCTTTGATCGATTTTGTAGTTTTTTCAGTTGTCTTTCGACATAAATTATTATGTTCTAGTTGTCCACAAGAATTTCGAACATTATATAGCAGCCCCAAGTGTTTTGCGTTATTATTTTTCTATATTTTTGCATAGACGCTTGTATAAGATGGATAATATTGCCAAAGACTTCTTTATAACATAAGGGCTATTTCAAGTGAAACCAAAAATATTTGGTTCTTTGAACAAAACAAAGTTTTATTTTCTTCCTTCTAGTATAGACGTAAAAAGATACAGTTTTTAGGGTATGGGTTGTATTGGTTTTTAAGTAAATAATTTTAGAAATTTTTTTAACACTACAATTAAAATATATTTGTCCCAAGTTGCACCTAGTTGTCCTGGAGAAATTCATAGCATAATTGTACGTAGTTGCACCTAATTGCCCTGGAGAAATTCATTAGTAATTGCACCGAGTTTCATCTAGTTGCCCTGGAGAAACTGAAAATAGTAATGCAAGAAATGAAAGAAATCCAAGAAATTCAAAATACAAATAACTCCAAAATAAATAATAATACAATAAATCAAAGAAATCCAAAAAATACAAAATACAAATAACTCCAAAATAAATAATAATGCAAGAAATCAAAGAAATCCAAAAAATCCAAAATACAAATAACTCCAAAATACACATGTACACTCTAAGGCTGTAATAAGTTGAATCCTTTTACATTTTTTAAAAATTAAGGAGTTATAGATAATTGTATATATGTGTCTAACTGTACCTTGTTTATCCCTATTTTGAAAAGATTTTCTCTGCTAAAATGAATAATGTGGTTATCCAGAATGAAAATTTTTCTGCTTAAATGTAATTTATTTAGCTAAAATAAAATCTTTTCGGATTAAAATAAACCCGAAAATATACACAAATTAAGTCTCCATGCTACTTTTGCTCTGAGACCATTTATCTAATTTATTATCCGTTTTTCGCTTTTCGGCAATTTTTTTGGAGAATAGAAACCACTTTTTTTTTGTCTAATTCGGAAATAAGACAAACAATTTTTGTACATTATCAGAAATACTCCACTTAGTTTCATTTATATGTGAAATTCATTCTCCACATAAATTATCTACTTCAAAGTTGTTTAGTTTCATATATCGCAATATTCTTACATACAATATCTTATCTACTAATACCAAATAAGTTATCAGCTCCAAATATGAGGTATTAAATGATATAAAATCTATTGAATTGCTTGTGTGGTTGATGCTCATTATCTCTTGAAAATATAATAAAAAAAATCTCAATTAACAATTATTCAAATTGTCTTAGGTATATCCATTTGTACTAGTTGTCTTCTATCTCGTAGTTGTTCTAGTTGTACCAGTTGTATTAGTTGTCCTCTTATCTCTTAGTTGTACCTTTCGTACCAGTTGTCCTCTGCAGATTTGGTGATGAACTCATGTATACCTAAGAATCACTACGATTCAACGACTATATTTAAAAAATTATTCATGCAAATACCTATGTCATATAAAACTGGATTACCAACCCGATTTACAATTATAATAAAGGAATTTTCAATCAGCAATTATTTAAGTTGTCTTAGTTATACATATTTGTACCAATTGTCCTCTATCTCATAGTTGTACCAGTTGTACGAGTTGTCCTCTTATCTCTTAGTTGTACCATTCGTACCAGTTGTCCTCTTCTGCAGATTTGGTGATGAACTCGGATTTTCTACCTAAGAATCACTACGATTCAACAACTATATTTGATAAATTATCTATGCAAAGATCTAATCATCACATAAACTGGGTTACCAACCCGATTTACATATCAAACAAGCAATTTTGACAAATTCAATCCCTAAATTTTATAATCCCCAAATCTCCAAACGAAAACCTAACTGGGTTTTGAATCATCAACAATGGATGGGGAGAGGAGATAAAGACAGAAACTGATTGTAGAGGATGAGTAAGCAAGGGTTGGATGATGAAGTTGAGATTTTGGTGGTTTTCAAAATCTGTCGATGTTTTAACAACGAAGGAGAATAAGAAAAAAAAAGAAATATAAGGAGAATTAAAAGAAAATTAATTAAAAGAATTAAAAGAAATTGCTGGAGAAGAGAAAAAGAATTTAGGTAATTAATAAATGAAAAATAAAATGGGTTATCGGGTGGGTTGAATTCGGGTGGATATTACCCTGGTTTTTTTGTTAATAACTTGACATATAAGGAGAAATGAAGAATTTCCAGGGTTAACCTTATTAAAAAAAATCGAAAAAAATTAATTATTAGAGTGATGGCATTTTAGCCTGTTTT